TATTACCATAATTTCGTAAAATTACTTTGGTTATACTCAGTGACGCAATAATACCTACATAATTAAACTAGTATCACGTATGACATACCTAGTGTACCTATGATTAAGCCTGAAAAACGATAATGTTGGCCTTAGAAACCTTTCACAAGTATTTGCACCTATCAACTTAAAACATTAGTAAAATAACTTAAATCGTTTCAGATAACGACAATCTAAAAATGGCAGCTCACTGTAAATTCCCATTTTTACCTGAAAAACAGAAACGTAACGTTTTACAAAACTGGGATTGGTATTCAAGGATGAGTTTTGATTGGTCGGTGGGCGGTTACGTGAGGAAGTTGTACGGTGATTGGTTGGGAGCGTTCCCCACCGAGTGGTGGGGTGGGGGGGCCATCAACCCTATGTTTATTTTTGTTGTTCAAGTTTAGTGGGCTATAAGCTTTCGACGCGTGTACATGTGGGTACAAACAGTACCAGTAGCGAATATATCTGACGCGTAGTATTATAGTGCAGTGAATAAATGAACTGTGATTGTTTTAAGGAACTGACCAAAATACCTGCATTGTGATTGTGTATCGACCTCGTGTCTTCGGAGATGGTTATCCTGTAAGTATCTCTTCTTTTTTGTTCGTTTTTATTGTTACTTTTGTTTTAATTAATGTTATTTTAGATTAGTGTAAGTAACGTTAGGTACGTAGTATACTTAAGTAGGTACCTAGGTCATATAGCTATAGGTATCATTCCTAAATAGGAACATTCAGTAAGTTATCTAAGTTGACGTTTGGGCACACTGCATTTAAAATCATTTTTTTTACTCAAAAATATGATTAACTTTTTATATTTTTGATGACTATATTTATCCTAGATATGAGACTTACCTACGTCGAAATAAATCATAAAATCAGAAAAACATCTAAAAAAATGTTTGAGGGGATAGATTTGAAACTCACATCATCATTATCATCATCATCGTCAACCTAATTTAGTAGGTCTACGTCTGTGCATTATTTCCACTGCTGGAGAAAGCGTTCTCACACGGAAATGGAAAAAGGATTAATCGTTAGATATCTACGCTTAGTGAAGGCAATTCCAACCTTATAATTTAAAATTAGTTCTAAGTAGGTACATACATAATGGTCAAAAATAAACTATTTTCACTTTTAAATACAATGATTTATTAATTATAATCACACTTTTATACATTACTTTCAAGATATACATAACTACATTTTTTTACTTTAGAAAATTGTAGCCTATTTTGTTTCACGTCATATATTGCCATATCGTACTAAATTTAGAGTAAAGTATCGTTTTTGATACGATTTTGGTAATTGGACACTACCGAATTCCCTTCACCTTATGTCAGCTGTTTGAATTGCGAAGTTTGTTCATAAACTTTTAGATTAATAAAAGAAAATAAAAAGAAGTCAATCCCAAGTCTTGTCAAAAATCATTTGGATTGAGATCAGTAACTTGTCAGTCGATATCTATTCTGCAGATTTAATAATTAAATTATTATCATTTGAAATCAATTACCTAAGATAGGTAGCCTACAAAAAACTTAAAAAAGTCAGATGCATTGCATTTTACTGATATAATAGCGTATACAATAGTCACATCTGTGATTTCAATAGATAGGTAAAGGATTTTTTAGAAAAATTGAACTTTCAATTATTAAGTTCACTATCCCTGGCTTGGCAAGCGTGGATCATCTAAGTACTTAGAATCACGGCAAATTACTTAACGAATTCAGAAATACACATTTATGCTATTTTATAATAAAATCATTAATTATGTTGTTTTCACCATTTCTCTGTAATAGCCCGATACATAGCCATCTAAATAGGTTATAATTAATAGCTACAAAACCTCCGGATCGTTCTTTATTTTTATACTTTAAGATAGGTACAAAACTTACATAATTCGAACTCATGAGAACCTATAGTGGTTGAGAAGTGCCTCTTATTCTCTGGTCCATCACAACTTTGGTATCTATACCTAGGTGCCACCAAAACAAACCTACCTACTTACATAACGCAGGTGTAAAAACTAACAATGAAAAACACCCAAATCCTATTGTCAATGAGATTACGTGTGACAATAAAGAAATTATTTTCTTAGCAATAAAGAAATAAATTTCTTTATTATTTCTTAAGTAGTAAGTACTAATTATAAAAAAAATATTTATTATGGTGTTTGGTTTTGAAAATTTACAGTAGTTTTAGAAAAGGGTATAACAACTATTGATCTTCAGCCGATTGCTAACAAAAAATTATAGGTACCTAATGTTTTCAATATTTGGCAAGGCACTTGTGAGGGCGCTCTAGTAGCGCAGATACAGCGGTCACTGCCCGTTTACAAAAGAAAGGAAAATCTAGGCGGACAATTTTAAAAATAAAACATTTTAACAACTTCCATATCTAATGTACTTATCTTCTTCTTATATATAAAAATGGATCTCAAAATGTGTTGGTAAGCGCATAACTCAACAACGCCTGAACCAATTTTGCTAATTCTTTTTTTGTTGTGTTTGTTATTGTCAGGATAAAATATTAGAAAAGAGGGGAAGATTAGGAAAACCTTCCCCTTTGATAGCGAGATAGTTGGACCCGTGCGAAGCGGGGGAGGGCCGCTAGTTTATAATACAATCAATACCTACCTAACTAATTAGTTCAACATAATAATTCATCAAAACGCCAAGCGAACGGCAACGTTCACGCACCTATTGTTCTTCTATTATGTCTCGAATCACCACGATTGGATGGTTAAAACTTTTACTACTTAAGTATTTAATACCCGTTGAAATAGGTACTAATAGCTTAGTCTTAGTGCAGTATATTACCTAAGTACATAAATACATAAAAATAAACCCAATGTTCGTGTATATAGCATATCGTAAAATGGGTATAACAAAACACCCATTAACATATTGAACATCAATAATAAATATAAAATAAACGAGCAGACAAGCCAGGCAGGGTTGGGGAAGGTGCTGGAGGGAAGCCAATTGAATTTAATTGAAACTCATTGAAATCGTGACGCTGTATTGTGCTGCTAAGACCCTAGTTTATTTTGAATTTGAAGTTCAAGAATCCTTTGCTGTTTTGTTATTTTTAACATGTAAAGCAGTATTTATTAGGATATAGAAAGAACTACTAAAAAAAAAAACAATTTATTGGCGCCGTGACCGATACATCATTATTTAGTGCAAAATTTAAATGTCGATAAGATGGGTCGAGCACACAGCTCTGATTATATTATCATTATATACTTACCTACTTACATTCTTTGAATCCTGGTATTTCTTGTAACATTTGGCAATCTCATAATTAAACAATAATTTGTAAATCAGTCACACAAGGAAAAGCTAGTAAAGTTTCCAACCAGTAAAATTAAATATGTCGTGGTGGCCCGGAGGTTAAGGCGCCCGCTTCTCATGCATGAGGGTGCAGGTTCGAAACCTGGCAAGTACCAATATGACTTTTTCCGAGTTATATGTACTTTCTATGATTATTTAGACACCACTGATATACGGTAAAGGTAAACATCGTGAGGAAACCTGGACTTATAATTTCTAATTGTAAGTTTGAAATCGCCAACCCGCATTGAGCAAGCGTGGTGATTAATGCTCTAACCTTCTCCGTATGAGAAGAGGCCTTTGCTCAGCAGTGGGCATTTATAGGCTGATGATGATGATGATGATGATGAAAATTAAATTCTTTCCCAAAATTAAAAATAAAAGTCAATACCAATAAATCGTGCGTCAAATCCGACTTATTTCCTAAAAAATTGCTATAAATATTGAAAATTAAGTGTATCGACAGATCAATGAATGGAAATATAAGTAATTTATTTTGGATTAAGTAAACTACCCAATCAGATTTTCTATGGAAAAATCGAAATCGTTATACTTACACTGCGTAGTTGCCGATGTTCCAGCCGAATAGTTTCTAGCACTTTTGAAAATTCATTAACGACTGTCCCAAGCGCCAAGCCTTCGCAACCGTTGTGTTATGGACTAGAGAGTAAATAAAGCTTATCAAATGCACTTTTATTCGCTGTAAGTAGATTATTTTTAAACGACATAGGTTGTCTAATAGGGAAATCTTTGTGAACTAAGAAATAGATAAACTTCAAAGTAATAGACTTGTGTGCAATCCTAATAAAAGAGAGAAGTTATGAGGTAGTTTTTTATTCACATTGGGCATAATTGAGCTTCTGATGATGATAATAATGATGAAGATGAAAGAATATCACGTTAGAAAAAAAAATCGAAAGCTTCCTAACCTACCTATGTTCTTTTCTGACTTGCACACCTTTTTTTATTACTAACGCCACAATATTCAGTTCTTTTGATAAAATCCAGATTTCAGATCTATGACATTTAGGTACCTATCTGTATAATTAAAGTACATAGGCACTTACCTAGGCAGCTAGCTCTTAAGATAACTTGTCTTTATGTAGGTATGTCAAGTGACTGTAAAAGATATTAGATTCAAATCCTACATGTTTTAGGTAGGTAGGTACTAGTTTTACGATGTAAGTAACATTGAACGAATGTTCAAAACTGATGGTTTATTTACTTGCTCCCTCGTGAGTGGATATCTACACAAAGTTATTTGCTCAATTAAGGCGCGGCCGCCCCCTTCAGACGGCGTAATTCTGAAGCAATTGCCTCAATAAAGACACGCGAGGGGGAACCGAGCTTTCTCCGCGATTTAGATGTTTGCTTTTATTCTGTAAATAACTTGAAAGAGCTTATGTTATGTAGATATTCGAGTATTGACGTTTTATATAAATAATAGTCTTGTTTACTGTAGAGAGATGGGCACCTTATAATAGATCATTTTACTTGACTTCCCTTAGGTATATCATATGTAGGCACTTGGAAAAAGTTTTAGACTTAATCATTATAAGCCAATATGTGAACTATAATAGAGATCCTTTAAAGTTTAAGCATTATGAACAGCACTAAGTAGTTGCATTCGGTGTATTAACAGCCCCTCATTTGCCTGGCAGCACCAGCAGTCGCACGGACATGGCAGAGGGTGGAGTCGCAACTCCCGACTGGGACATAAACGACGCGGTGGTGCCACACGTGGCCGCCTTCGACACCTTCGGGGAGTGGTGTGACGGCCACGTCCGCCGGGTGTACCCGCCCGGCTGCGAGGAGGCGCGCCGCCATGCCTCGGGCTGGGCCATGCGCAACACCAACAACCACAACGTTCACATCCTCAAGAAGAGCTGTCTAGGAGTCCTAGTATGCTCCCAGCGCTGCCGCCTCCCCGATGGTTCCCGAGTCCATCTCCGACCCGCAATTTGTGACAAGGCACGGAAAAAACAGCAAGGTACGATATTCTTTTCATTGTGTACGCTATATAAAACCAAAATTTCAAATTGATATCTACCTTTATCTACCATCTACTTTTATTTTTTACCAAATTGTTAATTCTGCATAAAACAGACGTTTACCTACTCTGTAATTGTGATATACTATTCTAATGTTACTTTTTCTCCCCAACAGGCAAACCGTGCCCAAACCGCCTTTGTAACGGAGGCCGATTAGAAGTACTGCCTTGTCGAGGACATTGTGGGTACCCAGTCACACACTTCTGGCGTCACACCGACCACGCCATATTTTTTCAGGCCAAAGGGGCCCACGACCACCCTCGCCCCGAGGCTAAGGGAGCTAGCGAAGTGCGAAGATCACTTGGAGCTGGAAGAAGAGTAAGAGGGTTAGCTTTACTGCTAGCGAGAGAAGCAGCCATAGCAGATAAAATACTCACAGTGAAGCCAGACAAACAAACCACACAGAAAGTGTGCAACCCACACCCACAGCCCCCACCATTGATTCCAGACAACCAAAGAGGTGAGTTGAGATTTTGCTAAATTTAAACATTGTAGAGTATCAAATGCTAGCTAAACTTTATTTATAATGAATTTATTTTCTTTGTTCATCAGTTCAATTAACGTGCACTTGTGGGCCATTCGAGTGCTCCTGCCGATGGCGACCAGAGCAGACTGTAGAGAGCTACGCGACGGCTGCGTGGTCCCCCCCGGAGCCGCAGTACCAGGGCTATGCCCCGCCCGCACACCCCGCGCCCCCCGCGCCCACGCTGCAGCCACAACAACACTACGATCCAACGGCCCTACCCGCTGACGACATCTTCCATCCTGAAGAAATTTTCCAATTAGACCAACCTATAAGGCTAGACTTTCCTCTCGAAGAGCACACGTTGGAGTCGCCGCCGACATTCGCAGATCTCAATGGTGAAAATTCCAGACCAGAGGAAAGTTACTGGATGGATTGGCAGCGGGCTGCAGGTAGCTCAGAATCCAGTCAAACACCCTCTCCCGAGCTGTTTGGAGGATATCAGCAGTCTGAGTACTGCGAGCAGGCTTACGTTCCTCAGGCGTATTATCCGGAGGGAGCTCAGTACTATCCTTCAGAAAGAACGCCGCCGATGATGGAGACGCAGGAGCAACGATATTACCGCTACGGGCAGGACTGCTCGCAGACCAACGTAGCAGACCTACAGTCCTGGAACTACACAGACTGCGCATTCACGACGACTGACATGTCAGAATGCAAACAGTACTTTGACGTTCAGCAGCAAGCCGTCAACGGATTTAGCGGACTCTTATAATAGTAATTGTGTAAATAGTTATGTAAAATTTTGTAAATATTCCTTGTAAGTTTTAGTTTAAGTTGTTAATTTTGTTTTTAATATGTATAAAGTTAGTCTTATTATACGCATTATGTTCCTAAAATGGTTTTAACGAAAATTTATCTCCTTCATTTGAAATGTGAGAAAATAAAACACGTTTTGTATAAAATGGTCTATTTATTGTATATAAAAATTACATTAAAATTGTCAATTTTACATTTTTAGTTACTAACAATAAAATTGGTCACTACAAAATAGTCCATATTAAGCGATCGCACGATTTTATTATGCATTTGCAGAACATTCCGAAAACCTTCAAAATGACACGTCACACGACACCATAATTTTGACGACACACAGTCCGCAACCCAAGCCTAACGTTGCAAATGAGTTCATTCGTGTCCAGCACAAATAAAACTATGCGACACACTGATCCAACAAGACACAAGCATTCCCATGTTACTCCAGTAACCATAAACCGTCAGTTTCCATCGTTAATTTTGGCTGATACCGAAATATCATAACTTAATTAAATTCGACACAATTATAGGTACCTATAACGATATCTCAAACAAGTATTTACAAACGATTGCGATAATATTGCAACGTGTTGCAATATCGGGGCCAGTATTGCACTACATCGGACTACCGACTATCGACGAGTATCGACGTACCCACACGCCGCTCCCCGCGTATTGCAAGACTCGCGACTACCATATCACTGTCTCCTACAGTCTCAACATAATTGCTATAGTAAATATTGTGAATCTATATATTGGAAAATCATTTCAATGATATGATCGTTTACATTAACGACTATTTGAAAAGAAATCTGCAATCTGTAACATGGTCATAAATATACTTTAGAATTTCAGAATATTGCTAACAGGAGCCGAATATTATCGAAAAGTTTTACGTGTACAAATATACGTATAGCTAATTATTTTAGCATTAATTTTACACTTAAGAATAGGCCCTAACTGATTAATTACACACAATTTAGTCAGTTGTACACGTAGAACCGTCCGGTCCCGCGCCTTGGCCGGGACACAGCGCACTATCACAGCATGGGGCGCCGCCCCGAGGCGGCCGCCTCTTATTATAAGGCCACAAACAAATTTAACGTGAAGCATGTCTTCTTAAATATACAATAACACCGTCATTTGCGCTTCAAACGAAACTAGTTCAGTGTTAGAAAGGCTAAAACAATATTCGGACGCAAGTGTCTGTGCCTCACTATCGTATAAATCTTCTCTCTTCCTCCTACCGGAGAGTAGGCGAACGGGTCGAGCCAGCTCGAGTGATGCTCACTCTAGCGAAACTATAATATCATAAGGATCTAAGCTACAGTACGGGCGGTGAGGGTTCAGAGCTCAAACAAGGGCGAGATCGAGTGTTTAAAGCATTAACATTGCTGAAGCCTACCGACAAATTGTAAGAAGAATTCCTAAGTGGAACGACTGTCCTACTAGATAATCACTATGACTTAGTTATCAAGATAGTACTTATAAAGGTAGGAGAATCTTAAGGAGAATGTGACTCTACACAATAGACACGTATCTAGCTATTAGACATAAATAATGCTCTTTGTCGATTTGTGAACAAAGCGTCGAGTCTGAAACGAAATACAGCGATACACATATATTAATTTTTGTGCTAGAATATAACTTGATAATCACCAATAACACTATCCTACATTAAAATAGCTAACATAGTTTGGTATTCAATATGAAAATAAATGATTCTATAAGAAACAAACAGTATAAGGAACTAAATATAACACAACACATCGTAGAGATAAGAATAATATAAAATACGAATACAATCGCAACATAAGATCACGTAAAGCTTCAACACGACTAAACAAATTTGTACTATTGAGAAGAAATCACTGCCTAATTGAGATACAAACTTCAATAGAGGGAATCGGAGACGGTAATTTCTACATTATATTCTAAATACACGTAGAATATAGGAGAGAAAGGGAAACTTTGAGAGCTCGCAGGCGCGCGAGCTAGCGACTAGCGAGCTACCTCCAGCGCTTGTAGTTACCACTGGGTCACGGCCCAGCGGCGCGCGGAATTCTAAACAATGGAGCGTAGACCACTACACTTGCAACCACATCTGCTTGAATCCATGCACGACCCTTGTACGCACTTCGTTATCGCGTCATTGTGCTTGACCATTTCTTGCTATTCAATTTTTGAGAACAGCTTTCAGTATGGAATGAAGTAACGTCAACTCCATTGGTTTAGAAAGTGGTGGTGGTACTATGTGTTGGTGGCATGCGGGGGCCGCGCTGGGTGTCAGGGCTCGGCCTCCTCGGCCAGGTCGGAGGGCGCCGCCCCCGGGGCCGCGCCGCGCGCCAGGACGGCCACGGCGCTCACCGTCAGCTCCAGCGGTTCCCCCACGCACCGACCCACGCTGCACTCCATATCCGTACTGAGAACACGATACACACTCGATTTAAATAGAGTTACTAAAAAACATTTCTCCACATTATGATTTTCTCCTGGGTTTGGGTGGTACACCCAGACCCGGAACACCTCTTTGTAATTCACACAAAGAGTTGTTCCGTGCGGAAATCGGGCCCCGCTACACGTTGCGCGGCAGTGGTCAAGTTACTTTTATAAGACTATATTCTATCCTTGCAAATATTCTTAATAATTTGCCAAAAACGTCCTCGAAAGCTAAACTCAATACTCACGCAGCGCTGATGGTGGAGAGATGCATCCTAGTATTCTGCCACTGCTCACTGGCCTCGATGGAGTCGAGCTGGTCTTCAGAGTGCGTGTGGGCAGAGGCTGCGGAGACAGGGTCGCTGCAGGACACTGGAGACTCCAGGTTGATGAGCGTGCCTGTCGCTACTTCAGGTGCTCGACCACTCTCCTCCGTCGCCGAGCTGGTGGACTGACTCGTATCCACCGACTTCTGAGTATCTATTACAAAAATACATTCAAAATAACGTTTTTACTTAAACTATTTTAGTTTTATATTAATCCGTCGTATTGCTTATAAAAGTAAGGTTAATAATGTACCTATAATGATATGATGACGAGACGTCACAGTACAATATCAATAAATTAAATCATTTAAAAATTTTCATGCTTCAACTAGGATCGAATTTGACAAAAATACGATTAATACTGTGGCGTCGACTTACCATCATTGTTAATTGATATGGAACCTGGATGGGGGCTAAAGCAAAACATACTTGTAAAAGCGAATGGCGTGGCGTGGTAGCAAGCGAGTGACTGATGAAGAGAAATAAGCAAAGACCTGGGGCATGCATGTAGGTCAACCACTTCTTGAGCGGGCGGGCGTCGCCGAGCACTGGCAGCACGCCGCCCTTCAATGCATCTGCAACGCAACGCGTGACTTAACGACACGGAGACGGTGCGCTTGCCTTAATAATGCACATTCTTCTTCTATCTTAATATTATTCTGACTTATTATTACTAAGCCCAAACAAACTCCCAAGTTACACTGAAGAAAATATTTGACACATCCTGTATATGGGATGGTTGCCACCGAACTCTCAACTCAACAAATATGAATGCATGATGGTGACATAGGCTCTACTAAAATGCATAAATTTCCAAAATTTGTATGTAATATGAGTAGTAATAAAAAGACAGGAGTTTATTTTCTTATTGTGTATTAAGTACATAGTCGCCAAAATATATAAGAAAAGAAGAATAGAAAATAATACATGATTTAATGAAACAATTTTGAAGGCCCAATACTCCTGCCTGGGGCTGTTATCCCGCTCATGAACCTACCGTCTACATAAAACCATACATATATTTATGTGTAATTGAAAAACAAAAGAAAGAAGCATATACAAGCTTTAAGGAAGCTCAAAAAATAATTATTTCAATACAAAAATATTTTAAAATAGAGATGATGACGTAAAGAAAAATCGAGTATAAAATCGACCGAGTTCGTGACGTCACACTGTATTTCGAATCAGTATATCGCTAAAAGTATTTGATCACGTAAGAGAATAAAATAAAATACTAATCGATTAATTTTCAATTTAGTCATCATTCCTAATAATTGTGTTTAAAGACTCACTAATGTAACTGTTTGACGAGTAACTCGACTAATTTCAAGTCAAGGTGGGGACTCATACTTAAAAGCAGTATTACGCACGCACGACGCAGCGCACGTTGCACAACTACTCGGGTTTAGCGCAATGTTGCTCATGAATATGAGCCCCCAGCGTAACTTGAAACTATTCGAGTGCCTAGTCAAAGTGAGCCGTTAAACATAATGAATAAATCATCTCTATAATCATTGTGAATTATTAAAAATAATATCATAACGTACCTATATAATGAATACTTAAACTAACTACAAAATAATCAGTCGATGTTACTAACTACATTATCCTATGCGAGTGTGAGTGAGCACGAGCGAAAGCGGACACTACAGTGATGGTGCTTGCTTAAAATACCGGTGAGACACCATAAAAGTACTATTACAAATACATTTTCCAATATGGATACTTTAATAATTAATTTTCGTCGATTCAATTTATAATGCTATCTTTTTCCAACACATGTAATAATGAGAGCGATCTTGATTGGCCGTGCTTAAATCACGCACTCATTACGGCGAAAGATTGGCTAAGAGTATCTTTTTAATAAAATATAGATCAGTTGCGTGGATTCGAATACTGTATTTTGTTACCGTACATAGAGCAAAAGGCCACTAAGAAAAAAATATTTTTTTTTAATAAAACGTTTCCTCCACATTTACGTTTCTTGCCGTGTCGTGGGTGTGTTTACAAACATACAGTTTTACATACACATCACACCCAAACCCAGAACAACAATTTGTGGATTACACAGAGTGGTTCCGTGCGGGAATCGTGCATTCTGCACCGTGCATTCTTTGTAATATTATGTGAAGTCTAATTCTCCATATGTCTTAAAATAATCTCTCAAAAGAAAGGTTTGATTTCTTTCGCTTCAGAGTACTAAATGTCATTATAAACGGCAACCCAAATCCCGATTAACCGTGTATTTAATAATCTTTCTCTTTCTTAATTTAACAAAATGAAAAAGATAGCAGTATAAGCAAAATAGCGAAATCGTAGACCTTGTGCTTTGCATAATCGATATTGAAGTTACACAAAATAGCTGTGCGTGTGCACGGCACGAAACATAGCAATAATTTATGCACAAAAATTTACCCTCAATCTTTTTCCGGTTTTCATGACACCTCGCTGTAAATGGTGAATAAAATTTGGTATAGTTCCAGCCAAATTTTAAGACGCTCATAAAGAGATAATTTTATATAGTAAGTTATTAGAATAATATTTTAAAGTCTACATTAAGGCTGATTTTTCAGTGGTCAGATATATAAGTTATTTGAGGAATAATTATGATGCTGTCGCGTCAGAATGTTTGTATAAGATAGACAGTGACAGCAAAAATTTTATTTCTCATATAGCATTTATCTGACTATTAAAAATTAGCCCAAAATCTAATAAAATTTAATGACAACTACAGTCAGAAGTAAAACACATTTCTTATTACTTGCTAAACAGTTCACTTCAGTCAATAGAGAAACAAAAACATATTCAGTGAATCAATAAATTTGCATTAAAAAAATACTATTTTGATTAGTCATAAAAATTTGGCAAGAACTATTAATGACACACAAAAATCCATTTTTACAATGCTCAATTAAATTTACGCTTTAAAAAGCCTTTTATGGTGTCACATCGGGTTCAACGAAAGGTTTAAGATCTGTAATTGCGAATGTACAGGAATCCTCACAAGTAAAAAAAATAAAAAAACACACACACTCTAAAGAACACATATTATCAGGAACTATGAGTCAAAAACATTAATCTAAAGAGGTATACAATAAAACATAAAACGAAAAAGTTTCCAAAAATGAACACATAAGTAAATTAAAAGATTGCAAAAAAAGTAATATGTGAGACAGATCTTCGGGAAAAATCGATTACAATAATTTCGATAAATCATCTTTATCAAGAGAATAATAGTTACAAAACAGAACATGGAATAAAATACTGGCTCAGATCATTATAAAATAATTTTGTATTCAACATTAATTTCCAATTTATTACATTCACATTACTGACGTCATCTACACATTGATGGCGTCACTCTTCATACAAAGCCAACACTGTAGTTATACGGGGATCGCCGCGATAATTAACCTTTTGAACGCCAATAGGAAAGCTATCGCTATATACCTCAACACGAACCCTCTTCAGTGAAATGAGTTATGAATGAATGATAATTTGTTTTTGTATTACAACTTTAGTGAGAAATATTAAAATATTAATAATGGCCTTTTTTTTAAAAGAAAACGTTGCACCACACCCGTACCCGCAACACGTTGCGCGGCTGCCAGTTGCCCAGCTACGTTTAAGTCTATATTCACGTGACTGTTTAGAGGGACGATGGATGAATATGAGCCAACTTGGTTTGTAACTAATAGAGTTCTTCGATGTAATATTTGAACTAGTTTGTTGCCATCAAATGAAATGCAATTTAAAATTGATGATTAATTCCTTCACAAAAGTTATTTTACCACCCACATTGTATGTTGTCACGTTTTGTTCCATTATTTGAATCTATTACAAAGATATTAATAAACTAGTTAGTCCTCGTTTAGTCCTGTTATATAAATATGTTAAAATGGCGTTCAAAATACTAATAGAACAAGCAGACTGTTTTTTTAGCAAATCTGCTTGCTTGCTCGAAAATCAGTACAAACTCTTCGAAATGGCCAGCCAAGTAAAAGAGTTTGAAAATAATCCCCGCATAAATAGAGTGTTAGAAGTAAAATACAATAAAAAAATTTAAAAGATTTCTATAAAGTTGATTACTTTTGTATAAAAATACATCTTCCCGTAGTTCTGTCGTTATCCAGTCATTTGGTATAAGAAGTAGGAGTTATGATAAGGAAACTTTTCCAAGAGTTAAAAATTGCTTTTATAGAGCCAACTTTATCACAACACATATTTACTGCTTGCGCCACAACATTAGAGCAATCGTGCCAAATAGTAGACTTTACAAAATAAATGTCTTTTTTACAATTGCGAAAAAGCGCACAATCAAATAAAAAAAAGATATTTCACAATTTCATAATTACGACTTTCATTTTGTTTGATAATTTGTGACGTACGGTACGAAAAGAGGTGATAAAGTTTGCAGAAAAGAAAACATCAGAGAAAGAAAATAGAAAAAGAAGCAGTAAAGAAAGTGATAAATAGAATAACATTAAAAAATATTTAGCAGCAATTTTGAAATCTCCCGGAAAAGTTTGTAAAGAGACCAATCGACTGGATTAGTTAGTAGAGTTATTAGAATGATTTTGGAATATTTGATCGAGACCGTCGTCGTACGTACCGGGGCGGTGGCGCGGGTCGCAGCAGGCTGGGGGCGCCGCCCCCGCCCGCGGGGGGCGCACGCGGACTCGGTAGAACCGGGACCCGCGCGGCATGCCGTAGCGGTTACCACTCTGATATGGACAATTATAGTCAACACAATTTAAAAAAAATACATAATTTTACTTTTACTAAAGAAATATCTGCAGATGAAAATAATAATAATTAGCATAGCTTAAAATAATACCAGACATTGCGCAATTTTCTTTTGTTTATTGAATTGCGCAATTTCAGATATTACTATATGTTGCTGCAAAATGTTATGAAACTTTAAAAAATGGATTTTCTCTAGAAATTAAAGAAACCTTAGGAAAATTATTAGTATATTACGTTATACTTTACTAATTTATTAGTAGTTAAAATTAAAGAAAAACCCTTTTATTTGTTTTTTTTAATAATTTAGTAGAAGTGAAAAATAAACAATAATAAAGTTGATCATACCTTCTTGGCGTAGCAATACTCCTTGGACTCGACAGTGGCGACCGCGTACAGTCGCCGCTCACTTTCGTTCTTAACGTTGATACTGAGATCTAGTGCCGGCAGGCAATCACTGTGCACGAAGTACATTATTGACGCCTCCTGTAAAATTAATATAAGATATTATAAATTAAAATTAGTTTACAGTATTATTTATCATGTAAAAAAATGCAGCCTTATATAATCCTACTAATAATATAATCCTACTAATACTTATTATAAATATGAAAATTTGCGTGACTGTATGGATTGTATATTTGTTATTCTTTCAGGCAAAAACGGTTGTGTCGATTTTGTTGAAATTTATTGTTATACCCTTTTTTGTCAGGGGAAAATCATCAAATGACTTCTCCCGCCCAGGGAAGGCGAGAGAGAGTGTCAAACTCTTACTGACAAACCCCCCCCCCCCCGTTCCTTCTACTGCTCTGGGCCGAGGCCGCGGTGACTCATTGCGCTTACCCCGCAACCCTGGCTGAACATCAGCCCTATAGGGCCCCGCGTCAACAAAAATTGTGATACCCTAGATTGACATATTGGCTGCTTTTTATCAAGGAAAGCCGCAGGCGGAAGCTAGTATTGAAAAAATAGTTGGCTGATTAGTGAAGACATGTAAGTAGAGAGTAGGCATTACCTGCAGCACGGTGTAGTTCATATGCGCGGGGTCCCACAGCAGTAGCACGGAGTGTCCGGGCAGACAGGCCGACAGCGACAGCGTGCCCGCCGCCAGCCCGCATGGCGTGTGGCTGCGGGCCCGACGACGGGACAACTCCTCGCGCTTCGGAGACGATGACCTGCAATTGACAATTATTTTTTTGTTAAACGTCGTTATACTAGTATTTTCACCTCTGGGGTATGTGAAACTGGGATCTTTAAAGTCAAAAGACAATATCATTTATTTCAATTAGACCCTGACAGGCATTTTAGAAAGTCAAACAAATTTTGAAAGATAAAGTGTCACTCTATCGGTCAGTCCTGTTAGTGAAGCTATTTGCCGTGCTCGTTCCATAGTATACTATACCATATACTTGGACATACCAAATAAATTTGAAATTAAAAAGTAATATGTTTGAACTGTACGCCATATAAGTTTAACAGGAGCTTATATGAAGGTGGTGAAACAAGCACTCAATCTGATACATATTACTTAACATATAGCTGTCTATATGTGTATATGATATCAAGAATTTAACATCTACTAAAAGTACATGCGTAACCCACATGGTTATGGGATTTAAACTTAAATATTCTGAATGTGTGAAGAGGCCTTTAGCACTACAAAAATCTTTTAAAGACAGTAGAAAAAAAAATCGATTTGTTTAGAACTTACCGGCCCTCACTATCTTCGTCTTTACTTTTTTCTTCTTCCGCCTTCTTTTCCAACTCTTTTTTCAAATCCTTCACCTGTTGTTTAAGTACTTCATTCTCATTCTCGAGTGAAGCCATCTGAAACAAGAGAAAACAAATATTAAGTCTTCCTAATGTATTACAATTGTAATTGTAAAGTGTATTACAATAACCAATTATTATTTGATTGATTAGATCTGTGAAAAGTCAGACAAATTATGTAAGAAATAAAATGAAATGTTATTATTAACTTGGTGTTAAGATTTTAGTTTAAGTTTATTTATATTATACAATTAAATTATGAATATGCGCTTTTGCGCATACATTTTGGGATTTTGCGCAACTAACAACGAAAAACACATATCTTTTAAGCCCAAAATATTACAAAGTGTTTTATGCATTTTTGCATGTAATCTACAGAAAAGCCAGATTAAACACAACATTGAAAGCTTACATACCTGAGTTTTAAGAAGAGCGTCAAAATCATTCGTCTCCGGATCAGTTAGCTGTTGGATGGTATCTCGGTACTTGCCACACTCCCGCACTAATGCGGCCTCTCTTTCTCGCAACGCATCTATCTGTCTCTCTTTCTCCGTGAGTAGCCGACGGGTCACGTCCGTAGTAGACATAGATGTCGAAAGCTAAAAAGCGTGAAGTGTGTAAAATAAAATACAAAATAAAAGTGACAACCAAACTTGTGGAAAAGATAACCATAACTGGTTATTTAAAAAATAAATAAGAAGCAATATACATACATATGTATATTTAATGTTTGGACAGCTAATCAAATAATAAATGCAGATGGTAGGTATACTACATTATATATTGGCAACACCGCAGAAGCAAGTACGAGTATTTTATTTGACAATAATCTACACATTTACAAAGAGCCTCTCTACATTTGTATAATATAATTTTTGCTTTAAAGAGTATTTAGTACTCGATAAATACGTGTTTTATTTATCCCTAAATGTATAGTCAGACTTTAATCCTGGAGTTTCCATCTAGTCAAAATCAATAATTTAAAGAAATGTAAAAAAGTATACATATTTCTTCGTTTTTGTATGAAATCTTAAAATATGTCAATATGTTTTACCGTCCAAATCAATAATTTAATATTTCTGAAATATTAGCAAAAAAGTCTGAAATAAGGCCTGTTGTAAAATCAGTGAATAAATGAATAATAATATTTCAGTAATATATCATATTGAAAAGTCTAAGTAATTTATTTTTGACCTAGAAAACTACCCAATTGTGCAAGACCCATCTTTCAGGGTACCTTAAACTCTTTAAAGCAAAAAGTTTACACACTACAAGCTAGGAAATTCTCGTCAATAACTGACCTGTTTCTCAGAGTCGTACTTAGCGGTTATGGAGGCAACTTCAGCTTCCATTTTGCTTCGCCACTCTGCCTCAACTTTAGCCACAGCTTCTCGAACCGCTTCTTCTTTCTCCACTTCAGCATTCTCCTTAGTCTGCATTACAATAGCATTGTGACTGGAAATTTCAATGACATCTGTACGCTCTATCTTCTCCAAACTTGATTCCGATGGTGAACGGTCCATGTTTGTAAGTGCTACTAAACGGAACCTGGAATTAAAATTTATTCATAACATTATGTGAATTTAAATTCAAACCTTCCCCTCCCCCAATCCCTAACTCTTCAAAATCTTTCCCCCAAAACCCAAAAGGCCAGCAACGCACTCTTAACTATTCGGGTGTTAAGTGTGACCATGGGCAGGGCCGATTGCTTACCATCAGATAATCCACCGGCTCGTTTGGTGAACTATCATATGAAAGCATTTAATATGAAATTTAAGTATTATTGAACTTTCAGGAGAAACCGATTACGCTATACCGGGCATAATTCTACTAAGAAACTAAAAGGAAGCATAAATAAGCAAGGCCAATGAGTTTACCCGAAACTCAAACAAAAAGTCTCGATGCAATCAGTCGAGTTTGGGGCCCATCTAATGAGAAAAAAATAACCTTTACTGTTTATTCATAAAATACTTAATTTTACTTTCTTACCTAGACCGCAGAGACTCAATTTCAGCCTTATAATCCATGTGCATCTTCTCCTGCAACTCTTTGATCTCCTTCTGTTTCTGAGCTTCTATTTCTTCTAATTTCTTTTCAAATACCTGTATCTCTTGCCGGGTCTTCTCTAGCAGATCCTTAGTCTCTTGATGCTCCTTTTCCAGTCTTTCTAGTTCTTTCTGGTGTAGATTTTTTATGTTCTCTGTGTCAGTTTTGAGATTAGAAATAGCTTCGTCTTTAGCGTTTAGAGCTGCCTTCATATCACTGAGTTCTAGCTCATGGTCTACTGTGAGTCTTTGTGTCTCCTCACGGAACCTAATCGCAGTCTCAACGTTACTCTTCTCCCACGCCTCCAATATTTCCACATACTTACTAGCCATAAACTTTTTCTGCTCATTAACTTCCTCCTTCAACTTTGTCAACTCTTCCACAATGAACACAATATTCACCTTGCATACAGAATAGACTTTAACCAAAAAATCTTGCAGTTTTTCCATATTTATCCTATGTGTATCCATATTATCCTGGAAATAATAATATCCATCAGCATCTTGATATCAAATAAAATCTTCTACATTACGTACATAATGAAGAAGAAATAATGATAACAACTAAAAAATATGCAAATAAAAATATGATTCAGCTCATACGGGGCCGGTGAAGACAGGAGCAAAAAAATAATAAGAGAAAAGCGACCACTCGGGTAAGGGCCTCGGGTCCGAATAGATTGTTCTGAGTTGGAGGTCTTATCAGAGTGGCGCGGTCGCGGGAGGATGTACACCTGTCGTTCGTGCCGGCCCCGTTCCAGGCTCGACGGTAGCGACTCTTCAATGTACATGTCAGAGTTTTCGAACTCGTCAGATTTCGGGGAACTCTCCGCGGTTTCCAATATAACCGATAGTTTTCGCACCTCCGTTACCGTCGACACGGCCATGGTCTCGGGAACACAAATAGTAGACATGTCAATTTTCTGTTTTTGTGTTGAACTCTGGCCTCCAAGTTTTTCGAAGTCGCCGGCTTCCGTTACTGAATCAAAGTCTCTGCAATGAAAATGACAAAATGAGTTTTTATATTTTGGCATGATAATATCTACTCTTAAAAAAATATTAAAAGAAAGCACTTACTTTTCCATATCTACTTGAGTGTCGATATCTTTCCTTTCGTACTCTGAGGCACGTATTCTGAAATTTGAAACATACAATACAACATCATACATAGTTATATGTAATTCGCATACATTTTCTTTAATGCTAATATTTCAAAAAACAAATAATAATTTATCATCAACAATGAAACATACCTCTGCTGGAAAAATTGAACTGTAGAATCCATATCGTAGCTAGGGATATCGTCGCAAAGGTCTGGAAACTCGTGGGTGATATAATCCACATCTGCTTCGGTAAGTTTGGGCAGGTTGGCATCAAATATTGGCGGAGCTTGTGTGGCAAATGTTGGTGGAAGCTCGCACATACCGGGGAAGAGACTACGCAAGAAATGACCCTCAAATACTGCGTTGAACTCTTGTCGCCTACTTATCTCTTCTTCGTGGATTTTGAGCAATTTTTCCGCTAAATCTGATGCCCACTGGAATTAAATAGAAAAAACATCGTTTTACTAGCTGATCAAATTAAAGCTGTGTCTTCAATCAAAGTCACCAATAATAACACTCTAAATACTAGTCAATCATTAATGATATACTTTTAGTGATAAAATATTAGTTTAATAGAACATTTACATCAATAGCTTCAAAACGAAAGGTGGGCAAACGAAAAACACTTTTGCCCAACCCTGGAAATAGCAAAAAGAGTCTATCTTTCCCAAAACTAGACCAAAACGCTATGTAATTTTAAAGAAGTGTACCTTTAGATGGGCTTGCGAGAAGGTGCGACGCCGAGCAACTTCTCTGACAGCACGCACGAAGACATTGGGGGCGCGGTGTAACTGCGCCACTATACCGAAGTACCGCGCCAGCCGGTTGAAGCACTGGAACGAAAGCATCGCGTGCGCGTCCTGCACTGACATCGAGTTCTCGATCATTAGAACCGCCCTGGAATTGTAACATGTAAATTAGCTCACCTCTTGCCGCATATCTATATTAATCATATTATTGAACAAAACAGCTACTTAATGCTATGAAATAATTTTTGCATTTTTTTCTGACAAGAAACTTGACTTCATACTGCATGTAAATTGGAAGTTATTAATTGCTAGTCCATTAAACTCTTAAATAATTATTATTTGAATTTTTCCTGTTACAAAGCTTTTTTATATTCAGTTTGTTATATAATAATAGGATATAATGTATGCATGTATGTATAGTGAAATATTTATAAATATATTGTTAATTCTGTACCTATCTGTTTATTTATTAGTTCGCTTGACACTTGTTTAGAACCTATTGTCAAATTTCTGTGCATCACCCTTGCGGTTGACTGGAGCATGTCTCATCGACATGAAGTCCACCTTTGTATATACTATTACATAAAGTGTTAAATAAATAAATAAGAAGAAACCACTACGTAATAAGATTATTAAGATAAAAAGCCAAAATTATGATCAGTTATGTGTTTCGCCGTGTGAGTAACGAGAGGCCTCCCTCGCTCCTCATCCCTTCCCAAACCATAATATCCGAAACCATTATCCCCAAAAGGTCGACAAGGCAAAACTCTTGATGTTGCGGGTGTCCATGAGCGGCGCCTATTGCTTACCATCAAGTAAACCGCCGCCTCGTTTGCAAGATAATGAATAATAAAAAGTTACTTGGTTCAATTGTAAAACTGATTGAAAAAGAGTAACCATGGAGTTTCTTGCTCGTTCTTCTCCTCCACTTTGTACCAAGCAAATTGCTTCACTAGAGGACAGACTGGCACGCTTAAAGTAAAGCTCTTGATATACTTTTTTCCTTTTTTTACTTGACGTTCAAAAGTGCTTACCTTAGTCTAATGTACATAAATGATTTTGACTTTGACTTTACACCGATCAAAACAAAACAACTAAAACACAAGTATTAAAAAGAAACTCACTCTAATCTCGCCTTCAAAATGTGTGAGAGTTCGTCCTTAGACTTGGCGATGCGCCGCCTAATGTCAATGAGCGTCTGATGCCCTTTCAGTAACTTCTTTAGTTGACACCAATGTGACTGCACTAGTGTTGGCAGGACGGACGGATCGCATGCTGTGTTTAAACGCTCGCGACACTGAAACAGATATTTAGAAGTTGTTATTACAGAATAGTGATAGCCATTTTCCGTTACTGCAGATCTACTTTAGAAGGAAAGGTTTATTTGCTACATAACATGAATATAATTCTAGAAATAATGAGCACGTTTTTTATGTTACGTATACTCTCTAGTACTTGTAACCATAAAGGTGATTGAGAAACCCCGCAAATGTAAGTTGTCCGCCAATCAATTCTAGAATCAACCACGGACTTAACATTGTGTGAAATCTCTTTACAATCCTTGAATGTGGTAAAAAGAAGTTTCCAGGCAAGTCTGTTTGATCGCCTGTATAACCGGTTTATCTCAACCCTTAATAAGAGTTCACCAATAAATAGTGTAAGAGGAATGTTTAGGTATAATAATAATAAACTTCTTGTAGTTCTAACCAAGGAAATTAAGCATGTTCTTTTTATTACCTGTATAAGTGACGCAGCCTGGTCACGCTGATCTCGCTCCAATTTCTTCACATCATTCAATAGCTGGTCCAAGCCATACAGTCTTTCTTCGATGCCCTTAATGTGCTTAAGACCATGCATATTGGCATATTCCAGAATGTGGTACAGCTCCGCTTCACGCTCCTTTAGCGGATCTGCATCTAGCTGTAATTAAAATATTATACATATATTGTAAGGCAAATTCCAACTTCAAATTAAAACACCAATGTAACTTAACGTTAAAGAGATATTTAAGATTACATCAATAAAATAAAGGCATTGCTATATTTCTGTTAAAATACAGCAAAACAAAATGTCAACGACCTTTTCACTACAGACACATCCCTAGAAGGTCAAATTTAATTTACTATTTTGTATTTATATGACTAAGATTGTTAATAGATCGAACGTAATCTTTTAAATGATATAGTTTTCTTTCCATTGCCCTTCTTTAATTTAACTGTTATATAGAATGGACTGAGTTTAATTATAATATGAGAAGCGAACAGAAGAAGAGCACGGTAAGAGAAATTATCCTCATATTTCGCAAAAGTAAGTCTTTTTTTTCACGGGTCACATCGTTTGTTACTTTCTGAGTGGGGCTAGAGAGAATGTCAGTCTCTTGCTGACTAAAAACCACCCCATTCCTTCACATGCTGAGGACCAAGACTAGGTCAATAATTTAAACTCTCTTTTAAGCAACATCATCATCATCACCAGCCTGTAAGTGCCCACGTAGAAGGTTTGAGCATTAATCACCACGCTTGCTCAATGCGGGTTGGTGATTTCAAATTTATAATTAAAAATCATAAGTCCAGGTTTCCTCACGATGTTTACCTTCACCGTATGTTAGTGGTGTCTAAATAATTATAAAAAGTACATATAACTCGGAAACAGTCACATTGGTACTTGCCAGGTTTCGAAACCTCACCCTCATGCATGAGAAGCGGGCTCCTTAACTTCCGGGCCCCCAAGACTTTTTTTTTTGCAACTGCAGAAATTATCATTTTCCTCTGCATCCGAGTCAGTTTTGTTAGTCGATTTATAAGGTTTTTAATAGTACCCATTAACACTTACCAATGCTAGTCCTTTCTGACAGTAATCTAAGATATCTTGTAAGGAAGCTTTGTTCCCCTGCGCCAGGATCCAGTGCAGCAAAGAAGGCTCCTCCTTGTTCTCATAGGACTGCGCCTTGAATGTGACTGCTTCATCAGACTCCTCAACGAGAGGAACTGGCTCTGAAGATGTCGCTGCTTCATTCCCTGAACCCGACTGTCTCTGATCGAATACTGTAAAGATGAGAACAATATTTTGAGGTGTTGACCATTTTTGGATCTTAGTCACATACTGTGGACATAGAAAAGGTAAAGGTACATTATCTAATTTTTAGACAACTTCACAGGCTACATATAAAAGTATATAGGATCTTATTAAGACTTCTCTGACAAAAAAAAAAGATTTATGGAGATTGAACAAGGTAAAGACGCGTCTAAAGGGGAGAATTGGCCTTCAACATTACTGTTAGCAGTCATTAAGATAAGAAAAAATATTCCAAAAGAAGGAACGTCACATCACAATAAGTAACTTGAATATTAAGAAAAAGATTTTATTATTAATCCTAACATTTTTTCACCAAAATATAGGTACAAGAACGTTAAATAAGTTTAGTTTTACTTATAAAATAAAATATAATTGCTACAGGGACCCTTTTCTTCACCTCAGTACTTTTAAAAATAGCTGCATTTCTCCAAGTTCCGCTATACTGGTCATTACAATTTTTCCCTGCTCTAAGTACGATTATTTATAGGCGAACTATGCCAAGCGGTGCATGTTATCGGCGCCCCGATCTACCTACAAGAGGGCTCCCCTTTGCTTGAACTGTGTTATAGATATGATAATAGATAAATAGAAAATATTACTTTATTACTAGCTTGTTCACTAGCTAGAGTAAAATTTTGATGTTTCTATTTAAATCATTCGAATACTGTATATTTTTTTTTTATGGAATAGGTCGACAAACGAGCACACGGAGTACCTGATGGTAAGTAAATATGACTGTGGTTTCTCAATGAATAAAAAAGATACGAGAATTATTTATTTAAGTGTTAAGCATTTTTGGAAAGAAACAGTCGGGATATAATTAGTCATTATTGTCTCCAATAGTATACATATAAGCACTCATTTATTAAATGAATTCGCTAGAGTTTGTTTTGCTGGGTTATAACGAACTTTTAAGTCCTTAGTGATGGAAAGTACTAAAGCATTTTGATCAAATCTAGATTAAGGTGTAAACTTATTACATACAGAGACAGAGAATGGCAAATAACTCAAAACCGCATATAATTGCTATTAAAAGAGTTGGTTCAGAATGTGCACGCGACGCGGACGGTCTTAACGTACCGATGAATCTAAACACCATGATTGTAACTATAGACAATATCGATAATAAAAACACCGACAACTCTTGTTATAATAGTCGAGCTAGTGACCAATACAAACAGAAAACAAACCAATTACTCATATCGAAAATTATTAATGAGATTATGATTGTTATTCACAACAAATATCACAATATTAGGTAGTGTCACGCTCGTGAGTTCGCACGCGCAACCAATAAATTGCACAACGCACAACAATGATAAGCTAAAGTAGTCTCAGATGTTATAATTGGAATATTTTATCAGTCAGTGCCCTACTTAAGTCCTATAACATAGGTAAAACATTCTCATTACAAACGAATCACAATAAAAATACCCTATTACTGGGCTGTGACGTCAGACACCATAATCGTTTCCGCTCAAACCAGTTTGCGTTAAAAAGTCATTAGCTAAATATAGACAGGTCGACGTGATAGTCACTCATTGACATTGTACGATTAATTCATCGGCTGGACAACCAATTTTGTCGTTCACTTCCTAATCACTAAACTTTTCAAACTAAACCAACACTACCCATTTTCTAGAACTATGTGTTTCTGTAGCATCTAGGTACATTCTCAAAGGACATTTTAAGACGTTCTAACATCAAATGTGTATACGGCCGAAAAGACAAAAGATTTTTGAAATAAAAATGTAACATTTCCTTAAAAGAACGTGTTCAGAAAACACCTTTAAACCGTCCACTTACATTATTTGCTTTTTACACATGAACTCATTACACAAATAGCGATAATAAGTCTGTAAATTATGCAGTCTATTGTTATAAGTACTTACCATCTTCGTCGGACAACTTGAACGCTTCGACGCCAAAGTCGCTAGGTTTATTTTCTGAGCTGTTGTCCAGTGGATGCGTGATCCTATAATGAGGACCCTCGAAGTCCGTGTCCTCGAAGACATCAAAAGCCGAGAACCTGTGAGCTTCGGCGTTTAATTGGAGAGCTGGCAGTATTGGGATCTTGCCTAGAGATTCTAAAACTTCGTTGAGCCTAGAAAATAAGATAAAATTTGGATAAAGACATTGTAAAGGTCACTGACTCGTAAGTTACAAATTAAAGAGTAAATATTATTTTTTTCTGTTATTTTCCCGTTTTGTAATTCAAACAATATTATGCCTATTAGGTGCTCTCATAGGAGGCCATGTTTGTAAACTGAAAGTTGAGACTCGATGCTATTACCTACTGTGCTATTATGTACTAAGAATTAGGTATTTGTTGTAGTATCAATTTTTCCTGAAACGTTTTGCATGTATCAGTAATACAGTATAATAGTCTTGCAACCTAATCTTGCAGCTAATGCGGAAGACATTTCTACATAATTAAAGTCGCAGAAAACTACAACAAGTCTCTTTACACATACCAAATAAAATATGGAGACGTCTTTGTTTGTTACTAAACAGACACTCCATTTAAATACTAAAACTTTGTTTGTATAACGAAATGTTAAGACAAGTGTGTGTGACGATTAACGAAAGTATTCAGAATCATTGTTGTTTGTTGTATTTCAGACAGTTATCACGTGCCGATAACGGGGATCGCGCTTATCATTAGAGTTTGGTCTAGACAGAATTATTTGCAAGAATAGGCTAAACTGGGGCGAGGGGGTCATGGTCAATGGAAGTCCGCCAGCCCGCCAGTATTCGGTGCAGCGAGGTCCGAATGTGACCCAAAAATACTTTGACATTAGCGAACTTTTTATGATAATTAAATGTATGTTTGCATTGTATTTGTACAATGCAAATTTTAAATGTCCGTTTTGTACTTCAGGGAACAATGACAAATACAGTCAGAAGGGGTAAGCTGACTTGTAGCAGAACTTAAATTACCGGGTAGGTAATTGTAATATAGTACGAGCGGTTGAGTCTAACCTAAGAAATAAAATGGTTCCTCCAGGGACGCGTGGTCTTATAATAATTGCATTCCGCTGGGGATTGCAGGCACAAGTTCTATAATGTACCAAGGCCCCGACTCGGAGCAAAAGAACGAACAGGATGGTTGTTCGTCAAAGAGTCTGACACTCTCGCACCTTAGGCGGGAGAGATCCTTGGATGATTGTCTCAAAATGAAAGCATAATATAAACATACAAGTTACGTGTGATGCGGACGAGACAAAGGTAAATCAATACTGAACGAACAGTACTGTACTATCACAAACACGGCACGACAGTACCTAACCATTTATTCATAAAATTACAGCTGAACACGGTCGCTGAGTCTTTGTAACTACCTGTGTTTAGCACGGTAGGACATGTAACACACAATACCTTGTTATTACGCACCTAAGTAATGTACGGATTTATGTACTTAAGTATAAGGACTTTATATATTTTTAGTTGTAACATTTTGTAAGAAAATATTATGCATCTGGGTGTCATTGGGGCAGATTGCGGAGATTTACGTTCAACTGTGGACCTCTTGGGTGACATGATAACGAAATATTCTCCTTATAACGCTATCTATACATACTTAATATTATAAAGAAATAAAATTTATTATAAGTTTGTATGTAGGGGGTAATCTTTGGAACCGCTGGTCGGATTTCCAAAATTCTTTCACTGATAGATAGCTACAATGTTCCTGAGTGCTATTGGCTATAAAACGTCACGCTACGATTAAATGGAGCCTACCAGCGGGTGAAACCGCGCGAGAGTAGCTAGTATAATATAATTAAGGAAAAAGAAAGGTGTATGGAACTGTATATAAAACGTATAATCTGTATCTTAAGAATGGTATACTGCTTTATTATTACCAGGAGTATCTTTTTTGGCGTAATGGAGCGACAGGCTCCTACTGACTAAGAACTACACCGTCGCTTCTTCTGCTTCAGACCAAGGCTGCGGTTCCTTATTGCGCTTTTCCCGCAAAGCAAGACCTTCTTTCGATGAAGAATATTCAGCGTCAAATGAATGTTCTATATAATGAATTATTTGAACAAACTCATAACTTCATTCATTCATTTGAGGAAACACTTATTTTAAAAAAATGGCAATTTTTGTAAACAAATGTGCCTTTGACGTAATACATTAAGATGTCATTTTATGATGTGATTTCACAAAAAAAAATTGCTCGTATCAGTCACGTATCGTTTTGACATTCATTCAATATAAGTATAGGAAAAGACCGTATTACAGGAGCATCTTGATGGCAAAAGGCTTGCTCCCTATTATATAGGACTTATGTAACTACTATACGTTAACTAGTGAAATAGGGGTCTTCAGTAGGTACTTCATTAAACCCTGTATCCTTGGGGGAATAAAACGCGGTGTTCAAACTACTTATGTTACTCGTATCGAATATTATCCATGCGTTAAATTTGGTAAATAAATTAAAACTGTGTCACTGCGTTGATAGCGTTGTATTTACTAACAATTTTGATTTTATAGTTGACTTTATTGCCAGTCTTTGTACCGCTACCAATACGTTAGGTACTGAACTCAGTATGAACTTGAACGTATCGCATTAATGGTTTTAAACACGAACACAGCGATGTTTGTTGACAACAGTCATTACAGAAAGTATAATATGTGTAAATGTAAATATTGTTTTGTAAATAATAAATTAATTTCAATTGTTATTCAGTGCTAATGTGTGTCGACTTATTTCTCCTAACCTCTAGGGTCAGAATGGAATCTCAAACAAGTCATTTACACGGAATTGTCGTGACTATTACCCACTTATCCTTTGTTGAGATGATCTGATGACTAATGGTCAACACTTGTCATTGATCATCACAATTTAGCTCATAGATCTTTGTATGGCTATTCACGTGTTTCTATGACAACCACGATAGAACAGTCATCACGGTTTCGATTTCCGAATGAAACAACTGTATGTGATCTACATTTTTACAAATTATTGTTGATGTGTATTTGAACCTATATCTTTGAATCCACGACACAGGAAATATTCGTAATATTGAAAAAACCAAATGATGAAGCATACGTGGCAGAGGTCTCGGTCTGTCGTTATATAGATTTTTAATAATTATAATAAAAGTATATAACCAATAGTCTCAATGAAGGCCGGAAATCTCGACAATAATAACGACAACAATATAATCAGCTGCAAAGTTACATACACCATTATTAGAGATTTTTAACTTTACTGCAATAACTTTAAGATAGAAAATCTACTTTTAACATAAAATGTTTGAATAAAGCGACAGATGTTTGTCGTTTTTCGACGTTAGGCTCCGAACTACCGATCGTGATTTTGTTTCTTTGTTTGAATAAGATTTACTCTGGAACGGGAACCCTTTAGATTTTTTGCATAAACTCAGTAGTAACCTGGACTTCATTGTCAATTGGATACCTGTGCCATTTTTTTATCTGTCAATTGTATAGAGTTCTGGGTTGCCATTGTTCCAATGTTATAATTTTTTAAGAGCTGTTTTTTATACTATAATAATGTTGTCCTAGTAGTAATATAAAGAAACAAGATAAAACTTACCCAGTCAACTTTTCATGATATTCCTCCTTTTTTAGTCGATGTTTTCTAAATGATTCTTTAAAATTTCTCGACCTTTCGCAGAATTCGTTGAATATATCCTCTAAGTTCGCAACCACGGCCGCCCAGCCCTGTATCAAAAACGGTTCATGAATTAACTACATATATCGATATGGGGTCGAGGTCGATCGCGTCGATTACTTAAACTAGTTACGAATAAAATACCTATTGACATACATACACTAATCGGTTATCTTAATACTCCAAGCGGTTAATAGGACCTCCCGACCTCACACAATTAATTCCATTAAGTTTTATTTGAGGGAATCCTCTTTCCGTTTCCGTATTGCTCATTTGTAACTCATTGTTTATGCAACAATTGTTTCAACATAATGCCGTTTTATACAATACAAGGCAAGCACATGTTGCACGTGGCCCGTTTCAACAGACTAATAAAGTATACACTAAAAATGTAATTTAATAATAAAAAAAATACACCTAATTTAGTTAATTATGTTTAGATAAGCGTAAATTTACATTTCGCATAATAATAATTAATCGGAATCGCTACATAGATACGGTATAAAGGTCCCTGGCGTCAGGCGGTGCTCGCGTGCTAATTACGGATACTAGTTTATTAGGATCGTATCTGTTACAAACTTTAATAGAGTTTAAAGTTATAAAATATCACTTTTCACATTAAATTACTGTTTCAATAACACGTTTTCCTATTAACGTTAGGCAATATTTAACTATCTAGCTATTACATTGACATTAATCAAAAGCCAACAGACCAGTGCGTAATACATTAACTACCTATTAATTAAAACTAGCAAACAGTTTATTTGACAACAATCTTATTAAAGAGGTATTTTAAAAACAGTACTTTTTTTAAAGTGCTTATTTATATTATATATTATTGAGATATGCCAGTTGGAATGTCGGGACTAGGACTGGAAGGGCCAGAGAGTTAGCGGACGTATTGAAAAGAAGACAAAAGCCTTTTATGTACAAAACTAGCTTCTGCCCGCAACTTCGCCCACGTGGTATGATAAATAGTAGCCTATGTCCTATTCTGGAGTGTATCCTGTGCCTGTGCCAAATTTCATCCAGATCCGTCCAGCCGTTTTGGCGTGAATGAGTAACAAACTTTCGCAATTATAATATTAGTAAGATTAGTGAGAAGTTTAACTAGTCTTACCTGGTGTTGAAGATGCTGTTCATGAACCAGCTGATCGCAGCTACTGGACACTTCGAGTGCGAGGTCACTGAACTGCTGCGCTAAAGACGCGCATGATATCACAGTGTATACACTTGGCTGTAGCGAACAACACTTCTCTACAGCAGCCTTCAACTCTGCCACGGATTTACCATCGAACGCACTGCGGCTCTCGATCGAGAACTCTCCAGTACTTAACTCCACTATTGGGCTTAAATCGCACACTAAAAATGATCACAACACATTAATAATTCATATTATAATACAGCTAAAAATAATAACATCTGATGTTTGTAAACAAATTCAGAATGTGATACCAAAACTGATAAACAATTGTTTATAGTCCTCAATCTATTGAATCCACTTCAAATTGACTAACCAAAAACCCATGTGCAATGACAATTTTTTTTTTTTATTTAAAATAGATGATTATTAGAATAGATAGTTGGTAGTTCAAAACATATTTTTTTATTGTTTCAAGTTTATAATATCAAATTATTTGTTTATGTTAGTAACTACATTATTTAGCCAAAGGCCAGTTTATGACATTTAATAATAAGTACTTTAAATTTAAATGTTTGAATAATCTTTATTCTATAGTTATTCAAGCAAAAGCCTATCAACTTACTGGACTGGTTCAGCTGGCTCTCCTTCACTGATGGTTTGCTGAACATGTATATGGGATTTGTGTCTGTGCCAGCGCTGTATGAGGACACCATATGGTCTGATTGAAGAACCTCTCCTCCACTCACTAGAAGCACCAATGAGTTTGCAGGGACTTTGGTCTTTCGCTCAATGGCCAGCTTAAGTGAAGACACACTAAAAACAAATATGATTATCACACATTTATGACTTGGGATATGAACTCTATAGTTACTGAATAAACCAAAAATATTGGAAACTTATTACAAAGCTGTAATGTTAGAAGACTGTTAGCTTCAAACAATAAATAGAAAAAATAATAATGAAACCTCGGCTATAATGTACTCAAGGTCAATATCTCTGTCTGATTTTAATTATGTAATTGATTATTTATAGTACACTGTTGCTATGGGTAAGTTACAACAAGTATATATACATTCAACACAATTTTATACAAGTCATGATGACTCTCTTGGCAACATAAAAACTGTTTGCTATCATTCATACACATGAAAAGTTTAATACAAATAAAGAGCTATTATTACTGAAACTACATATATAATTAATCAAAATGAATTAAATTGCCCCTTTGAAATCATCTCTTTGAAGAATGCAAAGAAAAAAATGTTGTTTATACTTACTTTTGCAACGTTAGGCCCATGTCGTACGTGGTCATCTGACCAGCATCGACATGGAAAACATACAGCATGGTGGCAGTATGTTTTTAATCTCCACAACTAAAATATAATACACCGTAGTGTAACTACCATTTGCATTAATCTTGTGTATCCATGGACCCTATAAACAAAATGAAACCATCTTAATGTTGGTCTGACTTAACCAGGTTCCGTACCATTTTCATCAAAAAAAAGTCAGTTGTTAAAGAAGAACCCCTGTTGAATATTTATTGTTTTCTATTTTTACTATTATTGTTATTATAGCAGGAACATAACTACATCATATATGATATTTGACTATCTCGCAGCTAGACAGCTGAAAAATATGAACTTTCAAATTCAAATTCTATATTAGCATTCCATGTGTTAAATGGCAGGTGGTACATTTTAGGAATTGGATTCAATAAGGACCCAGTGGTCACAACTTATAGAAATCATACAGTAACATAATTATTAAATTATGATAAATGTGATTTTCAATCAAAAATATTTTAATATATATAATTAAATGTATATAAAACAATTAAGTATGTGTGTGTTTGTGTGAGGATGTGCATGTGTATATTTACTTTAATAGCTTGACTCAAGCTACCAAGTTCACAGCCTGCTGACTGATAGACTAGCTAACAATAGATTCTAAATAACCATAGCAGTGGGCTACCATTTTTACTCTTGCAAACAGAGCCATAGACTGGAAACTTAAGGAATATAGATGCTAGCACATAAATGAGTTTTTCTGTAAGTATATTGTAGAAGTGTAGACATAGATAATAGAATAGGATAACTGATAACAATTACTGATAAAAACATTTTTTGCCTATTTCTCAACAATATTGTAAATAAAATTGAATTTATGATAATTTCAAGGCCAATGCCAAGTTTTATTTTTTACAGTCAATCTAATATATAACATGCAATTACATGATGCATGTTTCATATTTTATTGCAATTTTATTTTATAATAATAGTATTAAAGACAAAATGTTTCTATTAAGTGTTTTAAAAAATAAATTTATTGGTAATCTATATGTATATTAATGCAAGAATAAAATTAATATTTAGTTAGATAGTATGGAAATAATAAAATTTAAATAAAACACAAATCTCAATGTTATCTTAAAATTTGTTTGCATGTAAATTGTTGAATGAGATATAAAGAAAAACTCAGAGACCTTCATTATAGACCAAGATGTTTTGTAAAAAGCCCGACCTATATCTATTTACAATAGAAAAAAAAACAGTTGTTATGATTTGAAATAAAAAAAACAGTAAAACAAAATACATCAATAACAATTATGGTTCAAAATGTTATAACTTAATCAATCTCTACATACAGTCAGTAAGTAATAGCATCATTTGTAATAAATATAAAAAAGCGTGTAAAAAAAACCACGCGCAATACAAATCTATTCTATCCTAAAATAAACAACAACGTCATAGAATGGACTAGGTAAGTGACTTCTCAATCTGTATATTTGTAAACTTTATGTAATAATCATTGCAAAAATAATTACAAATATTGATGCAATACATTAACACGTTAATAGAACAACAGACTAGACTATCTTAGAAACCAGCCCAGATTTTGCGTTTGAAAAAAAAATTTTAACAACAAAGATTTTAGTACTTACGCAGTCCGGAATCCTCGCATTTACTCCTTATAGCATTGTCAAGGGTTAAAATAAAATGCATAAACACGTATTTCTATTCATCACTTAAATAATGAACAAACACTACAGGGAAATTACACCAGTTCGATGGGCTGTTTATAATTTTAGCTCTCGAAAATGTAAAAACACCACCATTGCTCAACTCAATAATCACTCAGCTGACATGACAGCGCACACTACATACATACTCACAACAAAAACATTGAACTATGTAACGATAGTGCCGTCCTTGTCTCACGCATAGGTATTACTTATGCACCTCTCTATCCAATGCTACTCAAGCACGCTTTAACAACGCATTTCAAATATTTGAATTGTCAAGCTTCAACAGAGCGGAAGTTTAGCAATGTTACCACTCTAAAAATGCAAGTACAAAGTAATAAATAAAAATCCTACCAATGCCAAAACCAAAACAAATTCATGTAGTTGAAAAAAAGAAGAGTACATGTCTCAAATTTCTTCATCAAAACTTGTCTTACTATGAGTACTCTTTTTACAGGGGAAATCATCAAATGGTTTATCCCGACCCGCCCAGATTGGGGCGCGAGCGAGGGAGTGTCGGACTTTATCTAACTAAAAACCCTCCCCGTTTCTTTTCCCGCTCTGCTGGCCGATGCTGCGGTGACTTATTGCGCTTGCCTAGCAAACCCGGTTGATGAGTAGGAACTTAGTTATGAATTTAACACTAATTCCTGATTAACTCACTTTTTTCCGCTAAGTCTGTAGGTACTCTCTATTCCTCTAACCTTCGTTGGTTGTAAACCGCTTCCGTAAAATACGACTGAAGACCTTTTCATAGATTAGATTACCAAGTGAATAAAGGACCTGCCGTCAACACCCTAAGTAAATTTTCTAAAAGATATCAAAGATTCATTTCCAAAAGAAGTCCTCGAAAATAATCTTCCTAAAAGTTACTTTTCAATCTGGGATTCATTAATTTTCGATTGTATGTTGTTTGTTCTGCCATCTAGAAACTCGTTATTAAAACCTTAGCTTGTTTCTTCAACGATAGATGGCGTTACTCAACGTGTATGTTTCAAAATACTGTGAAATATTTGCTAAATTCTAAAATAAGCCGGTCCGACCGAAGCATGACATAGCTTTATTCATCAATAGACATGACTTGTAAATTATTACATAAATGATGAAGCATGATAATCAGATTGATTATTCTAAAAACTCTCGATTACGGTGACTTGATCGAGACTAATGATTAGGTATTTATTTGTAAGTGTGTATTTAAAAGTTATAAGTGAAATAAAATAAATTTTCAGCACCATACTGTTTATTTCAGCGTCAAAAGCTTATAATGATATAAAAAATGAATGAATAATGTTTATAAAATAAAATAAATAGTTCTCCCAAGTATAATTATACAGATCAAAAATGCAAGTCAATTCAAAGGGTGATCACCTTTACAAAAGGTCAAAGATTTATTATGCATTACATTGGCACAAAGTCCTTTACAATAAATAATAATGAGTGAATCCAATAGGAACAGATCCATCACAATACCTACAGGTTGGAAGGGACATCATAACACTACAAACAATAGTTGCACTGAGTACCTAGAAAAATATATCTTATACTGTTTCTTAAGAATAATCAATTCCTTATCAAGAAAAATATTAAAGATTACATTGCAGTACCTACATTATCAACATTTTTGCTGTGTCATGATGTTACTTCCACTCATACTAATATTAACAAATAATGTACTCTAAAACAATTAACATAGGTATGAGCAGGCACTTATGAAATACAATCAATAACCAAGGATAAAGATATCAAAATAAGTGTTTAATAATGCTTGATAACTTCCTTCTTCTTCTCAATAACCAACCAATTATCACTATAGTAAAGAGAATCACAATACACAGAAAATTAAATTATAATTGCATGTTTGAAGAATTCGAACACTATTACAATCTATACAACAGAATAACAATATGCATATATCCCAATAAAAACCTCTTTATAAAAATGTTTAAACTTAAAGCTACTAAGTTGTGTGTAGACAGTACAATTTTATTAAAATAATCAAAACTATAAACATACATCACAATAATATATAATAGCTACCTAATTATATAAAGAGCATAGACCTATGGTCATATAACAATATTAATTTTAAGTTTTATTAGTAGTTAACATCACAAACGCATTTCTATCAACAATCAGATAAGGTATTGGTTTAAAACCAATTATGGTATTATTGTACTGTGTAGTAGGTATTGAGAAGCTAGAAATATACTAGAAACATTTTATTATTTCAGTTCCAAATCAATTTCAAATGAACAGATAGAACTTTTAAAGTAATTGCAACTCTTAGAGCTGGAGAGGGCTAATACATATTGTTTAGTTATCTAAATATTTGTATACAATAACAAATTTTAGCATAATATTCATATTAAAATTGCATTTAAAGATAGTAAAAAATTAATTCCATTTTTATCATTACTTTTGAACATGAGATAACCTGACCTTAATTATCTTAAAATAATTTGATCATAGGTAACCCCCACAAGCATTTCACGTGATTATCATACCTTACATTAATTTGTCACAGTTAATATCAGGCAGTTTACAGAAGTGGATAAGGCACTCGCACAACCATTGTCATGAATTAAAATGGTCCCATAAATCTATTATTATTATTAATATCATGCAATAAATTGCAAGTTTAATGAAAAGAAAAAATCTAGTATTAAGAAAATACTTTCACATATAAGTCTATGTTAGTTACAGGAATGCAGAGTTACAAATAAGAGAAATTACAAATAATTGTGATAAAATTGGAATGTACCTTAGATAACTGACTACATCTAAATGTTACAATTTATTATGCAATTTAGTAATATCAAAAACCACAAAAGCAAACCGCCACCATCAACTTCAACCACCAAACTTAAATATAAATTAAGATAGGGTTGGCTTTTGCCATTTGTATGAGCCACTGTACTTAAAGTCGTAAGAAGCAAGTTTGCTATCTGCAGCTGGAGGGCCACGGGATCCATACACATAGGGAACAGGCTTAATACGCTTTCCTTCTAGTTCTTTCAGAACAGGCGTAAATATACGCCAAGCCTCTTCTAATTCATCACTTCTTACAAAGTGCATTTGTGTACCAGTGAATACATCTAAAATTAGTCTCTCATATGCATCAGGGACATCTGTTTCTTTGTAACGCATACTGTAAGTAAGGTCCAATTCAGTTTCCACTAGGTCAAATTTCATTCCAGGTGATTTGCTCATCAACTTCAAATATAAAGCTTCACCTGGTTGAACACGAATAACCAACTCGTTTCTCTTTGCATGCCCGTTAAAGATATCACCAGGTACGTCTTTGTATTGTATCCTCACCTCTGCTTTTCTCTCATTTAGAGCTTTGCCACATCGAAGAATAAAAGGCACACCTTGCCACCTAGCATTGTTAATATGAAGTGCAGCAAGGGCATATGTAGGTGTCACAGAATCCTTTGGAACAGTTGGGTCCTCTAGATATCCCAACTTTTCTTCACCTTTTCCTTCAGGATTACCTACATATTGCCCAACAAGGATATCATTCAGTTGAATAGGATTGATGTGGCGTAATACTTTAACTTTTTCATCTCTTATATCATTTGGATTCAAAGTAACCGGTTTCTCCATGGCCACGAGTGACAAAATTTGCAAAAGGTGATTTTGCATTACATCTCGAATTATACCAAAGTCATCAAAATAGCCTCCTCTACCTTCAGTACCAAATGGTTCCTTAAAGGAAATTAATACAGATGCAATATTCTCCCTGTTCCATGAAGGACTGAATATTTGATTGGCGAATCTAATGGTCATCAAGTTTTGAACCATTTCTTTGCCGAGGTAATGGTCAATTCTGTAAATTTGTTCTTCTTTGAACAGGCCAGCTAGATGATTACTTAGTTTCTGTGAACTTTCATCATCTCTACCAAATGGCTTTTCAATGATAACTCTTGTGAAGCCTTTGATGGACACACATGCATTTCGTATATTCACTGTAACATCTCCAAATACAGTAGGAGGCACAGCAAGATAAAATATTCTGTTAGCCACAGGGCCTTTTTCAAACTTGCTAATAAGTTGGTTGAGCATTTCATAGTCAACTCTCTTGTCATACGAACCAGCAAAATATTCGTTTGCTTCCCAAAATTCCTTCAATTTCTCTTCTTCTCCTGGACGCACTTTCAAATATTTTTTGCATTTTTCTTTAACCTCAGATATTGTTTGCTTCGTACGAGCATAACCAACAAACTTGGTATGGCGAGGTAATAGATTGTCCCGGTATAAATACCATATAGTTGGATAAATCTTTTTTCTTGCAAGATCGCCAGACGCACCAAGTAATATAAAAGTGTGAGGATATTGAAAATCTGTTTTGTTTTCCATTTTCGCGTAGGGTATTCACTTAATAAATTATTTTACTTTAATTTGATGCGATCGCGAGTTTCGTATTTATATAGCACTAGATATTTGTATGTCTTAATCTTAATCAGAGATAAAATGAATTACTAAGGAAAAAATACAACAAATTTTAACGCCGGGAAACTCGACAAAATAAACTTGAAATAATGCTAGCGAAGTATTTATATGATATTTTTTTCAATTTAGAGCTTACACTGGCAAGGTCATAAGACTGTACGTTTATTTGATTGGTTATTATTTAAGCTATATATTTTTTAAACCAATAGGATGTAAAACACAGGTGAAACTTAATGTGAAAATGAGAACTGACCTTATTATTTGACATTAACTTGACATTGAAAATAAAAAAAGACACGTTCCGTTACGATCAACGTGCATTATTCGTGGGTAATACCAATCAGTAATTAAAACAGTCATGAATTGTTACGAACTTAAAATAATTAATTTTTAAACAATAGGAAAATTATTACTGTAAAGTCAAACAATGTTAAAACAAAGAATCGTATGTCAGGATTATGAAATAAAAGGCTTAATGTTGTAGTAAAAGAACAAAATAAAAGTTTATAACAGAAAAAAGAATTAAAAATAGAATAACTGTTATGTATTTAGTTAATAATAGCAGTGTAAGCGTGCTACAAAATTTAAAACAATTCAATCTAAAGTATGTTTACACCATGACATATTTTTTAAGTAGCGTAAAATTAAAGAAATTTACAACAATAAAATAAATCAATTTATAATCGGTGACTTTATCGGTTTAAGTGATTGCTTTATTATCATAAAGCTGGGGTAGTTTAGTTTGTAAATTATCAAGTATATGTATGAAATTTCTGAACGAAACTCGTCTGTGACGTGACGCGTTGTTTTATGTCACTTCACTAAGAATTAATTGAAATTGGGTTATTAGTGATTTCTGTATAAATATCGACGATACTAAATGCTGTATTTGATAAAACAAAAGTTTTATTATCAGTGTGTTTCATAATATCTTCAAAGAGATCCGTGGTTACCTAGGGGGTGTATAATTTCGTTTTCGTATAGGTATATTTAGTTCAACGACCTTGTTACTGACAGGTTCATCGTTAGCCACTGAACTGTTCTATGAAAGTGGTATATCGTAAACGATAGATAAATTAAATTCAATGATGGAGCCCTCGAGAGATTCAGGTAAGTGGTTTTGTGTAATCCTGCTTAAAATTAATAGTAATCTGAAATCACAGCCTGTCATTTGGTGTAAACCCTATCTGTGACAGTGAGTGCCTTGTTTTACATCAAAAACAACTGTTCCTATAGTAGTCAGTGGTTAGTTTGTAATGTAGGCAACTATTAAATGTGTTGTTTATCTAAGGCATTATGTTTAGTTTATATTTGGCACAAAACTAATGATAACACTTATGATGTGTAATGTGGTATTGAAGCATTGTTCCCTTTATATTAGTATGTACAAAATCAGTATAACAATACTGAATTGGTTACAAATAAGAAGTAGTAAAACTTATCAGAAGTTATCTCAATACTAGAACTACCCTAATAAGTACCATTATTTTTACTTGTGAACTCCATGGGACTTGATAGCTATAACAATACTTGTAAATTTTTACAGATTAGTTCAATAATTTATACAACTTGTTTTTTAATTATGGTAATTGATAACAATAAAATGCAATATGTGCAATGTACATACACAAAATAATTCTAAATGAATAAACCTATTTATATTTCCTGTCATGCTGGTCAAAAATGGTTCTAATATTTTTTTGTATCTGTGCTAAATATAAGAAACAAACAATAAATACTTTTTGTGGTGAAATCAGAAAACTTTATTTATTTAAAGGTCAGAAAATTCCAAGTTAAAAATTTAATTGTAAAATGAAAAAAAAAACATGAATAAGCTAAAATGAGAAATTGACAGCATTTTTGTATTTACCCTACAAATAATATTTTTAAACAATAAAATTAATTACTTAATTATTTTCAAGTTTTTCTTAAACTTTAGAAAGAAATTACAACAAAATAGGTACTGTAGCATTTCAAAATTGTCTTTGAATAAAATCCACCTTCATAAAAATATGAAATCATACACCTATTTTTCTTTTTTCCAAAACTGAAATTTTAGAAAAATTAAACATTTTAAATTCAGTAATAAATTTTTTGTTACTTAGTAAGATTAATTTATTCGATTCACAGTATTTATTCAGTGTTTTTTTACAGCAATATTCATTTACACATTACCTACCTACATATTACAACTGAAAATCTCTCTTGAAAAATTGTATTGAAGTTTCCTTACAATAAGCTAGATGGCGCTTTTAAAATAGTTCCTCATGTGACACCTAGATGGCGTTACAAGTATAAATGTTATTATTTGTTTACAATTTCTTTCGTGATCGTCTTTGAAACTGTAGGTAAAAACGATTATAGGTCTTTAAAAACTAATATGTTTAGAAAAAAGTAAAAGTTGCTACTTTTTGCTAATAACATAAACAATGGCACTGAAATAATTTCTTTCATTACCCACATAAATACCTGCTTTAAAAAATCGTTTTTACACCCGACTGCCGAGTCATTATCTCCGGCCACCATTAGCGCGGGACTGCAAACGGCAAGTAACCAGACACGAGCTTACTGCCCCTTGTGTTCTGGGCGCGCCTCGTAGAGCCAATAGACCACCACAGACGGGGCCTTATAGGGCTGATGCTCTGCCTGGGTTGCGTTGCGGGGCAAGCGCAATAAGTCATCGGCGGCCGCGGCTTCGGCTCTGTTTTTAGTCAGCCTCCCACCCCACCTTGGGCAGTTGAAGTCATTTGTTGACTCTTCCCAAAAAAAAAACACCCGACAGCGTTGTTAGTAAGTAAAATGGAGCACCCAAGTGAAGTGTGGTCTGTTAACGGTAATGTTAAACGTTCAAAAACTTCCGTACCTAACAATTAATTTACATTGCCTGATATGGTTACAATTATAAATATTTTGGTTTTGATATGAGTACTGAACATCGAGCATATTGGCAATTTGCAATTCGAGAGGCCTATATCCAGCTGGAAACGGGCAGATGATGACGATGTGGACGCGTTTGCAAATCTGACATATGCCAAATCCTTATTAATTTTAAACCAGAATATCAATTTTTAGTTTCATTATTATTCGTTATCTAGTCTTATTGTTTTTTGCTCGATCGACATTTTTAAATAATATTAGTCATTAACTTCCCAAAATAACAATTTACAAAAACGATTACATAAACAATACCAACTAGATTTTTGGAAGAAGGTTTGTCGCAAGATGACGTTCGTTTAATTTTCTGCACACATTTATTTATGGTACTTTTTAAAGCTTTTTCATAAATCCTTATCAACGTATAATGCCAGTATTGATAAAAAATACGTTTCTAATTTTCTTTTCAATTAAAATTTCCCGCCAACGCTTCGCTGTTGAATCTGTCAAAAACACGTAGATTGTGAAAAGAAAACAAATTGGTTTGCAAAAGAAAGCCATACTGGCCGATTGGCTATCAATCTTGAGTTGTTGTTGGGAAAAGCCGTTGTTTATTTACTTAAATTCAATCATTTAATTCAATCAATTTTGGAGGCATTAAAAACAAATTATAAAGCTTTAGCCAGCTAAATGTGTAGGTACCACCAGTAATAGTAGAAGCCTATGAGCACTGAGATATGGATATTTTTCCAGAACGATACAAAGATAAAAATATTACAGTCACACATTAAATGAGGAAAATAACGGAAAGTGTGAATATTCAATTTTTTATAGTCTGCCCCACACTAGGATTTTCTCCTTGGTCGTGGGTGCGTACAAACATACACATCTCACCCAGACACGGAACAACAATTTGTGGATGATACAGAAAAATATGCAAATTCTTTTAAAAAGTATTTGGAACATGCCGAATTGGATTAACTAGAAATAAACTTTTAATTTCTCAGTATCTACGCAAACATTGAAAAAGCGATTAAAACTTCGCGTAACCCTTTTATGTCCGTATTGGATTTAATTCGGATTTTTGCGCGCTTAATATATGAAAGGTGGATAAAGCATAATTTGCACGAGAGTGGATTTTTTAAACAAAAATGTCTTTTTCCTCTACCTATATTTGAATTAATTCAGATAATGTGCGCTTAGTAACAACTGTTAACAACTTGACACTATAATCTAAGAAGATTAAAATTTCTTTGAAAAGATAAAGGTTATTCAATTTTGAAACAACCGGATGGTTTTATACAATATAAATTAAACGTATGAAATCAAACCACAATGGTGTCTTTACTCAAATTAAGAAGAACCTTTTGATTAAAAGGTACCTATTTCAGTAATGATTAATTGAAGATAGGGAGCCAGCCTGTCAATAGGTTAATAGACTAGTGAATAAGACAGATCCAAGGAATGGAAAGGTCGTGTAGTCTAGCTGGTCACATTGCATGGTGCGGTTCGAAGGACTAAAGCACGTGCGATGCGGCGCGACAGGCAGCGCGGGCGGGTGGCAGGGCGAGGGGTGCGCAGTCGTGTGCAGTGGACCACTCGACGTCGCACAAGGTCAAGGAGAATGATTAACAACGAAAATACAGCAAAACAAACGGTGGCGAAGCGGGGTACGAGCGGGGACGCGACGCGCCAGTCAGAGCAGCGACGCCGCCCGCATCGGCCGCGAGACCGGCGCCGCTCGCGACATATACGAAAATCGATGCACGATCCGTAACCGGCATTTAACATTAATTAACTACCGTAATTTTAATGTTAATATTTGATGATAGTCGTTATGACGGGCTCCGCGCGCACTTACCACCCATGTTTGTGATGTGTCACTCGTGTTGACTGTTTAGGGTTGTCTCACGATTTTCAACTTTGGAAATAAGAGCGCTTTTGGATCCAATGCAACTACACAGCCGTAATTCATATCATCGTCAGCTGGTGTTTCTATGATTATGTATGCGATATTTATAGCTCATATCTTCGCAATTTTTGTGTGAAGATAACCAGTTGGTAACTTGTAATGCAAGTAAATATTGTTTGTAGGATTAAATATCAATCAATTTAAACATTATATTTGTATCGTTAATATCATTTACTTAATTGTTTTTAAAGCTATCTATTTATTTTGAGTACTTAAATTTTTTTGTTATTTTAATTTGATGTATTATGACAAATTGCAAAGCATTAAAATATGTCTACATTTCTCAATCAATACCTGGCATTGACAATCTAAATAGAAAATTAATTTGACTATAGGTATTCGAAAAAGATAGTCACAACTTACTCGATGTCTTAAATTAATTAAAAACTTTTCTCGATTCATATTTCAAGTTAAAATCAACAACGTTAACATAAGCAATATAAACTTGTAATGTTTTAATGCCCTTATGTCTTTATCTGACACGAGTCGTAAAGAGCAATGCAAGGTTGCAAGTGTATTGACTCTAGTGTTTTGAATAAATTTATCTCTGTGCTCTATTGCTCTAGCTGCTGTATTTCCATTCTCGTATACCCCATTTTCATATCAAGATAAGACAGAACTTTCCTCGTTTGATAGTTTGACGTCAGGATGATGTAACCGACCACCGAAAGCGTGCCAAAGCAGATCGTGATGAGATTGGAACCTCCACAGTTTCGTGATCACACCAGGATTCATACTGATATCTCTTAGCTTTCCCGTCTAACTGGCAATCTTTAATTAATTTTCTGAAAGATCTTTGATAAGCATCGTTTTAAACATTTAAGCGATTTTTAGCGGTAACAAATTATAGAAAATTTGGAATGTTATTTTCTCTAATTGCATTGTTCTTGTTTGGTCCCTCTTGGATAGTTAGACTCTAAAATACAGCTCTGAGGTTTTCTTCTGCCAATATTTAAGTTTAAATCAAGAATAATTTCTAATATCGTATTTGATGCAATAAAAATGTCCATGAGAATTGAAGACTAATAATAAGGGCCTTACTAGTCTTGATAAAGTGATTGAAGCAGACAACTTTAAACATGGAAATTAAATGGTTTCAGAATTTCTTCTAACTTTAACCATCTATAAATATTGTACAATTAATTCTATGAAACAATGGACGACAAATGCAAACCAACAAGACAATTGTAAAATTACTACGTACCAGTAACTGAAGCAGAACGTTCGATGTTTGTCGTCGTAAATTATAAACCTATGGTTATAATGAATTGATTACTCCATTAATTGGCACTCCTGTAGCTTTTAAATGCTGTGTTTTTATTCCCTCTGGACTTCAATTGTCTTATATTGTGAGATGTCTGGAACAGATTCATTCATTCTTTCTACATTCTTGGGATCCCTAATAAATGTTTTCTAGATTTCTTCAGTAACGAATATTTTTTGATGTTAACACCTGTATCGTCAATTAAATATTCCATCTGAGAATTCATTGAACACATTGTAATGTGCATTATTATCGTCTATTGAAGCACGGTTATTATTTTTATAGCTGTCATCCAAGACAAATACAAGACAAGTTGAATCATTGTCAAGGTCTTCCACTATATCCATTTGAATTCATCGCCGTCCTCGTGGTATTTCACATATGGAATACTAATACGATGCATTGCGTTTTTATTAACGCCATTCCATCTTGTTCCGGATTTGTTTATTATCTCCACCTTCCTTGAAACTCTTTGGGATAAACTAAATTATTCTGTTAATGAAAATGGTTTTAATTCTCCCAAGCATTTATCAAAATAAATTATAAAACACAACAAGACTGCGTCTGGTGCTGAAATTGATTTCAAACCATTTTTCTTATGAAATTTTTCAATGAATTGATCTTCATTCTTCCAATTTGATCGTCGTTTTTATTCTTATAAGTAGTATATGTTCGTCTTTATTGTCATTTAAAGTAATTTTCAAGCAAGCTGATTGAGTTGATTCTTTAATAGCGTTTGTAACCGCTTATTAAAATATTTCAAAATTTATTACAGCTTGTTAAGGAGTGTTTAGTTTATTGTTGTTGCGTGTACCTAATCGCAGGCGCGAATGCCGGGCGTCACGTCACGCCGCGGGAAGTGTTACTCTCTGGCTTGGTCACGGCCAAGGTCTTGTGTCGACACAGCGCTAGCGTCATTATGTAACGATTGGGTAAATGATGAAACGCTCTACTTCTCATTATTTTTAATACAAACATATGATGTGGATGTTATTTTGCGTAGGCGATGCATTATCGACCGAATCTTCCTCAATTCACTTTCTTCTGATGCAAATTTTAAGTGTTTGAACGGAAATTTGATGATTAATAGCGTTTCATTAATGCATAAATTAATGGTTTTTAAGTAAGTCCAAAGTACAGACATACCAACATTTCATTAAAACAATGATTAATACCCGTTGTCTGTTAAGCCACGTGATTTCACCTGCGATATTCTTTTTGCAATCTTTTGTGTATCTAGCTACAAACATTTGACCTTTTCGGTTGTTGTTGTGATATGATTATGAGATTTGACATGTTTTATCTTCTATCTATCTCCTCTACAGATTCCTCTGTAGACATTTAAATGGTACCATGGACAATATTTCTTTGTGCTGCCCTTTAAAGGTAATAAGATTTTACTAAATGAAATACGAATGTTTGCAGTACCACTAGGATCGATAGCATTACCTTTTTAGTTAATCGTGCTGGACCATGTACTTACTAAACCTTTGAGAGCCTCATTTAGGTCTATGGCACATAAACGCTTAACTGACGATTCTTAATCAAATCACGTATCTGTTAGTGTATAAAGCACGTATAGGTTAGTAATAATATAATTACCACGTCGTCTCACAATGAACGCATCTCTGTGTGGAAAATGAGCATTGTTTTGTAGTTGGAGTTCCGGTTGGTCTCCCCGCACCGCGCGTCTACCGGCTCGCCTAGTGCAGACTGGCCAGCAGCGGCATCGCTCAGCGATCTTGTGCACGAACAAAAAACACCTGTAGTCGTCAGCGAATCGCCAAGGTCGCAGGCCCCCGCGGCGCGCTTCTCTCTGCGTTCCGTTTACCCATATCTCGCGGCGAATGCACGCGCGCCGCCCCCGCTCCTTTGACTCACCGTATACCCGCACGTCTCACGTCTGTTACGCCACGGGTCAAGTCTAGGACGTTGTTTTGCTTTACTTTTGTAATACTTTCAAAAGGATTCCAGAGCTCCTTTCAAAATTTTAGAGAAATCAAATAATCAAACCAACGGGAAAAATATAAAATGTTACTTAAAAATAATACTTTTCATAAATATTACGGATTAAGGAGTTAAATATTGTAATGTACTCAGGTGCAAAACAAAGAAAGACAATATGTAAAACCAGAGTCTGATAAGGTGTTGCGCTCGCGCCGGTATTGTCGCAGTGTAAGCTATTGTTAATGTTAATTGTGTCTGGGTAGCGCGCGTTAAGCCAAGGTCGATGCAGATCGAGAGCGTTGTCGGTGGGGGACAGCGGCAACCAGAATCTATATCGACATACTCCACATGCACGTATGCACGCACGTCATGCGGATCAAAGAAAGTGCAGGAAAGTGGAAACATTCCTTGATAACGCGACAAACTGCTCTACGCTCACTGAGCGCTGCGTAATTCTTACTTATCGAGTAGTTGCATCTCTTAATCTCAAGAATGTTTTCACGGCTAATGCAATTTAGTTCTTGCCTCGGTTGGCACTTTCATCATAACGTATATTATTATCATAAAGTAACTATAAATAATGTTGTTAACAATATGTAATATTTCCTTTGTAGACTTTATTACCGGTAGTGTTGGTGTCCGCTTAGTCATTGTCGGAGCGATTCCCTTTGTGTAGCCCATCAATCCCCACAATATCATAATGGCTCAATTCATTCATTTCGTGCTTGAAGGCGACGGTATGGCGTTTTGCTAAAGCCTTTGTCGCATTGTCGATGGCGTGTTTTCTTTAGTCTGGTTTCGGTATTGATTTGTTGTTTTGTTGTACACGCTCTAAGTATAAATAAGCTCACTTACGTAGATTAATTTACGAAAGAATCTCCTCTTCTCACGAGAGGCTATCAATTACATAGACACGGGTCGTCAAGGATACGGCTTGATTGACAGGTTCGTGTAAGGTAGTTCTATGATATAGGTGCTTCCCAACACCCTAAACCGAACGTAAATGGATATGGAGGAACTCACGCCTGGTTGCCTTTCAAATTGAAATGAATTTTATCAAACGCCTACGCCGAAACCCATAAATAAGATTGTATTTGCACGTTTTCAACACTACTCTTTTAACGAATTTTGACATAATTTGCATTGTTTTAGATTGGATACTAGGTATATACTAAAATATATTCATCGGTTAAAACCGAATCTATGTTGATATTTTCTTTGTACCGAATGAAAGGGTTTATTTGTTCATCTATATCGATCACGATTATTCGTTTACCGAGCGTCTCAGTATGTGGTCCAGATGTAATCTAATATCTCGTTATTGTCTTATTTATTTTTCCGAGCCTAACCCTTACAATATAGGTACATATGTATATACGACGTTACTCCAACTTTATTTAATGTGGTAGATACTTGGAGTTTATAATTTAAAAGAATCTAGATTTACCTTCGTACCTTCACAATCGTATCTGAAACTTAACGAACATTAGACTATCGGGGCAGGCACAACTGAAAAATTACCGTAAAATAGATGTAAAAAAAGTTAGGAACAATAAGACTGTACATAACTTTCGTTGCAATATGAATGGCTGCCCTTCTGTTTTAAAGAACAACACAACAACCTACCTTCTTAAAGTCGTATCTAAAACATGATAAATGATATATTGTGCAATATTAAAGCGTCAAGGTGTTTACACATTGTTTGGTTTGGGACCGGAAAACTTTTTGCCGTCGATCTATGACGAACACCCTCAACACGTGCAACGGACGTCCCTATACGCACAGCCCCAAGGCCGCATGTGTCGCACATTCAAACAAACATTTGGCCATGTTTTGAATTATCGTCTCTGGCCACCAAAGCCCACCATTTTAAACCCAACCGCTATTTGTGTTTCGTTATCAGCTTGAAGGTTGTAAAGATACAACGTAGAGCAACCATGTACACCATAACTTTATGAGACTAGTACCAAAAAAGCTTAACGTTTCGTGTACTGTCCCGAGATAAAGAAACTTGAAGAAATATTTGATTTTGCGAACAATGGATCGAATGAATAAGTACCATTTAATCGCGCTAGGTTTTTCTAAGTGACATAGCGAATTTTTATATGGTAGAGGCTATCGCAGGGAGTTCGGTCTCTGAGTGACGTAAAACTTAATTACAGAAACGCGCCGCAGCCGCGATCATGAAGGCCGACTGCTAACAACCACAATTATTTAGATGATTCCATTCTAACATACAACTATATTTTAGATTATCTAGTTCAATTCAAAATCATTTGCAGCTTTAAAGGCAAAAAATGTGATTATAGCAACTCGTTTTGAACATAAAATGAGATTTATTCACGTATGATTGTATGCGGACCTTGAGCACGTCGGGTGAGACCTTCACGCCGGTAACCGCGCGGAAGTTGACGGGTACATTTTTTGTCAAATTCGAGCTTGTTGAATTTTAGTGCGCATTAGTCACTAGCTAAGCATCAGCGCCGAAGCTCGTGGCGCATTGTTGACGAGTTGCACTGCGATAGCGTCCCGTCGGGTGCAATAACAGTCGCTATCACAATGTCACTACGACGTCTGCTTTGTCCCCGGTCGCGGCTCTGACGCTTTTGTCCGTATCTCCGGCGTCGCGCGTTCACTCACGTTTGCACTTATTATTTAGTAGCCTAAGCGCTCTTACCATAATTCACGGTTTGATCTTACGGAGCGCAAATTGATCGTGACCATCGCAGCGCGCGCTAAGTTGCCCGTCACTTGTGTATCTGTGCAGTTTCATTGTGAACGTAACTGAAGTGCAGTGGGTTGATAGTGATGTGAGGATGCTTGTGCGTGGCCATGTCAGTGGCGAAGAAAGACAAGCCGACCATGTCGGTGACGGCACTTATCAACTGGGCACGACCCTTGCCGCCGGGCCAGCAGCAGCAGCAGCCGATGACGCCTACATCGCCCGGAAGCATGCTTCAACCGATGGCTGCACCGTCTAACATACCGACCGTTGACTGTTCGCTGGATATCCAATGTAAATATAAAGTTATATAATTAGCCTCGGAAAATACTTGAACACTTGATGAAACGGCTTTCCATAATCGTGCAGACATTATTAAAGAAACACGAATTATAGTGTCTACGTGGTTGGACATGTTTATGGGACCTGATGATTATTATAGCCGTTAAATTAATAGGCCCAGTCATAGAAAAAAATGATTTGTAGTTTATACCTTTGCAGTTATAACATGAGTGCTAAATATGTAAATGAAGGCTAAACATATAGCTGAGCTGTTTCAAGGTTTTTGGTGTGAATTCCCTGGTTTCATGATTGTAGGGCAATTGGTTTTATAGACTGTAAAAGAAAGCACATAATAGATTTGGCATCAATATGACATGACGACGATGTTCTCAAAACATTTCAACTATGTATAAAAGCTGTCACTCAGTTTATTTATATTGATGATATTATAATTACAAAGCTTACGCTAGACAATCGGAACTGCGATTGATTTTTTAACAATGTTTTTGCACGTGCCTATTACAATAATAGATTTACAGTGAGTCGCAATTTGATTGATAAAACTTCAGGAAACATTTGAGTAATGGGAAAATGTATAAAAAGGCAAAAGCATATACATAAATAAAATAAGTACAAAAAGACACGCAAACGGACTGTTCAATGTCACGGTGATAGGAATAGTGTATCAAACTTCCGTTCTATTGTAATTCTGTTTCAATTAACATGATATATAGTAAAACTATACAGCCATTGTTAATCCGAACACAAATTTTCATAGCTTTAAAATATTGTTATGATGAAAATTTGTTTAAGTATCAAGATTTCGCGGGCATAGTATAAACGCGTTACCCATACTTGATACTTTCTGCCAACGCTTTGATGTTCTTTAATAAGACTAATAAGCACGACGATTTGATGTTTTTTTTTAGTTCAGAATATAAATCATTGAATTTTATCACGTCAAAAATACGCCAAAAATAACCGATCTCTATGTAAACGTCTTCAAAGCGTGATTTTGATTGAATACTCGTCATGGAAACAAGATTTTAGGTAAAAACACACATTTTCAGAATTTTCTTTTCTTTTCTGTTTCTGTTTTAAATGTTCCATAACATTTCCACCGTAATCTGCGCTGAATAGTCATTGTAAAGTTTGATATGTATTCAAAATAATTATCGGAGCCAAATTACAATTTTAAATTAATTAAACTTTGTTAATGAACTTGTTTCGGTGTATTCAACAGGTTTGTTTTTCTCAAACGCGAAGAGGCCGCGTTTCTGCCGCTGTATGCGTGTGTTACAATCTTTCTTTTCCACTGATTTTCGTTAATTACTAAGATTAACATGAAATTATACGATAGATCTCGTTTCGCGAGAGTGAAAATTGTTATTACTCGCTACAATTACATTCTCTTTGAAATAAAACTCAATTACGAAGCTAATTTGAGTTGTCTTCGACTTTTGTAATTTGCGCTAACAATGTAAATCAGTTTTTATATTAGATTATATGATATTTATAAATGTTTAGAATAAGATTTAGCACTCAGACAGTTGTTACCTACGTAGGTTTTTACTTCGTTACAACTAGGACGCTATTTTCCTTGTACATTTATGATATGTCTAGGTAAAAAACATTATATAATCTAAATGCTAACTTGGAGCAATGAAGTCTTACACGTGTCTAGATTTCAAATAGTCTCTCTAACGAGTTTATTTTATTCGTATTAGTTATAGAACCAGCTTGAACTAGTTTATCTTAATGCAGTATATTATTTGATTTTTAATTAAAACATGGGATCGAGGTCGAGTTTAGTGACTGATTTTAGTAAAATTCCCGGCATTTTGATAATATTCCTTAAATCAAAATACTGAGACCTTTATTAATGTGAATGGCTCAATGATTGGTCTATTTGTGTGGCTTTCCGCTTAACTCGGGCGGGGTCGCGACCACAGTTACTTGTAAATAAGCCACAGTAACTTATTTTCACCATGAAAGAGCATCACTTGTATGTTTTCTTCAAAGGGCTGTAGTTTTCAAAAGTCCCGTTACAAAGACCCCGATTGCTACCAAAGAAAGCCTCTAAGGTGAACGGAATAATATAAGAATTTGACTACCACAGTTATTAGTGAATGAAACCGCCCACAGACGTCTAAAATTAATTTTTCGATAAAACTTGAACATTAATTTTGTTGTTTGATTAAGAAAAATGTTGTAGTAAATAATTTAGACATTTTTATTGAATAAAACCTATTTAACTGAATCAGCTACTTAAGGGATGATGTTACGTTAAGAAAATTTTAGAAAAACCATTACTTCAGTAAATACATTCCATTTCGAACTGTTTTTATAGGCTGTACGCGTCCTACATGTGCCAATTCTGTAAGTAAAACAGAAAAATATTTACTTGCCACACACACACACGTGCAAAAACTATTATAAATGCGGTTTATCTTAAAATGTTGGTACCTATTAAAAACATTATTAGGTGTAGGCGCGTTCTAATTCGATATTTGAATAATAATAAGAGCCTTTAAAATATACACAATTGCCTTTGTTGCCTTGTCTCATTTTATTAATGGATTTTGTATTTTATTACGATGGTTGAAGGTGGGAAATCTATTGGAGAAAGTCGATAGGTCGGTACAGCGGAACGTGCTGGTTTTCGTAGTTTTCTATGGGGTAGGTCGGTAAACTAACAGACGGATTACCTGATGGTAAGCGATTGGCGCCGCCCTTTGTCGACCTTTTTAGGGTTTTAATTAAACATTGCGAAGGGATGGTTGAGGGGGAGAGTTTGGGCCTCCGGTAACCCCACTCACACGGTTAAACACTACGCTGTATTTTTTACACGCCGGTTTTCTGTGAGGCCATGGTATCTATCACTCCGGTCGAACCATTCGTGCCGAAACCTGGCTCCCCCACACTTAATATAGTTCTGTCCGTCTTTTACAACGTCTAAATACAATACCATGTCTTCCGTCAACGTAGGCGTCTTACGTATCAACTCGGACTCGGAAACTTAATAAAACGCTTTGTTAAGAACCTTGAAATTCTCAAGTTGCGAGTATTGTGATTGAAATGTCAAACGTCATATTTTGAACCGTTTGTTGTTAGTAAATTTAAATTTGGAACTTTGAACACAATAAATATGGTAACTACCTACGTACCTCATACTCGAAATGACACGAGACCCGTGTTTCTTTAATGTATGTAAACGTTTAGAAATTTGTATTAAGCATTTTGCATCTCTAAAATGTTTATTTCAAGGATACTTTTTTTTTTCAGGTAGGGGTCAAATGTTATTTTAATTTCTAATGCTTTATTAACATAAGTAGCCTGCTCATGATTTCATCAGGTAGAGGGCCACAGTCGCCATTGCAAAAGTTCTGCATTTGTTTAAACGAATAATTTGTAAATACATAAGGAAAACATTTGAAATCAGTCTTAAGTATCGTCGGATGATTATATTATATAATACCTTACTTAAAAGTTTGTCATTTATATGACTTGTTGCTACATACATAGGAGAAAATGAAAAAAATATTTTCATTTTATTAGAACTTAACTTGAACTAACTTTAGTGGTCCTCCTTCCTTTTTTTATTGCACATAGAAACATGTCAAGTAATTTTTAATCTACTGTCACGCTTCAAATCTTGGCTTTATAATAAGAGCACAAGTTTATTTAGAAAATCGCATGCCATTTCAGGCAACAGTTTTCGCGCAAAACTTGTGCAAACAAACAAACATTCTAGGTAGACTTCGATTGCTCATATTAATGTTTATTACAGACATAAAAACGTTACAGTTTTATTAATAGAGTTTATGATATAGATAATTATATCTATTTATAATAGAAACAAGTAACTAGTTAGCAAAGAACCATTAGAAAAGAAATAAATAGTTAAACTGGCTTTGTGTAAAGGAATTTGGAAGGTCGGAAGTGAGGGATCGGACGATCTCTTTTTCTTACGGTGACGTAAGTCCTAAGTATCGCCTGTTGGACATTCATTACGTAGCTAGTTATATGAGAAACGGATGTGTTACCAGTCAACCGGCAATGTATACTTGCTCATAAAGATAATGCCTGTCTTTGAACGACAATAAAAAAAAGAAGATCTGTCTTCATGTTCCATTTTGAGCTCTAAAACTTGGAAATGTTTTAATAAAAATAAAAAAAATGGAGTTATTACATTTTTATGACCTCAGATTGCGTTTTTAAGTCTATTTGTTAATATTTTCTTTTTACGAAAGAAATAAAACTCTGTTAATAGAGGCCCTATTAACATCGTTTCTAATGTCGCTAATTCGTCAAGTATTCGTAACACACTGTCAAGAGTATTTGGGTCCCGGATCTGAAGATACTATCCACTAAATTCTCTTTGGCATGCAATATACTAGCCCCGTTATAAATAGGTACAAGGAGCAATCAACGTCAAAGTCAAAATTATATCAATTTATCCTTAAGCGGACACTTTACTCGTAAAACTCAAAATTGAAATGTCCGCCATCGTCTGTCAAGCTAGATGCTCGTTCCAAAATTTAGATTCATATGCTATAACTGAAAAAAAAAGGATTACAATATCATTTATCCGATATTATGTAAAGTAATTTATGTTTATGGTAAAACGTATTGATTTTCCAGTGTTTGTGTGTATATGCAGTAATGCAGCATTACATACATACATACAAGCGAAGCGCTTACATATTAATAAACGTTGAATGATGTCATATTTAAATAGGGGAGACCGGGGATGGTTGGCTATAGGGGCAGGTAGACTAGGCGACAATAACGCGCCACCATCACGTGATTTTTATCAACCAATCACGAACGACGATGCCTTACCGCGGCCCGCTAACTCGTGTGGAGTTAGACGCCAGAGTCGCGCAGTGTTAGTGAGTGGCATCACATGTTGTGTTTTTGGTCTCGGTAAGTAATGTTTTTGTTCGTATTGTTTTTTGTTATTGTGTCCATAGATCAGTTTGAAACAATTTTTTTGTTATGCCAAATGTAAATATGACAGCTTTATTCTATATCAAACAGTATTGCTTCCATGTTAGTGTCACAGTTTGCATACGATATCGAGTTAAAATTCAAAATGGCGTCCGGGGTTGGTTGACGATTTTTCTTCGGGGTAGGTAGACTAATTAGTCAACCAACTTTAATTACTTATAATGTAAATTTTATACTTATTTTAAAGAAGTATGTGGGCTAACTTAGAGCACCCCGACTCCACTTGGCTCAAATTTAACAAATTAAACAAATTTGTTTAATTTGTTATTCCTACCCGCGGAACCTGAAGACTCGCTTCGTCGGTCCTTCGCCATTCCCGGGGACGCGACCGAGTGCATCATTAATGTTAACACTATTATGGCTTCCCTTACATACTAATTCGTAGTTTTGTATTTTTTTTTAGAGTAATGATGATCTTTCAGATGGAAGTGACGACGATGACGCAATTTGTCTGGTATGTACCGAATCCTATTCTGCCAGTAAACCTGGTGAAGAGTGGGTCCAGTGCATTACGTGTAAGTTATGGGCTCATTCTAATTGTGCAAAAGGCAGATACACTAGATAAGATTCATACCTAGGTTAAGTTTTAAAATTTATATATATAATTATTATATATATAATTTATAAATATATATATATATAAATTTAATTCAAGTTGCAATTAAGGTTCAAACAGAAAGTACAAAATGTTTGTTACTTATTGTCAAGTTAGGTTTTTAATAGTTTAATAAGAGACTGTTACTGTTACTGTCAATGTTCTTTATTAATGGAGAAGGATCTCAAATTTAAGTTTGTTAATAATTAAATAAAAAGTTTCTATCATTTAGTATATTTTGATGTTTTAATTTATACTAATCCTCTTTATTCATACTAATTACTGCTTAGGTCAACCTACCCCATGCTAATGGCCAACCAGCCCCGGATATGGGGTAGGTTGACCAAATGTCAGGGGTTTAGAAAATCAACTAAATAAGTATAATTACGAGAAATATATACTTTATAGGTAAGTATTTTAGGTACCTGAATAGTTATTCTACCTGTATCAACTTTTGTTTTTTATAAATCAAGCTAAACATCGGAAATATTGAAGCTTAAGTAAAAAGTTGGTCAACCATCCCCGGTCTCCCCTAAAACATGATTATCGATGAGGGTGTGGACTGCTTGATAGAAACTTATAATGTTTATAATATAGAAAATGATTTTATTATCTATGTAGGTCTTAAAGGGTAATCAGAAGCGCTTCAAGCACTATTGTCAGGTCGTTAAGAAATTAATTAATCAGGGGTTAGGTACACCTTTTCCTCTAAAAAAATCTAATTGAGTTGATGGACTGAAGTGTGTTTTCTTGAGCCGTTTGTTGATAAATATCTACTTAACAAAATGTAATAAATAAATTAAACTGCAAAATATTAAGAACGTTATGCCTATAAATCGAAACGTAAGTTTTTGAAGCGAAATTCGTGAAAAATGAAAGTACCTATCTTTCGTCTCCAATCTGTTGGAAAAGACACTTAAATCTTTTTTCAATAAATCTTTAATTGATCGTAAATTCTTAGATAGGTACATTTTGCGTGAAAGGAGATGCTATTATGTTCAGGCACAGATGCTGATATTGAATTATGCTCGATTCGATAGCAATTTCAACGCTACTTTAGTTTAGTCAAAAGTATTGAAGTCACTCATGTTGTGTTAATGTTTAATTTATTATAAGTACGAATTAAATCCTCATGATACTTTTAAAATAATGGCAAGATAACAGCAAAGTAAATAAGACAGACCACTGTCGAAGCGTGTTTTCTTATCCACCTTTCATTTATTGTAATTTTTCTGCTTACTCCGAACGAGAATACAAAATCAACATTCTAAGAACACGTTCCCACGTGAATTACGTCACGTATGCTTTTAAAAATGTTGTAAAACCATACAACTTTCAATGCTTTTATCAGTTAGAAACACCTGAACATTTTCAATCATCGCCAGTCAAAATCATTCGATATTACACAATCGTGCCAATAGAATTAGAAAAAATACATCTTGTAAGTAACCCGAGCGACGTGCTTTAGGAAATCAAAGGTTTTCTACTGCGCAATAGAACGAGGGTGGCTCTGTATGTTTATTTTCTTTTTTGTCTGCACCAGAAGCCCTCGGACTAATGAACCGGTTTTGTTGGTTTTTGGAACAACTGCCATGCCATACTTTTTTGTTTTCCGAATTTGTTTAGTACACCATTATGTTCGAAAACGAAACTTCTAAACGTTTTTTTTTTAAAAACAAACACTTGTCTCTTTGTTCAAAATGCCTTAGTACAACATATCATTACAAAACAGTCGACAAACGAACTCTGCATAACATACTACTATTAGTGGCATGTTTTATCTAAAATAAAACTATGAACGACTTCTCGACGTTTATAATTAAGATTTTCATTATTGAAGCAGTTCCAACGTTATTTTTTTTATTACAGGGCTGAACTTAGAGAGCGGTTTTATGTCGCCGATGTCACCGCCGGAGATGAAGCCAGACACGGCGATGCTAGACGGCTTGCGAGACGACTCCACCCCGCCCCCTGCATTCAAGAACTACCCCCCTAATCATCCCTTAAGTGGTTCCAAGCACCTCTGCTCTATATGTGGAGACAGAGCGTCGGGAAAACATTATGGAGTATACAGGTATGTAATATTAATGTCTCTTGTAACTTGTTTCAACTTAATTTCGTGACTTTTCCCCAAAGTTATTATTATGTAAAGACCGTCCCGCTTCGCGTAATAATCCTAAAATATTTTGTATACCATACGTGATGTTATTATCGACATAAATTAAGTTACTGCGGAGGTGTTAGGTTTGATCTCGATATTTTAACTTGACTCTCCTCCCTCGGGCCAGATGTTCGATAAATACAAGAGTCTCAATGTGGAGTTTTTGCTTGAATTTTTTCATCACTCCCATCCGGCAGTTAACTAAAACGGTTTGACGCGTTTAAAACTTTGAAGGGGCTGTGTAAAATGGCAGTTATCTAAATTTTATAGGCGACATAATCAAGAGTCGAGGCTTTTCTTCTACTTAAAATTTGGATTTCCCAATGAATGTTAGTACCTTTAATATGTTATGTGCGTATGTCAATTTGTAAATACGTCGTGGCAAGATTCATTCATCAATTTTCGTCAGCTGTTTTGTTTCTGACGACCGTAGTAGCAAGATGAGATGTTTCACAATAATAGACGAAAACCGTGTGTAAATATAAAATAGCCCTGAATATGTTTTGGCAATATACACGTTCACCTTTCATTATTGTTTTTTTTAAATGCGACAGAGTTATAAATACGAACCAAATTAAGGGGTTTATGTCTGCTGAAGCTATTCTCTCGGGTAAAAGTAAAATGGTCGGTCGTTACAATTTTATTTTTCTCTTAGTACCTGTCTGAGCAAGTATTAGATCACTCTTGGGAAACCTAGACTTTTAGACCTATTGAAAAAGAATTAAATGTCTATCAATTCGTTTCACATTCAGTTACGGTTCGTGATGGCCTTTGAAGTTTTAGTATTTCAATTAATACACCAAAATGGCCGACCGTTTTGAATTTTTATTGCAGTTGGAAAATCTTCATTTTGCGTCACAATGGTCTGTATTTATATAGGACTGATATTATGCGTATTACATCTACGTTTGTGGGTGAATCTATAAGTTTGAAGGCAAGCTTTCATCAGCATGAAACTTTAACAACGAATCTCTAGTTTTTCTAGTACGTGCTTCAATTTCCATTAAATTTCACAATAAAACTCTACGAACCTGTTATTGAAACATAAAATTACTTGTAATATAAAACTTGGACTTTAATTAATTGTACTTAAAGTGGAGACGTACTGCGTTTGCCATTAAAGCGTAATTTAATTAAAGTTTGTGCAAATAATTGTAAAGATAATAACTAGGTATTATTAGTATATATAATGGTTGTACCGTTTATTTGTTACGTTGATATAATAAGTATAAGTTGCTGGAGATGCCGCCGTCTAGACTTGTAGGTACGCTAGACTGAGTCTGTGTTACAGAGGTCCCTCTATGTGTGTGTGTCTGCCCGCACCTCTAGCTTAGATACAACATTTATTGGTTGCGTGTAAAATGAATATTATGTTATGGCATGCGCAAAATTAAAGATTTTACACCTTCTTATTATTCTTCAATGTTTTTAATTGAAGTTTTGTAGGCGTGGGACGATCGTTTATATATTAAACACGTTTTAAACACTAGGTGGTAACTACAGTGAATTATATACTGGCAATACATTATTGAAACGATTTACAATTCTATTGATCAGTAGCAACTCGTAATGCCATGCAGAACACATTTTTTTCACCTTGATATATTTTTTTATGTTAATTTGAAAATCTCGTATTTGAGGGCAGGTAGTCTTTCATGTCATGACTTTAACATCAAATCGATGTGGATTTTGTGTCTTCATTCTATGTGACATTTTCCGTTAATTTGGATTTTACCTGTGAAACTCTGCCTTACATCCGTAATCACTTCTATCTACTGTTCTACAATATGTTGTTGTACATTACGTATTCCCAATAGCACTGTTTACGACATTTTTAAGCTGGATCTTTAGGATGAGTGTGGGAGAGCCATGCTTCGGCACGAATGAGTCGGCTCGACCGGAGTGATACCACGGCCTCACAAAAAACCGGCGTGAAACAACCACAGCGTTGTATTTCGCCGTGTGAGTGAGGTTACCGGAGGCCCAATCCTTCCCCTCCCTCAATCCCTCTTCAATACCTAAATCTCCAAATCCCTAATCGGTCGGCAACGCACTCGTAACTCCTCTGTTGCGGATGTCCATGGGCGGGGCTGATTGCTTACCATCAGGTAATCGGTCTGATCGTTTGCCGAACTATTACATAAAAAAAAATGAAAACACTTCATTGGATTAATTCTAAGCGAGTAATGCGTAGTTATGTCCACAACTAGACAAAGAAAAAGAAAAGAAGAGAAAAAAAGTATCTGCTATCTTTATTAATATACAAAACACAAAATGGATACTTATGGCTGAATTATCTAATTGTTTTTGTCCTCCATTATAAACACTTTCATCCAAACGTGTATCGAAAACAATCCCTAATGCCTCACGTCTAACGCGAAGGGCTTGATCAACAGATTAATCTCAACAAATTTCCCGCGAATTACCAAAATTTGTTTATTTTTGCCTCTTATAAATAATTATACGGCTATGATGAGATGTATAGAGTGTAAATTCGTTCCTTGGCACGTGTTCGGAGGCATGTACCATGAGTACATAGAACGCGCGTACCGCTATTTTTGTACCGAAGCTTTTTTGTGATATAAATTATTAGTGGCATTACAAGATAATGTGACTGATTCATTTGATTTGATATGATTGTGAGAGTAGCTTGTCATCTTTACTGATAATAATAACATTACTGTTTAGACGTGGGAGTTGTTCGTGAGTAAATTACAGTCTTATGGACCAACCGCCGCGTTATTCTATGGACGAGTTAACTATGAATATCGCATCAAAGCTGCCGAGTTATGGTGGGTAGAGAGGACTGTCCCATCCTATTTATAATACATTAAAAAATGTATCGCTATCGGCAGTAAATAAAGAAAAAAGTAAATGTATGCTGAGTTAAAGTTCAATTTTGTTTTTCGTGAATGAGGATGCAAAACCTAGCAAGTACCAATGACTTTTTCCGAGTTAAATGTGTATTTTCTTTGATTATTAAGACACAATTGACACACGGTGAAGAAAAACATTGTGATTAAACCTGGACTCCTAATTTCTAACTATAAGTTAGAAGTTGCCAATCCGTCTTGAGAAACCTGGTGAATAATGCTTAAACCTTCTCAGCATGAGAAGAGCCATTTGCTCAGCAATGGGCACTTATAGGCTGATGATGATGACAACGAGTTGTAGAAGTGTAATACAGTATCAATAACGTTCTACAGAACTGTTTCGCCGTGTGAGTGAGGCCGGAGGTCCAATTAAACCCTCCACAATCCCAAAATCTCCAAATCACTCATATCTCCTTCATTGTTGCGGGTGTCCATGGGCGGCGCTGATTGCTTACCATCAGGTAATTCGTAAGCTCGTTTGCTACGACATAAAAAAAGTAGTCATGTAGTCACACAAAAAAAAAACACCGGTAACTAATCTCGACCCAAGTAGGTACGCGCAATAATGCGTTGTAATAATCCCTTTCCCAGCCTGATTTAATTCAGCGTTGGTGGAACATTTATCTTTCATACGTCACTTTCATACCGCCACCTTTACATACAACCCCTTTTTACGCTGTCTACATAATACTGCCCTGTTCTTAATGTCCTTAATCCTTGTTCTCTCTTCACAAATGTGAATTCGTTTGATTATTTCGTCGATTGTTTTTGGCAACATCTCTCTCTCTATGGTCGTGAAGAAGTATAAAATATTGCTTAGAATATCATATTAGGACTTGTTTAATTTGGCTTTCGCATAGGTCATAGGTAATGATTTTTTAATAAGGCTTTAGTTAATTTCAAAGTTTTATAAGGCAATCTAAATATAGTTTTATGTAAAGTAAAGCTGTACTAACCTAGAATAAATTAAAAAATTAAAGGTTCTTTATTATGATTACTCAATTTGCAGAATTGGGGCAACCCCTAAGATTATAAGACAGTGAAACAAACTGAAAATCTCGATTCTTGCAAGATCGAACAATTACTTAATTAATACTTCTTACTTTAACACAGTGGAATAAAAAAGTACTCAGTTCTATTTGCGTGTTTCTACAAGATTATAATGTTGTCTTAGATTTGGTTTACAAGGCCGTACTTAATTATTGTCAACGTATAAATACATTTGTGTACTATTCAGATCTATAATATACAAATATACTAATGGAATCACAAAGAAACCTAGTTAATTAATGCACGGTTACCCTAATTTGCATCGCAACGTAATATATTATGTTCAACGAGGCAAAAGGAAGCCTTACAATGTACGATCGAGTTAATTCTTCGCTAGTACATGATTATACTGGCTATTCTAAGTCTAGTAGTTGTGTTTTGCCAAGTGCAAAGGTTTTGTTCTCACACCGTTGCCCGGTATCGACCGACTCTATGTAAATTATGCTAAAGTAAAGCGCAATGGAATGTGAAACAAGACACACTTGATGGGTTTTCATTTAATACGTTAGTACTGAAGAGTTTCTTTACTCAGTGAATCCTGAAATTATGCAGACTAGGTTTTTATGGAAGTTTGAAAGTTTCGGCTTGGCAAAGTAGTCTCCGTTCTTGAGAGATTGGCATCAGCGATAAGTGCCGCAGATTAGCCGGCTTCAAGTGTTTCCACTTCAAGTTGTGCTTTTTTTGTTTTAACAGACAGCGTTGAGATAGTTGAGTGCTAAATAATTTAGTTCAGCGTATCCTTTCCGATTTTGAAGTATATTTGGGGCATAGTATAACTCCGCCAAGACGTAGCCAAACAATTCTTAAATGATCTCTAGTTAAGGTGACCACAGAAGGTCGATATTCTATATTTGAAATAGCCCCAAACATAGCAGTCTGTGCAAAAAAATAATGTATTAATTTACTTGTTAAACAATAAACATTTACTTTCTCGTCTCATATCTGGCCTGCGCTCCAAGTAAACTCACGATACACGTAAATGTCTGTTGACATTTACCTAATTGCTACAAGCCCTTCAATTAGTAAATGTAATTTGCTAGTTTTATCTACTAAGTGCTCATATCAAACAATGCTTCGATAAAAACAATTATCGATTCCAACTGTACTTTTCAATACCTAAACACGATTGTAAATTGAATCGAGTAACCTTCAAAACTTTCAAGTTCGATTTAATCGTTCGCCATTTTGATTTAATACCGTACCTATCGCTAATGTGTTGTGTACACCCACAAACAAAATCAAAATAGTACTAATTATAAAACATTAATTATAATTAGTCCATTGAACTAAATTATGGCACAGTTACATTGATATATTAATCGCTAATATATCAAGAGGGTTTCGTCGTTTTAAAACAATAAGTTGTGCCGTAAAAGGGGGTTCCTTGCGAATTCTAAAGAGTAGTACACCTACCTACCTACCTACCTGCCTAATTTATTGGCGTGCGTGTTCGCACACGAGTTGATTTAAAGCTCTAACGTACAAGATTTAAAGCTGTTTGCAAACTTTGAAGAAACCGGACAATGGGTACTCGACCACGCCCGCGACCATAGTCGGCCTTAACTCTGATACTGATATCGCATCGTAACACAGTACCTAGCAAAAACATAAACACATATGGTATACAAATTCTCTACAACATTGTGCCTGACTCACAAAATAACAGTGACGAACGCGCGAAAAAATTCATGTAACGCTACGATTTAATGTCAGCGTCTACAATTTCTAAATTGGAAGAGTAATTTACGGGTTTTATTTATAAACGTAAAATCGATATCCTTGGTTGTGGTAGGTAGAGAAAGTGGCATTCGTCACGACTGGTCAACGTTGCGAAACACATGTCGAAGGTTCAAAACGCAATCATGTCATTAACGTCGGCCCGAGAGAATTACATGCGTCACCGCTTGTTCCTTTTGACCGGGCTCTTATTGATTTTACTCGTACTTTTATTTCATTGCACAATTCAACGAGTAATGCGCAGTTTTGCATAGGAAACATGAGTAACATACCTAACATTTATGCACGTTTTCATAAAGATTTGTAGTATTCGCTCCGTGGGATTTATTGTTAGCCATAAAAGTTTTAGGGACTGTATTTTTAGAGAAACGATTTAAAATATCATTGTATTAAAGGTATATGTAGTTGTATGTACTATTAAGTCACATGCGCGGGGACGCAAGATTTGTCATACTTATACTTATGATAAATCGCTATGTTAATCTCAAATCACACTTTGTTCGTAGCTTGTCCCCCTTTAGTATACAAATAGGTTGAAGATTTTTCTAAGTACTTTTTGATCGTTGTTTTTCCGAGCCACTCTTTCGTTTTTATAGCTTTCTTAAGTTGACTTTTATGACAGTCTTGAGCTGATACATCCCCGCCATAATTTGGTTGTATCAGAAATAACAGCTGCAGGCACTTCCAAAATTTGTTTTGAACATGAATTGGGGTTATTTCAAATTTGGATTGATTAGTAAAGACGAAGAACATGTTCCAAAATAATAAAAGAAGACATTGAAAATATATTATTTTCTCCGTTTCCATCAATAGTTGATACGGCTCAACAGCCAAGGATAGGGATATAATGTAGGATAATATGATCGAGTGGCCGCCGATGTCATCCCTTATTCCCGAAGGATCTGTCAGTATTATAACTGCGCAGAAAATATACTAGTATTATTATGTACAAACAGTGTTATTACGTAACAACCTCGTGTTAATATTAATGGGGAAGATAAAGTTCATTTATTTATGTGATGCGAGTAACAGCAATTGAACGAAGTGAATTTGAAATAGACCACAATGTGCTAAATTGATTCGTGATGCATACTCCGCGTCTCTGTGATAGAGCAGCGAATAATAGTGGAAGTATTCTTATTCAGAACATTGCTTGCTTAAACTTTACATTGAATATTTAATTTTAGTCAAATAAAGTAAGGAAACTAAAAGTAAAAAGGTTAAATATCTTCTTCTTATTTTGCAAAATGAGACTAAAGAATAGCGATTTCCATTACGAGTATAGAGAAATTTTGCTATTAATAGGTAAATGTTCTGTTTCAAACTATGGCAACAGAAAACATTCCAACAATCCGTGAGTTCACTAACTTAACAATACTTAGCAGCTAATAAAATATTTTCAAAGCAACCTTTGAAGCCATTATATCGAGCTATCGCTATTACCTTTAATTCATAATTAAGTCGTATTATCGACAAACGATTTATACTGTTTCCAGTCTTTATTAATTCAAGAACTGATATTCCAAGCTGTCTACGGCTCAATCTATTTATACCATTGCTACAAGAACATGATATCGATCAATGATAGAAACATGCAACAATACGTTCCCAGTACGTCTTCACCGTCAATTAGAAGCTATGCCGTATATTAATAGGGGCTTCTTACTCAATGGTAATGAGCACTTGATCATGTATGTGCGGCATGTGGACTGGTTTGACACTCCCAAATACTTAATTTTATTGATCGCGGACTCTGCGCAAGTGATACATCACCATTATCGGTCTCTTTAGAACGTAGCTGCAACGCTCGAATTCTAATTATTCTTATCTTTCATCTACAAACATAATATATTATTTAGAATCACCTATTTATTTTTAGCTCTCTGCAAATATAAGTAGGTGGTAGGTACCATTGTTTTTCCAGCTTTATGATAATTCCGACATGTTTTGTATACTTATGTATGCTCATTCAAATGTTTCTCGTTTCATATGAAATGTTAAATGTGGGTTTTGTTGGAGAAAAATCGATTACTTTGAACGAATGTGTTAATAAATAATGGAAGATGGTGGTTGGCAACTGGGTTGCTTGTAGTTTAGTTACCTTTGAAGCTATTATGCCTTGATTGTCCTTCGTGCCGGCATTAGGTTATTGCCATCTATTTAGACACAAGCGTAGGCATAGGCTATTGTTCATACTAGTTATCACCTGTCTAGGGATTACATTTAACCTTTTGTTTCAGTTGTGAGGGTTGCAAAGGGTTTTTCAAGAGGACGGTAAGAAAAGATCTGACGTACGCGTGTCGTGAGGAGCGTAACTGTATTATAGACAAACGGCAGAGGAATAGATGCCAGTACTGCAGGTATCAGAAATGTCTTGCGTGCGGGATGAAGAGGGAGGCAGTTCAGGAGGAGCGGCAAAGGGCTGCCAGAGGTACGGAGGATGCACATCCAAGCAGCTCAGTGCAGGTACAGGTACTAATCGTATGACGTGGTGTCATTTTTCTACTTTATAGATGTAAGTCTTGTTTGTATCGATTTTATTTTCTCGATAGTTTTGGGTGACAGAAAAGGTATTTTCTGAGGTTAGCCCAATGTCAGGATTGTATGCGTCACTATCGAAGTGTGTGACAATAAAAAATGTTATGCAGATTAGTGTCCGAGTGAAGTGCCCTTTATTAACCAAATAAGTACTTAATGTGCCCTTTACATCCAATAATACGTAATTAGAGTAAACATTTAACAGAAATGATATTTGAATTTCAACCTATCAGTTAAAAGAATTTGAACCTCACAACGGTTGTGTTAAAGTTGAATTTAATGAAAAGTTATATCGTTCTTTACTCCTGCGCATAAATGCCGTTGTAACTTTAGATTGGAACCGATTTTAATGGAACGAAGTATGGCTTGGTTTATGCCTAGTTTGTTCTCAAAGTAAATGAATACGAACTCGTTATTGTCCAATTGAGGATAAAAATAAGGTCGTAAATGTTAACATGTTGTAGGGCCATAAACCATTGCTAGTAATTATGTTTAACGAAAGATGAACTTTGAATTTTATTAATATTAGTCTTAAAGTTGTAATTTGTTATCATATAATAACCGCACCTTTTTATTTTCGTAAATTATAGGTCGTATTTACAATATGTGTATTGGACATTGCACTATACCTCGAAGCAGTTTGCAATGGTATGCCTTTAGAACAACTTTGTGCCTGTTATTGGCCCCTTTCTAATAGGGGATGAGCTTATTTATTAAGTGAATATGCCTCAAGAGGTTAAAAACATAAATTATATTTGAAAATTCTTACTTGTAAAGTTGTAACAGTAAAATTGAAGTTTTTTTATGACGATATCAAAGACAATAAAGGCTCATTTACACGATACAGTTTTCTTGAACATCTAAACCAGTAATTGAATTCAATAACTTTAAGGCTCGTTTACATCTATCATATGTGTGGCTTAGACCATACAAATCAAGTATACCATGCAAGTTAAGTAGTTAATTCATTGTGTGCAAGTAACTTGCACCTTGTAAATGAAGCATAATGTACATTATTGCTTGATTTTGCTTCCCTATCTGTGAAATTATTAGGAAAATATATAGCAGTTTTTAATAAAAGAATATCGAAAGTATTGTGCATGCAACCCAATGACTAGTGATGCGCCTTGCCTCTTTATTGATTACGATTACAATTACAAATCACTTAAATCAAAGTATCGATTGGTTTCATTTGTGACTGATATGTTCATTCAACTGTATATAGATTGTTCGAATTAAATTATTGGACGAAATAATATTTATGTAGCTACTAAGCAACATTTAAGGTTGAATCTTCAATATAACTTCTGCTGATATATCTTTATAGGAATAGCTTTTTACCAATGGTCTTTCTCTCTCTCTCTCTGACCATAGGTATAAACAGTATCAAAATCTGTTTCATTGATTTTGAGATGACATGTGTGTGACCACATAATATAGTAAATACACACTGGCAGAAGCTACTACAGCTTTTGTGAGTGAATTTGCCCGCAAAGGGTTTAAAAAAAACTATTCTTTCCTTAAAATTTCATTAGTATGTGAACAGTGACAAGCACTTATTATTAGTAGGAATGAGTGGCGATATAGTGATTTTGCAGCCTTGTTTGGGTTGAGCCATAAAATATTTTATTATTTCAACTAAGTAATAGTTATCTAGAGGTTTTTAGTTAAAAGGAATTTTGTAGGTACACGCATTATTTCAAATACACTATTTTAGTACATTTCTATTTAATGGAAAACCCACTCAAGTGAAAGTAAACACACATTTATTAACCCACCTACATTAAACCTCATAAAGTGATAACTTTGAAATGAAAACTGGTTTATATATTATATTTTATATCTAATATCTTTATACTACGTTATGTAAAGTTTATTCCTCGAAGGGATTTGCTGAAGCGTAGGTTAGCGTACAGTTCACTTAGTTTGACAGTTATTTTCTTTGTAGATGGCGCTATCATCGCATTTGGGCACAATTATTTACACTTCACGGTAGTTTTTCAGTTATGTAGTCAATCTTGAGCAGATCAGTAATATTTGTGGCTTTCTAAGGCAGTCAATAAAGAGAGATCTTTTTATAGCCGTTTGCGAGAAATTTTAGGCTTTTCATCAGTACTGTACCTATTATGTTATAATCAACACGTTGTTAATACAAAAGAATATTTTTATGGAAATAATTCTGGCTGTTTCTCCAGGAGTTGTCAATCGAGCGACTGTTGGAGATGGAGTCCCTGGTGGCCGATCCCTCGGAAGAGTATCAGTTCCTTCGCGTCGGACCAGACAGCAACGTGCCACCAAAGTTCCGCGCCCCTGTCTCAAGCCTTTGTCAGATAGGTAAGGAGCGTTCTTATTTCTATACACTTTGGAACGAGCAAATAGCTTCACCAAAAGGACTGACCACTGATACTTTATATCTTTAAAATTTTGTTTGACGTTCATAAGTGCCTAATGAAGTCAAAGTCAAAAATCAAATAAATGATTTTTGACTTTGACTTCATTAAATAATACAAAGAAAAAACAGCAAAATTTTTGACTTAATTTGGATATTTTGTGAAGTAGTTTGTTTGGGAACTATTCGGTCTATTTCAGTTTTTCCACAGTGTTCTATGAGTGTCCTACTTTTAGCTGAAATTTACATCACCCTCATCTAAGATTATCTGCTTTCATGATTTTTGACATTAGTTCAAAATGTTTGTCAAAAACTTAAGATCTGATATATACATTTGATAGTTAGATAGACTACGTTTCGTGTTGTATACCATCACACCACTTTTCACCAGTTGCCTATACCATACAGCACATATATCATGTCATACAGCAGAAGCTTAGAATCAGTGCTGCTAAAGAACAATTAAAAAAACACCAGTTTTATTTGCACGAACATCGGGAATCGCGACCACTGAACCAACGACTCTGTATAGTAAGTTGAAAGCGAAAATTTTTATATTACACGGATGAAAACTTTTTCTTTCTACAACAGGTAAATTGATGATATAACAGTACACAAGTTTCTTCCCCAGACGGTTAACACGATGAGGAGTTATTTATAGTTGTTTCATCCACTTTTAGTCCAGTTTGGTCCCATAATCCCATTGCGGTGATCTGACCAAAATTTCCCGACTCTCTCGTTATTACTCAAATACTCCATAGCAATCTATAAAAATATAAATCTCTTGGGTTTTTTGGTGGAAAAAGTTATCAAATTACTTCTCCCGCCCAGGGTGAGGCGAGCGTCAGACTCTTACTGACTAACCTCCCCCCTCCCCTGTTCCGCCTGAGGCCGCGGTGCCTCATTGCGCTTAACCCACATCTGGATAGGGTTGTAGGGTCATGTATGAATGTTATGCACGTCAGCGAGAAATCCATCTCGTTACGCGACAATAATAGTGAACATCAAAACAGTATCTAATAGAGTCCGTCGTTTGATTTGCTTTTGGAACTACCGTGAGAAAATAACAACTCACTCACGTGAAAAAACTGAGAAAAGCTTTACTAGTTTCAAAGGGACATTCATATATAAGAGTCCCATTGTGACTTGAAATTAGTAGAGCTATATTATATGTATAATTATATAATATGTACATAGCTAGCTTCAATAAATATACCTAAACCGATTTCTTACAATTTTTCCGATGAGTAAATAATGATGAAAACAACAGTAGGAATAGTTTAATTTATTCCAAATACTAGTTCCGTGTAGCAATCTAAATTTTAATATATTTTTGCCATTTCGATTCGGTTTATGTATACAATTAATCCTAAATTATGGTTTGTTTTTCAACGTCGATCTTGATGAGTGCACGTGTATTGCGATGATATACAATACTAATGTGTGTGTGAAAGAGATAGGTGATCTTGTTTTTTATTTTATTGGAGGAAATCGCGAAGCACAATTAAAATCTTATAATATTGGCATATCAGTTGATTGTTAGTCTTTTAAGTAAATCGTACAGCACTTAAAAAATGAAATGGAATAGCTTGATAGGAGAGGCCTCACAGAAAACCTACGTTAAACAACCTCTACGTTGTGTTTCGCCGTGTAATGTGTGTTCTCCTACCCTTTCACCACAAGGCTGACAATGCACTTGTAACTCCACATCGGCATCGCACATGGACACACTAAAGGCGGTGCACGTACATTATTGGTGGGGGACTGGGAATGGAAGGAAGGAAAACACATGGCATGGCAAACACCAAATTTCTTTAATTATAACCCTCCCACACTAACACACGGTTTCCGAAAAGCCGATCAATTTTAAAATCAATTTAATCTCTTGTCAAGTCATCTGATTGGTTGACTGAATTATCAACAACCAATCAGATGACTTGACAAGATATTTAACAGCTGATTAGTTAATTTTAGCGTTGACAAGCCTTTCAAAAACCGGGTGTTAGAATCTGGGAAATACAGACATTGTTTCTATCAAGTTTTAGTTCAATACTACAGGTTTACTTAGATATATAAAATCAAAAGTAATTACCATTTTTGATAGTATACCATTATTTTAGCCAAACAAAGAACTTTGCCCGTTTTATATAAGTACATTTTACAAACCACTACTTAATTACCGAACTCAAGGCTTAGACGTGACTCAGCAAATCTTTTATTATTCAACTAACATGAATATCGCGTTATAAATATAAAAAAGTTGGTAGTCGAGAAACGGCCGTTTTCGATATTATAATTTAAATATTTGAAATTTGAATTCGATAGTTTCGGATTCGAACTAAGGAGTCAAATTCAATACCTAGATAGTTTTATTGTTATTTCAAAAACGATACTGCACATCTGGAAGGTTATCGCAAAAATATGGCAAAAAAATCATTGCTTTGAAAAAACTACTACTTACTTAATTCTTGACTATGATATACCTACTTAAACATGCAATTGTATGTATTGAAAAGTCATGTATGAGGAAATTACAAAGCAAAAGCATGATAATATAATGTAAGTTAGATGTGGCTTCGAACTTGCACATGTTTGCACTAACTACCTGTTTTACCTGAAAAACATACCTAATCATGTACTTGCTAAGACTTTTTTAAGGAGGTAAAATAATCATATGCCTTTTCTCGCCCAGGGTTAGGGGAGTGGCAAACTCTTATGAATATATTTATTTTTATTTATTTATTTAAACTTCATGCACAATGGGTACATAGGCGAACTTAATGCCTTAGGCATTTTCTACCAGTCGAGCCTTGGGTGATGCAGAGATGAGCCAATGGTCGGTGCAAGAAGCAAGCAAACAGACTTAAATTTAAATGAGTGAAGACGAGATAGATACATATATATGTATGTGCAAACCATTTACATACAAGTTACAATATAATATATATAAAATAAGTACTCAAATTACATATATACTAGCCAAGCTGGCTTATGAATGCACTAAAATAGTGTAGTTTCTGTCTGTCTGATAGGTATACCTAAGAAGAAATTTATTGCAAAGTTTTGCTCCTTCAAAAGTCAGTTTTGTTTGCCACATTTGGTTCCAATTTTTTTATATATTTTAAATCAATCCTTGACAATCGAAATGAGACACGCACATTTCAGTTTCACATACAAAACCAGTTTTGGACTCGCCTTGTGTCATTTTTCCGCGGATTCAACGGCCAGTTTATACTGGTTTTGCATTGATTCGTAGCCGTACATACAATAATGATGAAAACCCCAAAATAAAAGTCACTTTTTGCTTTACAAGTAGAGATATGATGTGTGGCCGTCCTTATTTAAACCGACACCAGTTCTCATTAAATTCATGTGATTGGAAATTATTATAGTGACACGAATACTTGTGGATCAACATTACTTACTAGTTATTTTTATACGGGAGTCGATATATTACCAGTAGAATGCATATTAAACTTTATGTTCTTCGCGTTGTTATTTTAACTTTTTAAGTTTCTCGCCATTTTGTTTGGTACGAACTTCTAGGTAGGTTTTTGTCAGGTAAAATGACGATTTCAGAAGCCAGTTCTTTTACAGAAAATAGTTGTTTTTGAGGCACTTAGGTCACCGTGACCTTCGGATTTGCCTTCAATAATTCTCTGGCGGAAGTCAAAGGCTTAAGTGACTTGTCCTGCCATTGCTGGGCGAGAAGTGATTTCAGACTCTTACTGACAAAAACTCCTACTCCTGTTCTATCCGGGCCTATTTATTACAGATAGAGATAAGTCAGATCAACTTCCAAAACTATGCAATAAACGGACTTAGTGCTAAGAAAAGACGAAAAGTAATTCCAAAATCCATTTGCATTTACCAATAAATACATTTGTTTATGTATAAAGAAAAAATGGCTGAGAATTATTTTTGTGTAGGTATTACAAAGTAAAGATTGCATTATGTTGTGAAATCTTCAAAGAACATGAAGGACTTTTTACGTAGGTGATAATTAAGCTGCAAGTCATAATGTTTGTAAAAAATACAGAGAATTGCACAAGTGTGTTAGACAAGAAAAGCTCCATATTATTATAGGAAGTATTGAAGTTGCATTCAACAAAATTTCTGATAAATAATTATTCTATCAGGTTCCCTCACTATCTATCCCTTCACTGTTTGCCAGTGTTATCTAAATAAAAGTAGAAGGCACGTATTATACTTAGTAAGATCCACATTGGTACTTGTCAGGTTTCGGACCCGTATCCTCAAGCATGAAAAGACGGTGCCTGAACCTGCCGGCCAAGACCAACGAAGCATAACTTAATGAAACGATGTTCTCAAAAAGACAAAATATTATCCGTATTAGCTGGAGCACATTTCCGTGCCCCCTAATAGATAGGAAATGTCAAAGGATTTGTTCACAGATGCAGGTTCAATTGGTTAAGCACATATTCGTTTTAAATATCATCAATGTAGTAAAGAATAAACCCAATCCTAATCAATTTTACTGGATGGAATTAACTTTGAGATGCCCCCTTCGCGTATACTTCAAGTACGTAATTTACTCAACCATACAACGAAGGGACGAAACCCTCATCCACGTCAATAGAAGCCCCTACACCAATGAGGCTTATACTTAGTAATAAACAATAACAAAATCCGAGCACAAACAATTAAAATTCTACTGCCCGCATCAATCCCAAATCATTGTCACATGATGTGGCTACAGCACAAAATAAAACGCAAAAAATAAAAATTCCACGCAACATAAAAACTGAGGTATGTTTATATGTATTTATGTACATAAATACATTATTACAATGGCATACATAATTTGAAACTGGTTTAAAAATGGCGTCACAGTTTCTATCTACGAAATATAAGTACATTTAATTTATTATTAGTGCCTACAGCATTTTTGCTGTGTCTAACATTCTTAGCTTAGTTACGTGGGAAGTTAAAAAGGACTGCTATTAAGTACCTAGGTCGTTGTATTAGTGAATTTATAAATATTCAATTAATTCTGAATTTAAAGCTTATAAGTGATTTTTTTAGTAATCTGTCAACTTTCCCACTTGGAAATATTATGACAAAGTATAAAAAACCATTTCAAGTAGATATTATGGTTAAATTGGTTCGTGAAATTAAGATTTTATTCCTAAGGACATGCAGAAAATGGAAAAATATCAACAAAGGACTTGTTTTTTTTTTCGTTTTTACAGGAACAAACATTAGAAAGAACCTAAATAAAATTGGTCTTCAAAGGGTGATTTTTCAAAATTATAAAATTGACCTGGGGAATAATTATGATTCTGTCGCTTCAGAATGTTTGTGTAAGACAGTGACAGCAACAATTTTATTCCTCAGATAACGTTTATCTAACTATTGAAAAATCAGCCCTAAGATAAGCTATCATTATAATATTCGTATCGCAGAGGTCACTATCGTACCTAAATACTTGATTTATTATTTACCTATCAATAAAGCACAGCAAAACACATCAGACCATAATTACTTTGCTATTCTTTATCCTTGTCAAATTGAACGCGAACAGGCAAAAAACAAACGAGGACGCAGCGCAGATATTATAAAAAATAGTTTGTCATTCAAGTTTCTCGGAATTTTAAAGTTAACTTGCCCATGGCTAAATGATTTGCGTAGTTTATACATATGTATATACTACACGGTGTTATTTTGAACAAGGGATATACTTAAGGACCCGATTCTGGTCCTCAAATGAAGCAACTTTCCATAAGACCAATATACATGGAAATCTCAAAGACGATTTTATTTTTCCATACTAAACGCAACAGCTGAGCTGAGAAGTAATTTGTTTTGTGATTTCGATATTAGTACCATGGAAAAAGTTGTTTTATTTGAGCACCAGAATCTGGTCCTTGAGTATGCCTCTTTTTTAAAATAACAAACTGTGAATGTTTTCTTTATGTATTGTAATGTACCCGAGCGCTTCAAAGAGTCAATAGACCACCACAGACGGGGTCATACAGGGCTGATGTTCAACTGGGGTTGCGGGGTAAGCGCAATGAGGCACCGCGATCTCGGCCCAGAGCAGGAGAAGGAACGGGGGGGTTTAGTCAGTAAGAGAAGTCATTTGACTATTTTTCCCTCACCAAAAATAAATAAATATTTTAATGTGGATAGATGAAACTTTTAAATTGTTTAACATTTTTACTCATGTCTTTTTAAAATTTATGTAGGTTCTTCATATATGTATTTTATTTGTTGACCCACTTAGTTCTTTGTGTTATTTATTATGTTTCAAAAGCTGAATGTCAGTTTATGAAACATTTTACATTGTCCGAAAACAAAGTGGATTTATTAGGGTTACCTAAACTATTTTTTTTCTTATTTGTTCTATGAATGAATAGATGAATAAGTATTTAAGCAGAATTTGATCTAGATGCGTCGTTTCACACTGGTTTTCTGTTAGACCGTGGTATCAGTTTTTTTTGTATATAATTTGGACGTGTAAAAGTGCTGCTTAATGGCCTTCTCAAGCCTATGTCCTTTGGCATCAGAACCGTCGCCTTTCTGTGCCTTTAAAAAGAAAAGTAGGTAAGGCTTGTTATTTCTTACTTCTGTCGATATATCATAATCAATGGATCAATTTTATTCAAGGAAAAATGTCGCGTGTGTTACCATATGAAATAATGGAAGCTCTCCAATATTTCTGCGAATTGCCACCCTATATGTAAACGACCATACGGATGCCTTATAAATTCTTGTGAAAAACCCAGTTAAACATAATAAAGGGAATATTTTCCTTAACACCAGTAACATCAGAAGCATATTTTTATTCACGTAATTTAATTTCGAAAGTGTATTTCGTTTACTTGGGTTACATAGAATGAAAGGGAATAGAAATTACGTTTATTTGAAACATAATCCTTTTTTGTTTCTTTGGTTTGAGGGTTGCCCGGCCAACTGCCCACCCTACACATGCCGTTGAACATGGCTACATCGGATCGAATTTATGACAACAGACTTATAAAGCTTCACTTTAAAGTAGCTACTGCTGTTACACTCAGAGAAGTTCTCTTTTAGGGGGTAAATTTCTTCAGCCGGAGTTGCGGGTTAAGCGCAATGAGGCACCACGGCCACGGCCCAGAGCAGGAGAAGGAACGGAGGGGTTTTTAGTCAGTAAGAGTCTGCCACCCGCCCCACCCTGGGCGGGAGACGTAATTAAATGATTTTCCCCTCACAAAAAAGAGGATAAATTGCGCTCAGGAGTCATTTTCCAGAAAACACGTAGGTGTGTTGATCTCTGCTTGCGATTCGTTTAGCAGAAAAGAAGACATTATATTGTAATCTAACTTATCAATCTACGATTGTATAAATTATGCGGGACCCGAGACAAATCAACTTGATTGCACCAAATAACTGCGCACTGTGACTTTGTAAGACCATTAATTTTGTATGGATACGAAGTTAGGATCAATTGGCAATAAATTAAAAGAGAATTACGGCTTAATCGAATCTCTACCCACGCAAATTATAGGTACGACAAACAAGGAAAAGGGATTCAAGAAAAACAAATTACACGTAGTACATACATTATATAGAAAAACACATATCATATATGCGTTGGTACAAAATTTATTATTGGAAGGCGTAGCTACTCTGACCGATTTCTCGATTCATTGTCAACTATACAATGATAAGTTATCATTTAAAAAATGTAAACCTATATGTGACATTTAATTTTAAGATAAGACTCCGTTCGTTGGAACAATAGTGATAGTAGAAAGTGTCCCGATATGAAATAGGTCGAATATGAGACAAATACTTTTTATCAGCACGTGTACATACATACATACGATATGATTATTCCATTGTAAGATTATTATGTATGTATATGTCGCACCAAATTAGCGCAATTACCATTTATTAAACAGCCTAAATGACCATCAGGCGTTTGACCCGTTAAGTGTGGGAGAATCATGCTTCGGCATGACTGGGTCGGTTCGACCGGAGTTATACCACGGCCTCACAGAAAACCGACGTGCAGCAACGTTTACGTTGTTTCGCCTTATGAGGAGTCCCAATCCTTCCCCAATCCCCCATTCTCAATCTATACTAATATTATAAAGTGGTAAAATTTTTAAGTTTGTATGTAGGGGGTAATCTTTGGAACCGCTGGCCGGATTGCCAAAATTCTTTCACTATAAGGATAGCTACAAGGTTCCTGAGTGCTAGAGGCTATAAAACATCACGCTACGATTAAATGGAGCTGAGCAGCGCGTGAAACCGCGCGAGAGTAGCTAGTCCTTTACAAGAGGCCAGCAACGCACTTGTAGTAAAACCTTTGGTATTACAAGTGTCCATGGACGGCACCGAGTACTTACCATCAGGAAATCCGTCTGTTCATTTGCCAATAAATGTCTGAATTTGATCTTTCAGGCTGTTAAGTAAAGGGTGATGGAATTTTCATTAAAATCAAGTTGGTAAGAAAATGGCGGGTGAGGTTAGGCTAGAAATGTGAGCAGCACTGAAATCGAATCGCCATCAGAAATAAACAGTTACCAGAATTTTACTGTGTAGTGATTGATTTCATTAAACAGGCTAGTTCGTAAATTAATTGGATTATTTATTTAGTTGGCTGGCTGGTATGTATAAATAAATAGCATCGTTTTTTTTTTTATTTAACGTTTGAATCGTGTCAATTCGAGACATAATAGAAGAACAATAGGTACGCGAACGCCAGCGTTCGCTTGGGGTTTAATGAATGAATGAGGTAATTAGGTGTCCAGCATTGATTTTTTTTTTACTTGATATAAACTAGTGCTTGACTGCGATCCCACCTGATGGTAAGCAGTGATGCAATCATTGATGGTAAGGCGCACTATTATTAATATTCCTGAACTTTGTGCTAACTGCTACATAATATTGAAAATAGAGTTACTTTTCTGAAACTTCTATGCGCATAACGATACTTAAAAGTCGCGTTCTTCACTTACATATTTGCCCATTCAAGGGCTATGTATCTAGTCATATATGAATGCACTAACTCGCTCTAGTACGTAACATCTTAACTCCAATATCAATTACAATAAGTATTTTCAAACAAAACACAACACCTTTTGTTAACATTATTGTTATCAACAAGGACGAATTTCCTTATTTGCGATGTCTGATAGAATGGCATCGATGTTAGCCATCAATCAACGTCGTTCGAACATGATAACATCTAATTGTATAATGTATACGTTACTTGAGTATTGATCTGGGAATGCGGTGTGTACTCGTAAAAACATACATACTTACTTAAAAATGCGATGGTATTTTTAACCGATTTTAAAAATATAACATAGTATCAGAATATTCTACTACTATTAGAGTTAAGTATATTTTAGATCAGATTTTCAATTAATTATAGTCGTTAATTTTCGAGATAGCTCGACTATTTTCATGCCACGACAGAAGCCCATAATTATGAATAACATCAACCGATTTAGTAATTTAGTGTTCACTTTTGTTCATGATGTGTTTACCTGTTATACATATTTACCTTTCTCTAGTAATATTATGAATACGTAAATTTTCAAGGTACTTTCGTAGCTCGACAGGGGCCCATAATTATGTATACTACACAACACCAACCAAATTTTTTATTTACCTGTAATAATTATTTTCTTTACACGTTCGATGTAAATAAATCCGTGATTTTGTATTTTAGTTAGCATAACGTATTTCAATATTTTTTTATTTAATTTCCAGGCAACAAACAGATAGCGGCGCTGGTGGTGTGGGCACGCGACATCCCGCATTTCAGTTCCCTCGAGCTCGAAGACCAGACGCTGCTCATAAAGAGTTCCTGGAACGAACTGCTACTCTTCGCTATTGCATGGCGGTCTATGGAGGTTCGTAACTTGTGTCCTTCACAGGATTTTTAAGCAAAACAATTACGTCTAAGTTACTGACTCGTTGACGTCTCCGTTTGAATCTACTTGAGAATAAACAGCTAGCTATAATGACTATTATTTTTTTAATAGAAAGACTTTTCGGCAGCTATCTTATTTGAATGCAATTTAGATTTATTTCTTACTACTGACCCGCTACAACTTCAAACGGCTGCAATGCTAAAATTCTCTACTATTTTAATGTATAATGTTATACATATAAACCTTTCTGTGGCTTTTTTTAGAGATTTAAGCATACATAGTGACATGGAGACAGAGAAAGCGACAATGTTTTATACCATGTAGTTATGCTTCCAAAAATAGCAATTTTTGTGTTCAGAAAGCACGTTAAGTCATTGTTCAAAGGATCTCTTTCCGTTCGTGACGGCTTTACGTCCAATCGGATCAAACCGCTTTGGTCCCCAACCAACTCAATGTATATAAAAAGCGATTCTTAAATTCTAGTACAATTTTATTGTGTCGAAATTACAATATACTAAACATAACATAGTTTTTGACAATAATACTTTGAAAAAAACTATTGTTGTTTTTTTAATAATGGTTATTTTATGTGTAATTTCAGTATTTGACGGAGGAGCGTGAAGTAGTTGACAGCTCCGGAAACAGGACTACATCGCCACCACAACTCATGTGCCTCATGCCTGGTGAGTACTCCTTCTCTCATCATCATCAACACCAACCACAACGTCATATTATTTCTTCTAGTTGTAAGTTTTTTTTATGTGATAGGTCGGCAAACGAGCAGACGGATTACCTGATGGTAAGCAATCAGCGCCGCCCGTGGACACCCACAACGGAGGAGTTACGAGTGCGTTGCCGACCTTTTAGGGATTGAGGAGGGATTGGGGGAGGGGAAGGATTGGGCCTCCGCTAACCTCACTCACACGGCGAAACACAAGTTTTCCGAAAATGTTAGAATAAAATAAATGCTACCCCTTTTCTATGTTCTATCGCTTTTGTAAACCATCTAAACCGATAAACAATAGGCATATAATAGTCTGGAAACCGGGGCATTAGTGTAAACCCTTTGCGCTTTTGGGCGGCCATCGCAGCATGATCAACAAAATCTTTGAAGATGTTTTTATCTGTCCCTTGATATGGCTGGTCAACGTTCCAAGGCATATCTACCCGTGTTTCTGATATTAAAAAGTTTCTACAATTCATTATTAAGTAAACAATCAGGCACAAACCGCGCAAGAGGTCAAAGCCCACATAATGACAACAGAAACGCAAAGTAATTTTCCAAAAAAATAAATTTAAAATAGAGCTCGAATCGAATTTCAAATTTTAATTGTGTTTAATGTGCCTGGCTGGGTTCATTGAAAAAGACATGTCTTAAAATTCTATAAAAATGTGTGTTATTTTGAAAATGTTCACTTTGGCCCCATTTTGAGTATATAAAACGCCATAATGTTATTTAGATTCCTACCTATACTAATAACTAACGCAATTAAAGTCGCAAAATCGAACTAGCTCCTATATCTAAAGCCTCGTCATAACACTTTTGTAAGAACAAATGATTTTAAAACACACAAAAGGCTTTCATAACTAAATAAAGCAGCCAAATACAATTGTATAAGCAATATAATAATATAATTAAGTTATCGCACCCTAAGTCACGTCATTAATAGTTTAACCATTCGTGTACATTTCATAAAAGGTTACTGACTTGCCAATTACAATGTACGATAGTTACAACCTATTCAAATTCAATAAGTAATATATATTGTCGAACGGTCAAAAACGAACGTTTTGTGTGAGATTTGTATGTAATCATAGCTTTGACGTCATGTGTTTTTGCTATATCATCATCGGTTTTGTTCGTGTATAAAGTTGCTTCTGTTTGTGGTTTTTCTTCGGTCGATTTCGATTTTGACCATTAATTTTGTGTTGTTTTAGACTAAGCTATAGACATTCCCAGCTGAAAAAAATTTATAATGTTAGTCAGTAGGAGCCTGTCACATCCTCTCGCTCCACTCGTTCTCCAGAAAATTCATATTTGACAATTCCACCCCCTCCCCTCAAAAAAAAACTTAGACGTTTTTACCTCAGAGCTCCACTAAGTTTTGTTAAATGCCTATGTGATGCCTTTCAGACTATACCCCATTTCGTTGCCAAGTTTCATCCGAAACCGTTCAGTAATTTCGGAGGATTTTTTAATTAGTCTTTAATTTTAATTAGTCAGTATTAGATAATTTTAAGTAATAGGTATGTAACCAATAGTTTTAGGTACAGACTTAATCGTTACTTTATGTAAATAACAGTGGTAAGCATGCTGGCTATCGCTGACTTACCAGTTTTCCTTTTTTTAATAAAACCTTGACCTTATCTTTTCTAAAATCTTTAAAAATATTAGTAAAGTCTACGTTTTTACATTGAATGTATATTAATCTTTTATTAGCATTTGATTATGTAACCTCTTTATAAATTCTATCAGCATAAGTTGGAGCTAAATTATAAACTTATTACGTTCTTTTTATTTTCTTTAGGAAACATAATCTAATCATAATTAGTATCTTATTACCTGATATTGGTTTTCTTTTATAATCCAAGTAATGTTTTATATTTCATCTGGTAACTCCCCTCCAAAAGAAAAAAAGAAGAGGTTCCATTTTTAAAATGGTGTAATTCAATCCTTTTTGTAGTAAACATTGGTATTTGAGGCTTGATTTTTTATCACATTGTGAGAAATAGAACAAAATTGGGAAAACTTTTAGTTAGATATTATAAGAATAAGTTTCGTTCATGATGATTCCCTACACTGCTTGTCAGTGATGTCCAAATAAGCTTAGAAAGTAATCATATAATTCGGTAAAGTCATTCAGTTTTCGAACCAGTATGAGAACCCCTCATGTATGAGAAGGGAGGCCTTAACCTCCGGACCGGTACGAACATTTTTCGTATTATTTGTGAAACTAGCGACCAATCCCTTAGCACGGGTGCATTGCTGATACTAAATTTCTCCAACTTCCTCTTCAATCACTCTACCTTGTTAAAATAACCGCATCAAATTTAATGTGGGAGAGCCATGCTTCGGCACGAATGGGTCGACTCGACCGGAGTGATACCACGGCCTCACAGAAAACCGGCGTGAAACAACCACAGCGTTGTGTTTCACCGTGTGAGTGAGGTTACCGGAGGCCCAATCCTTCCCCACCCCCAATCCCTCCTCAATCCCTAAATCTCAAAATCCCTGATCCCTGATCTCTAAAAGGTCCGCAACGCACTCGTAACTCCTCCGTTGCGGGTGTCCATGGGCGGCGCTGATTACTTACCATCAGGTAATCCGTCTGCTCGTTTGCCGATCTATTACATAAAAAAATCAAAACTACTTGCGTAGTTTTAAAGACTCAAGTAGGTATACATAGGGATATAGGAACGGAGAAAGCGACTTTGTTTTATGCTATGTAGTGATTGTATGTTCATTTCTTAAAAATATCTATAATGAATGTTTCAGGTATGACCCTTCACCGTAACTCGGCACTCCAAGCAGGCGTGGGCCAGATATTCGACCGTGTGCTATCGGAGTTGTCCCTCAAAATGCGTGCTCTGCGCGTCGACCAGGCTGAGTATGTTGCGCTCAAAGCCATCATACTTCTCAATCCTGGTATGTATATATCTGAAAAAGTATACATTGTTTTTTTTATATAAATCCTATAAGTAGAATATGTGTCTGAAATTGTCTACTGTATCTTAAATGTGGTTGTAGGCTCGCCTTAGATTATATAAGTGTGAATCTGGTAAAAGTGGATTATAGGTTGCATATAATATAATGATCCGTCTCTTCCCTTCGTGGATTAAAAGGTGTTTTGTTTTGAACGCATTTTAGTTTTGGATAGCATGCACTAAACTATATTTTTATATGAAAAAAATGTCTGAAGAACAATCTCTTTTAGAGACAGTTTAAACACAAAATTCTTATGTGTATTCAGAATTATTGTTTTAAATAACAAACACAATTAATTTATTTTATTAATCCACATTAAACATTTACATATTTGATCACATGTATAAAACAATAAATTGCAACTGTTAAAATTACTCTCGTTTATTTTTTCAGATGTGAAAGGACTTAAAAACAGAGCAGAAGTTGAAATATTACGAGAAAAGGTAAATTTATGCGTTCATTGTTTTAACACCTGAGTCTTGAGTGACCGGAGTATGGATACATTTGAATATTTTGTATAAGTACAAAGTAAAATGCGAGCTGCAATATTATTTTCGCTTCTTTACACGTCCGATGTAATTATATTACAATATTTACAATGAATTCGCATGTCGTATCACATTTGACCTGTTTTGCATTTGACAGTAATTAGCATTGAATTAATGAGGTTGCTACATGCTACTTTATGTATTTGCGAACACGTGTAGACAATGAACTTGGTGCCGAGTCGTGATTTGTGAATGTTTACTGCCACGTTGCCATGTGCGGCGTCTGAGCAGTCTTGGGTTAAGGAAGGCACTATAAGTTCTAATCAATTCTTATTAGTTGATAATAAGCTGAACAGGATTACTATTATGATGCCTTGAAATGTTATTTTAAGTTAAATTTAGAATAGTTACGTACTGTATCGTGTTTCTGGTATTGATTGGTGTCATATGCGCAGATGTTCTCGTGCCTGGACGAGTACGTGCGCCGGTCGCGCGGCGGCGAGGAGGGCAGGTTCGCGGCGCTACTGCTGCGGCTGCCGGCGCTGCGCTCCATCTCGCTGAAGAGCTTCGAGCACCTGTTCTTCTTCCACCTCGTCGCAGACACCAGCATCGCCACCTACATCCGCGAGGCTCTGCGCAGCCACGCGCCGCCCATCGACACGAACCTCATGTAACCGCGTATACTTCTCGTGTCTATTTCATTCGATTGTATCAATATAAGCGCGACCGAAGGTTCGAGGTCAAAGCACTGGTTTCGGCCATCTAATTAGGGTTCGTTTTATTCAAAGTTAGCTTTAGCGGACGTCGAGCGGGCGTGGCGAAGTGGTTAACAACGTTTCGAGGTCTTAGATTCATAATCTTGATACCTCGGTGTTAGTGCGTGTGACCGCTACACGACCTCTACTTTGAACAAGTTTATAAACGGTTCTGAACAAAATTGTTGCTATAATTATAGGAAATACTTTATTATAAACTTAAGGGAAAATCTCATAAATTGATAAAAATAAACAGAAGGCCTTTGTTTTTATTAAAGAGCACTAAAGGCTGTGTTTGACAAATGCTATACAAAGTATGCGAACGCGAAGAAATGGGTTTAGTGTTGGTTATATCATTTACTGAAAGTACCTGGATGTCGACAGCTCTTGTTCAATAGGCCCTTTGTCCACACATCGTATTGGTAAGCGCGCTACGCAAGCAGTAGAGAGAGTACAATATCAGCGCGTCGTGTATCGGTCCGAGAGCGTATCGAGCATCACACGTTAGCGGTTAGATAGTGTAAATGGGGCCGCCTCTTTTATTACGTAGATTATTATGATTAACGTAAATTAGTCATTCATTTATTAGGGAATTTTAATCGTCAGGTAGGTGTCCATAGCGAATTAATATAATGTTAGACTATGTGTAATTTTAACATTTACCAAATCTCTCTTCAAAGCACATACATTTATTATTATGTATTTTAATGGATTGATAAGTGTCCTATGAGCCAGAGGTAAAATCATGTTGACTCGTAAAAATTATAAAATAAATTATACGAAATTTATGCTTCATATATTTCCCATATTATATACATGTTGGTGCTTTAACATGCATTATTTACATATTGTGCATATTAAATATGCATAGTAAACATTAAAATTAATGTTACTTGATAAATCCTTATTTTCATTACGACTAGCATAGAATGTTATAAAAAATGTAAATATATCTTGCATGTACAATGTAATTTTATTGTTTAGACGAGTAATTTATATTGCATATTAATATATACCTCACCAGCTACGTAGGTGGTGGGAATAAACGGATAGAATGGCCTACAAAATGTAAACATAACATTATTTCTTCGACAGGCCACTTTATTTTTGTACGTAACGATGTCTGTAACACGCATTTGAAAATTCACTAACAAAATTAACCAGTATTATGTAACGAACATTCACGGAACATGAAAAACAAGTGGACGCTGCATTTGAGCGACATACGGACGAGCATGGCTAAATAAAATGTTAAATATTAATGTTTCATAATTCATAAATTGTTGAAATTTAGAATGCTATGTGATTATGTTGGACTTTCAGCTCAATAATCTTAAACTGCTCTGTTTGGTACATTGTAGGAACTGTTTAAGATATTCAAATACTGTAGTTTGTTGACCGTTGACAACCAGTATTCCTGTTATGAAGATAAATGTTGAACAATGATATTACTATATGGATTGGTTTGAATTATATGATGGAGATGTTGCAGTGGTTGTGAGATGATTTATAATGATGTTCACTAATTATCTGACTAAATTTAAGTTATATTTTTTGTATAGACATACATAGCTTTAAGATTCATAAATGGTGATTAAAATTATTATCACAATTTTGTTGTTTTTTATTTGTATGAATAGCTTAACTACCTCGACAAGGAAAAATAATGAACTAGATTTATGCAGTTTAGTAATTGGGTGACTTGTTGCTGTGAGTCGAGATCGATTCTTTGTGATCGACAAATAGTTGAACAATAAATATACCTCAATCTACATACATCAAGGGCCTTAAAAATTTACTTTTTGACCCCACAGACTGCTATAGCAGAAAACGAAACCGTGCCAATTACGCGTTTATAAATATTTATTGTAAATATACTGTATCTTGTTCATATTATTTAAAAGTACAATAATGAAATATTGTAAAACGACACGATACTCATTAGTGACATTACACTAAATCATCAAAAATAGCTTATCGAAATCCGTAAAAAAGTTCTGCCACACCCTACGCACGCCAAGACACGACAGCTAGTGATGGGCAAGTGGAAATTCCACTCTTGGCGAGGGTGAAGGTATATGGGATAGACATATCTTAAGGGGACCTTTTTAGTTAAACTTTTTTTAAATACTTCCCTATTGCTTGTTTCGACTAGGAATATCACACGGCCTATTTAACGTTGAACAATAAAAAAAGCCGGCATTTTCTATCTCATCCTCAGAAGAAATGCCGAAACAAACTTAGGGGTCCGCCTCTTTTCAACTCTAGACAATGTGAAAAATAATATAATGTGTGGGAACCGTGCAAGTTTATTATTTTTTTTTATGAAGAAAGGCACGCAAGTGTCAATTTAAAACCAGTGAAACTAACAGGTGTTGCTGACCTCTTAAACCTTTCCTGTATGTCTAGGAATACAATAAGCCATGTCGGTCCAGCCTTTCTCGAGTTTAAGCGAAACCAACGAACAGCAATTCATTATTACATATAAGATAATGAGATTATTTGAAATACTCATTGAGTTTGTTTATTAGGTCAAGCGATGTCCCATCTCTACTACTACTAGTTGTTCTAAGGTGTGCCAGCCACGCCAGAGACGGCTCTTCCCGACAGACAAATGACGCCATGAACGAGATTACTGACGCACCTTATTTTATTGGTTGATTTAATTCGAAGCAAGGTAAAAGAAAGATGTTTCGTTTCGTTAGAAATATATTTTTTTAAAATATGGGTCTTATAACTATGATTAATTGGTTGTCGATAAGATACTGGAATCAGTATTTTTTTAGGTATTTATGCTGAATTTGTGGGTTAGCGTGGGAGATGCGCCGACGCATTTACGATCTGGCGCACAAAAGGTTAAAAAGAAAAAAAAACATATTTTGTATACGTATTTTATTCAGATAAAATTATTTATAATAAAATGCAATTTTTTTTAATATAAAATGAAATACTTAGAACATTTATACTTAGAATAACTTCAGGCACAGCCAAGCAGTATAAGAAATAACAGTATATTTGTTTTATATTGTAAATACACCAACAAATTTATAATTGTGATAAAAACGATGATATAGTTTTATAACATTTGTGGGTATAATAATATTATTATGTTGGTGGACATAAAAATTGGGCCACTTATTTTAACCACCTTAAAAACAAGGAGGTTATTTTGTTTATCATTCTTATCTTTGCTTTAGACTGTTTAATTTAGGGCAGATTTTTCAATGGTTAGATAAAAGTTATCTGGGGAATCATTATGATGCGGTCGCGTCAGAATGTTTGAAGACAGTGACAGCAACAATTTTATTCATCAAATAACATTTATCTGACTATTGAAAACTCAGGCCTTAAATGCATATTTATAGTATTTGAGAGTTAATTAAAATTATTTTTACTTGAAAATAGGTAATTGTGTGACCTAAATTTTATAGTCCACCAGTTTGCATTACACACGTACACTTAAAAGCACCTAGCGTTGTACTTAGTTGTTAAAATGCGATGCCTCCATGGACTCGTAGACATCCAGTTTCACATTCATTCTGTGGAAAAGGAATTTAAGTTAATATTTTCTTCAATTCAAACAGATTCATCAGTGAACAGAGTATTTTTAGAAAAAAAGAAGTGTTTTTTAGCAGTGCAATACTAAGCGACTGCGTTTTATATGAGAAATATTTAATTTTTTTATAGAGATTTCGGCAAACGAGCAGATCGATTACCTTTTGGAAAGAAATTAATACTGCTTATGGAGTTATAAGTATATTGCCAACCATTTAGGGATTGGAGTTGATGCATTGGTATTGATATAAGTATTTTAGCAGACCGCATTACAATTTCTTCGAAGTTTTAAAGATGTATAACTTACTTTTCGAAGGCAGTGTTCATGTCGTTGACTTTAGTTGGATGGCAGACGATGGCCAGCTTGCCTTTTTCCGTATCAAATAGTGTCGGCAGCCATTTCGCGGCCGCCGCGTGAGCTGCCTCCGGTGTCACTGCTGCTATCGCCTTTATTAGATCACTGTAAACATAATAAATTTTCTTCAATATACAGCATAACCCATAAAACAGATAAAGGTATAAATGAAAAGAGTAATCAACGCGATTTCAAGCAGAAAGTTCGGGAGCTTCTACTGAAGAGGTTAGCCGAGTCACAATAATATTTTTACATGTATGTTTTTATATGTACATATTATGTAGTATATGTAAATATTATACGCTTGTTAAACAGAAAAGAGACCTAACTCAAAAGATAAAGTATTTCAATCTTAAAAATTATGCTTCAATAATAAGGTTCAATTTTGGAATATCCTCATTTTTGAGTTAGGCCTTTTTTCTATTTAACCCGCGATTATGTAGTGTATGTAAATATTATAATTATGTAAGTTTATTTCCCATATATATTCTATTCTAATAGGATTTATGTAAGTAAGTGTATAAAATATATATTTATCAGTAATATCACGATTTTGCTTGCTTCTTGCACCTACTGCTATCTCTGCATCGCCCAAAGGTTCGACTGGGAGATAATGCCTGTGGCATTAAGTCCACCTTGTACACAGATGTATGTGCAAAAGTGTAAATAAATAAATAAATAAAATTTACTTTGAAATATAACTAGTTATAAATATTTTTCATGGGATACGTAGGTCGGCAAGTGACGCTGTCCAACGACATTCGGAACACAAAAAATACAAGTGCGTTGCCGGTCTATTTTATGTTGCTGTGCGAATTGTGGATCGGGGATAGGGGGGGATTAGAATCCGTTAAGGCTGTAACCTCATTCACGAAGGGAAACAACACTGGTTGTTTGACCTCGGTCTTCGGTGAGGTCGTGGTATCACTCAACCATTCGCTCCAAAGGATAGAATTGCCCACACTTCTCTTGAGAAGTCAAAGCACAGAAGTCAAGTATAGTAGCGCCTGCCAATCGTGGTGGTTAGCTTTTCGTTGTCGTTGGACAGTTTTTATTTTTGAGGGAGAAATTCATCACTTGGTTTCTTTTGACCTAGGTAAGGTGAGAAGGAGTGTCTGATTAAATACTATACTGTTCCTTTTCCTGCTCCAGGCTGGGGCTGTGTTTATTATTGCGCTGGACCTACAATACCGCCAACGTATCTTGGCGAGTCTGAAATTAGCCGATTAGCTGCGCAGTACACAATTTTGTTCCTAAAAGATCCATAGCGCAGACAAACGGCTAATTTCAGACTCGCCAAGATACATCGGCCGAACTGTACAACCCCGATTCCACTGTTGACGCGAAAGAAATTCGAGCGGAGCTTATACCAGTCAAATAAAGGAATGTAAATTCACCTGTTGTATGTAGGAGGTTCCCTATTAAGGTAGTGCATGAGCGAATGTTTTACAACGTCCGCGGGACACTTCTCCTCCTCCACAACTTCGAACAACACCGTACTCTTTGCAGACGCGAATAGATCGTCATCAAACTTCGGGTCGTTCAAATAATCTTGCTGAAACAAATAATTTAAGAATTAATTTGTAAAATGTTACTAAGGTTTGAGATCGTAACTACATATTTTAAATTCCATCTTGTCTAAAACTTAATCAACAGGTTTTAGGTGAATATAATTTCTTACCAAAATGCTCTTAGCTTTGTTGTATGCGGCGACGGCGTTACTAGCTCTGTACAGGGAGAATATCAGCTTGCCCTCGTTAGCGGCCATACGAATAAAGTAGCCATAAGATAGGCCACAACCACGGATTAGACGCCACATAGGACCCTGGAAGAAAGTTGCAAATGTTACTTTTTTGTATCTACTAAATATTCATACTGAAATATAAACCTTGTCAAAAATATTTTACTCGTTCAAAAAATTCTGTTGTCGCAAATACTTGATTGCTACCAGCGAACAAAAATAATACCTCGATATAAACAAGATCTGGGCTTATTATTTCAACTAGAGTAAAACAAGTAAGCTTTACTTCGTAAGAGTTGTTTGACTTTTCTTCGTTTTTTTTATGAAAGCAACCAGCGCTGCCTATTGACAACGCATATCTGCAACAACGGAAGAGTTCGAGTGCGTTGCCGACTTTTTGGAGATTAGGGATTTAGGGATTGAGGTGAGTTTGGGGAAGGGGAAGGATTTGGCCTCCAGTAACCTAACTCACACGGCGAAATACCACTGTTGTGTCACGCCGGTTTTCTGTGAGGCAGTGGTATCATTTCGGACAAGCCGACCCATTCGTGGCTAAACATGGCTCTTCCAGATTTACTTGTACTGAAAGAATATAAGCACCTCAAGCTGTGTGAAGTAGTTGATCGCGACCATGAGCGCGGCGACGTCCCGCGGCGAGTGTCCGAGCGGGCCCGGGCTCATCTGGGCCACGCAGCACGACTCCCAGCCTCCCACGCCCATCACGAACCCGCCGGTAGATGGCGACAGTAGCTCCGCGTCCCAGTACAGCTGGGGACTACAAATATTACTATATTTTACCATCTTATGTTATACAGAAGAGCAGTCAATACTATGGTCTATCGGTTTAAGTAATTAATTAAATGTAAACAGTCTTGGCATGTCTTTTTACTGTACTAAAAATCATATGTTTACAATCAGGTATTATACATATCACGTTTTATCCATCATCAATAACCTTTACAAATCATTTGAAATAGTGTTCGGTCGCGTTTGTATGTACGCGATAAACTTAAAACTATAGAATGGATATTTATATAGGTTTTGCCTGATAGATGAACTGTATGTAGTTGTAAAAGGTTCAAGTACAGTAGCTTAGTAAACCTATTGTATGAATTATAGATATAGAAACAAAACATGGCACTCGGAAAGTTGTAAGCACATATCCACGTTTAATATCTGCAAATTTTGCTATATCATAAAATGTGTATTAGAATTTTCCTATACTTACACTAAAGGCGTAATTTCATTCTCCCTTGCAAACCTCTTCCAAGGTTCAGTTCTCAGGTTATATCTTTCGAAGTCAGTCGCGAGATGGAGCCACACTTTTTCAGTGATACTCTTGAAGGATTGCCTGGCTTCTAGGAGAGCGGACTCAGCGGAGTCACCACCGGCCGTCAGCTGTTCTATCAATTCTTTGAGGAACTTTTGCTGCCTTAATACTGTGCACCAGTGGAAGTTGCTGTTTCTGATGTACACTGAATCGCGGAGGGCATCGTACATCATCTTGTCACCGGATCTTCGTACCTATGTACGAAAGAAGAAGGTACATTATGGGAACAACGAAAAATTATCAATTCTTTTCCGAAGATTCAAGGTCTGGAACTAAACCTTTAATTTTTAATAAAGTAATAAACATGAACTTGTTTTTGTTGTTACACATTATACAGGGGCTATTTGTTTTTTGTGTATGGAGATAAAAACAAGATCGGAAAGTGATATAAGATTCATTATTCTGTCACCTTGCTGTCTAGGACAGTGTGGAAGACTAGTAGATATATATGACATACAATATGAGCGCAATTGGCATTTACCTGTGCGACATCGTTGATTAGTCTTTGTGCGAAAACCAGCAGTCTTTCTTTTGTGATCTCCGCGGCATACAGGATCTCATACAGATGATTCACCAGTTCTTCATAATCCTGTGGTTCACACTGAAATCAAGAAAACTTTTTAGTGAATATTCAAACAGGCAAAACGGCATGTGGAACCACTCTACTTCAACTGAATGAACGGCATGATACACAGATTTAAACAACGCTAGCGTTGTGTTTCGCCGTGAGTATGGTTGCCGAGGAACAATTTCTAAATCTCTAATAAAAACTTAACCTTCTTAAGGCTGGCAACGCACTTGTAACTACTTTGGTGTTGTGACGTTTTGTTTGTTCATTTGTCGCCCCTATACCAAAAAAACTAAACATATATAGGCAATATAATGATTCCTCTGAATTATATCACACCAGTAGAGTAGTAAGAGTAAATATGAATTAATTATAACTGACTAGCTACTCTCGCGCTGTTTCATTTAATCGTAGCGTGATGTTTTATATCCTATAGCACTCAGGAACATTGTAGCTATCTATCAGTGAAATAACACAGCAGTTCCAAAGATTACCCCCTACTTACAAATTTTACCTCTTTATAATATTAGTATAGAAAAACGAATACTAATGTATTTCTGACGACACTACCAAGCGATTTCCGTTAATGCTTTTCTACCTAAAAAGTTATCCAATCTTGATACCTATAAATTAATTCAAATTCGTAAATAATCTCGTGTTTTGCCATTCACACTACTTATTAAACATTTCAAATTATCATTTGTTCAAACAAAAATGTAAATAAATTTATCTATAATTTTTGTTTAACTTGTAAACTTCCAGTAAGATAAGTTATCATAGTTACATAACTTTAGTTGCTTAGATCCGGGTTCTTTAAAGTTTTTATTATTGTGTGATCTTATGTAATTAAATATTATCTATTAAAGTATGTTTATTTATGTCCATTGATGAAATCTGATATTTTGACAATAATTTAATGTAAACTTGGTAGTATGTATGTATTGGTATGTGACTGAGAGTTTAATTGATCATGTTTGAGCTGGTCATCCTTTCGCATACTTAGGGCGAGAAACGCCAAAATATTGCCCTATCCAAGAAAGAAGTTTATATAGAACTAGCTTTTGGCCGCGACTTTGTTCGCGTGGAATCACTATTCCACGCAGATTTTTCGGACGCAAACTTCCTGCAGATTTTTAGTTTAAAAACTATCCTATGTCCTTTCTTGAGTTGTTTGTAGTAAAATTCACATAAATAGGTTCAGTAGTTTAGACGTGAAGAAAAGACAGACAGATAGACTAGCTGTGCCTTGCACTTTCACCCGCGTAGTGTATAGCGTATGTTCACCAGAGATAGTGTAACTTACAAAGAGTAAAAAAAATATTTTTATCGGTCAAGTAGTTTTCTAGGTTTTTCAATTCAAACATTTCTCCATAAAATTCACATAGATTGCTTATTGCAGTAATTATTGGCCACAAAAGCGACATGGGACACGTTGACTAGTACATGTCAAATAAATAAATAAGTAAATAGGTAAAGTAAAAGAAATCTTACCCGAGTCTCGATGTGGACAAAGTTGCCGAAGTTGCCAACACAGAAGTTTCCTGATCGATCGAAGCCAATAGTGTTATTGAACATCACAGTCAGCTTTTCCATAGTGGAGATGACCTCTTCATGGGGGATCAGCGTCTCCCCGCGACGTACTGCGCATTCCGCCAAACCGTTCAAATGTAGCGGGAGCCACTTGCGGACCGACTCGTCCACTGAGGTCGTGTCGAATAATAAGTTTATCTGGTGGTGAAGTTAAGGAGCATAATATTAATTATGGGCTTAATTAAGCTTCACTTTTAGTTATAGTTTTTGAAGTAGGTAAACGACGTGACTTTTATTTTCGCTCTTAAAAAAATAACTGCCCCACAATAGATAGTTCTCCTGTGTCGTGGTTGAGTTTATAATCATACAAATTCGAATACACAAGCCACTCAGATCAGAAAAAAACACATGTGGATCACACAGAGTGTTGTTGCTAGCGGGGATCGAACCCGCGACACATTGCATAGCAGCTATTTGCCCGGCCACTGCGTTAACCTGACTGAGCAGTTTAGTATAGTCATATTATATGTACAGTTACCCTTCTTTTTAAAGAACCAAGCCACTGATGGATTCATTTTATAGAGTCTCACATATCGTAACGTGATAGTTTATAGCCTATATATAGCCTTCCTCGATAAATTTTAAGAAACAAAAAAAATTGTTCTATTCGAACCAGTATAGGAAATACTGGTTCGAATAGAACAATTTTTTTAAGATTAGCGCGTTCAAACAAACTAACAAACTCTACAGCTTTATAATATTAGTATAGATATACTCACATAAACGAAATTAGTCTTCAAGCTGTGTACTCTAGTGTATAAGGGCATCTCCTTGAGGTCGAAGTGTGGGCAGTTCTCGCCGTCCGTACTCCAAGAGCTGATTTTATGACATTTGAAGTTGCAGGGAGGCACAGGTACTGAGGCTAGAGTACCCGGGGGAGGAGGGCGCTGAAAATAAATGAATAAAATTATAATGGAAAATGGAAACCAATTAGAATATTAATTCGTGATGGTTTAAAAAATGAAGATGTGGTAGCTGTAGCTATGATTAAAAAGTTATACTATCTTAAAAAGGAAGAGCAGTCAGTAGGTTAACATATTTTTGAAATCATGAACTTTATTGTTAGGTATAAAGTCGAAAATGCAATAGCAAAACAAATTGGTGTCAAAAACAATACTATTTTGACATTTCAAAAAAAGTATTTTGTCTTTTTCATTGTTAATTTTGTATGAGAAGTATAAAATTAACAAATATTTACATCAAATCAATAACAATGACTGTTGGTGACCATTTTGGTGTAAAATAAAAATTTTATTGTTATTCATATGTTTGCTTGACTCATGTTTATTTGGATAGTTACTTGTAAAAAGTATAAAGTTTATTAAAATTTGACATTTATACTGTAAGGTTAAAAACTTTGTTTTTGGAATTCGGTAGTTTCCTAGGTCAACAATAAATTAATTCGACGTTTCAATGCAATAAATTATTGAAAAATAACTATACTTTTATTCATCGATCTGTCGATACACTAAATTTTTGCTAATTTTTGACTAATTTTAAAGAAATAAGTAAGCTATTTGACACTAAAATACTATGCCGTCATAGTTCAGTTTTTCATACAAATTTCATAGAAATGTATCGTTTTGACATTTGGATAAAAGTAATGAATTTGACAAGTTGGAAACTACAATATTACATAATTATAACAATACTATATTATTAATATCTTCTTCATACAAACCAGTGCAGGGTTTGTACGAAAGTGCAGGCATGCGGTTGGTGCGAAGCAAGGGCACAGTGTCCCAGAACAAATATAAGAAGGGAAGAAAATGGAAGAAACAATGTTTTAGCTACGCTGACCGCCCCGATGAGTCCCGGCATGACTTGAAAGTAGTAGAGTGTTTCTCGAAATCTTAAAGCGTATTAATTTAGCAAGTAGGTACTATATAATACATACCTCGTTGTAGTCCATAGCTTCCTGTAGCCGTGCCGCCTTCTCCGCCAGACCTGCCTCGCCAAGTTGATTTCTTTGTTCTTCTATCCTTATTTTCTCTTCTTCTGCCATTCTAGTAAAAAAACAGAATAGTTTTGCTTAGTTCTAACGTAATAAGCAAATCATATGTATGTAATGAATGACACGTCTGTAAGCGTGGCCGCTGAATAATTCTAAGTCGGGATAATAAATGACTGAGCTTGCTTCGGTATTATAAAAATTCCTTGTTGTAGCACAGAGATTGGGAATGTGCCTAGTTAAGTTTGTTTCTATTCTCATTCTTTACTGCCAAAAAAGTTTGTGCTACATATAAAATTGGATCGTTTTCGGGGTTTAACATGCGTGATGTTGCTTTTATGAACCTTTTGCTAGATGATATTTTTTTTTAAGTTGTACGTTCTTGCATTTAAGCTGCCAGGCCTATACATTCAGACCCAAGCGTACGGAGCTCTCACACCACCGAGGGAACCCTATAGACCGATGTCAAACCGGGGTTGCTAGTGCAAGCACAAAAATTTATGGTAGCCCCGGCTTGGAACAGGAGAAGGATCTCGCCTTATCTAGGGCGGTAGAAGTTATTCAATTATCTAGACCACTTAAAAAAACAGCATATTAATACATACTTGGACTGCAGTTCGATGCTAGGTGAGCCCACGATAATGACTATATCCTCAGTGAAGTACTTGCGTATGAGACCCAGCCAGTACTCGGGGGTCTCTTCTAGAAGGGCTGTCAGAACGGCTTGTGGATTCATGCGGGAGATGAACTGGAACGATACAAAACATACATCATCACTACATCTTATAAAACAAAGTCGCTTTCTCTGTATGTATGCTTAAATATGTAAAACTACGCAACGGATTTTGATGCGGTCTTTTTATAGATAGAGCGATTGGTTGGTATCTGTTCATCCTTTAAAGTATTCTGCTAATGTAAGGAGTAGGTGGAGATGAGCGTTGCAGAATCTTGTAGGTTGATGGTATAAGCGTTGTAATAGTTACATAGTTTGTTGAGAGTTATGTTAATTAATTCAATCTGTTACAAATTCTGAGACCAGTTGTTTTTGTGGCAATTGTGGCATATACGGCTTTATCCATAGGCTCATTTTCAAACATACAAAATAACCCTGACTCGTATCAAAAATCTGTGTTTTCACAGAATAATTGCGTGTGGAAATCGAACCCGTAACACCTGTACCACGGTTGCCTAGCCACTGCGCGAAAGACTTGACTTTAACTGTCTTAACTTTTTCTTAAGGAACTGAACATATTCTGGCGAGGTTTTTAGTCAGTAAATCTTACACCACGCGGGAGGGGCAAAAAATAATTTGTTGATTTTCTCCCTCAAAAAAAGAACTAAATATATGACTAACATTGCACTACAACTATTGTAAATGCGTATTGTTTTACAACGTTATTACCGACGCACACTAATAAAATTTTACTCACACTACAATTGTTCTTTTCACACACAATGCTTTCTTATTGCTTTTCTGATAGAACAATAAATAGATCCAAGTTTTATGTATTGAAACAAATCGTCAATTTTTCAAGCTAATTGTTTTTTTTTTATATCACAGGTCGGACTGTCGAGGAGACGGATTACCCGATGGTAGAAGGACTAACGGTAAGCAATCAGCGCGGCCCATGGACGCTTAGTACCAAAGAGGTTACTATATAAGTGCGTTGTCGACCTCTTGTAGATTATTAATGATTGTTTGTTGTTTACTGTTAACAAGCGCATTATTATTATTCTACATGATTATTTAAACAATTCCAAAAATGATATTGTAGTCTAAAAAAATATAATTTTTGTTATTCCGATTTTTTATCAATGCTTTTGAATCTGTAGCTAGAAATAATATTTTACTAGTGCTAGTGTGATAATAATGCTTTAAATACATAGAGATAGAATAAATCAAATTCTAATCTGTATTCTATGAATAAAACTAAACTAAATAAAGAGTTTACAAGAATTATAATTATATCGAGACATGTTATATTTTTATTACTTGCCAGATGAATTATCGTTAAGTTTATATAAATAAATCAACGTGGTCATCCCTTTCCCTCGGTTTGACCACGCGGGCGGAAAGATATTACCCAACCCATACAAGGTGGCAAATATTTATTTCTTATAGAATAGAAGGAAAACGATCAGGCGGATCACCTGATGGTAAGCGATCGGCGCCGCCCATGGACAACTGCAACACGAGAGGAGTCACAGGCGCAATATCAGCCTTTTAAGAAGGAGAACACTCGTTTCTTGAAGGTTTTTTTTTTCTCACATATCTGAACTGACTAAACGATGTAACAAAAAAATGAATCGTAAAACTGATTGAAAAAGGGAGTAACCATGGAGTTTGTTGTTCGTTCTTCTTCATCGGAATCTACACTTTGGACAGGCTGACACGCATAAATTTAAACCTCTTGAAATATATTTATTTTTTCTTTTTTGCTTGACGTTCAAAAGTGCCCACTGTGGCCTAATTAAAATAAATGATTTTTGACTTTTGACTTTTAAACGTCATATCGGTTCGGAAATACCGCCGCTGGAAGATCATTCCAGCATTCATATACACACACAAGAAATCAAGCACAACCAAAAACATACATACATGATGTTCTCCTTGAGAGTACAAAGCGTCTCCAATACACCGGAATGCCACTGCATGGTGAGGATCTGACTCGAGACTGGCGATGGACTCGCGCAACTGTTTGCGCAGTAATCTGCACATTCGATCCATGTCTATCACATCTTCACCATTGCGCACTGAGCTTAAACATTTCAGTGCTTCATCCCGAGCCTGCTCTAACTTGTCGACAGGAACGTTATCCAGCTCAATCTTTATCAAAGAAGCCAGGTTTTCTGTTAGGTTGTAGGAGATCTGGAAAAGAAAAAATGTTCAATTTTTTTTTTTAAATAGACTGGTGCGTTTACTGACATCAATTTTCAGGTACACATCACACCCAGACCTGGAACAACAATTTGTGAATCTCACAGAGTTGTTCCGTGCGGGAATCGAATCCGTGACATTTTGTACAAATAGTATTTTTACTTTCATTTCATGTACTTGTTGAAGTTATCCATTCGTTTAATTAAATGACATACACTATTGGAGGAGAAATAAGTTTCACATCGGGTTTCCTTATTAGGATCAATATTAGAATCTAATATTTTATTTTAATTAAATGCACATAGGTATTATCTGTGATATATGATACTAAACTACACAGCTTGTATAATCCGTTACATAACCTTTCAATCGTTCTAATTAGCGACACAACAGAAGAACAACAGGTGCGCGAACGCCGGCGTTCGCTTGGGGGTTGATGACGTACAATATTTAAAGTTAAATAACTATAGAATTAAATATCTCTTACATCTCCAGCTAAGGCATCTTCCCTCTCGACGAGACAGCGCTGTAGCGGCGCAGCTGCAGTGTCACAGAGGTAGCGCAGAAGAATAGCAACTGCTGTAAGATTCTTCAAGGCATCTTCTTCTGTTAGAATAGGACCTCGCCAGCCGAATATCACCTATGGTAAATCAAATATAATTATTATTATTTCTATATTTTACTAGCTATTCTCGCGCGGTTTCACCCGCTGTTGGGCTTCATTTAATCATAGCGTCATGATTTATAGCCTATAGCAATCAGGAATATTGTAGCTATCTATCAGTGAAAGAATTTTGGCAATCCGACCAGTGGTTCCAAAGATTACCCCCTACATACAAACTTACAAATTTTACCTCTTTATAATATTAGTATAGATTTCGCAATTTGATGGATGGATGCGTCTCAAGGCTGAATGAGCAAACTGTCTTGGATCCCTCATTACAAATCAGAAGATATAATTACCTGACCACAATCTTCAGTGTCTGCTGGCCACTGGACCTTCAGCTCACCATAGTTGGGTGTAGGAGGGATTGTCTGCCAAGGCTTCACCCATTCTTCTTGAGGTTCACCGGCTTTCTGTGTATAAAAATGATATTTAAAAACACAAAATAACAATAGTTAAATAAGGAATAAATTCACCCTGCGGAAGTCAGATTCAAAATTAGTATAAATTAATTGTCAAAGTGATTTAAATACGGGTTTACGAAATATTTGGTGATTTTTGGTATAGTTGACGCACATGCTGCATGATTATGGGCCACCGGTGGCTTGAAACTAGTCGTAAAGTGAAGCTAATATTTATTAATTCGAAAAATCTTTTTTTGCGTGGCTAAAACCATAACACACCAATGGTGGAAAGGGACTTACAAGTTTAATTTAATTGAAACTACGTTATGAATATTTTTTACATTACTACGTCGATCTAATAGACCACTAGTTAAAATTGAGGAATCACTAAATATTTTTTTTTATGTAATAGATCGGCAAACGAGCGTACGAATAACCTTATGGTAAGCAATCAGCGCCGCTCATGGACACCCGCAAAGGAGGAGTTACGAGTGCGTTGCCGACCTTTTATGGATTAGGGATTTGGGGATTTAGGGATTGAGGACGGATTGGGGAGAGGAAGGATTGTTTCTCCGGTAACCTCACTCACAAAGTATAAAACAATGTCTCTTTCTCCGTCCCTATATCCAAATAAACCGCATTAAATAGCAAAATAGCGTATATAGACGCTATTTTGCTATTTAATGCGGTTTTTTTATAATAGATGAAGTGATTGAAGAGGAAAATTTATATGAATAATAACACCCACTAAATAGTGGAGAAATTTTGTATCAGTATTATACCCAGGCGAACCCGCGGTGGTAAGTAATATAATTCATGTAACATTCTTGTTTGCGTCGAAAGCCGAAGGCACTCGTACATCATATCCTGCCTTACAGTTAACAAAGAACAATTTGCAATCAACATAATATCAGCAAAAACAGTTTGGTTCTTAGGAACAGCGAGATGACATAAGCATTGAGTCATCTGATGTAGTTTTAAATATCTTAAGCGTTGCACACAATAGTGCAGTTTGCAATGGTAATTTAAATTTTATTGGCATATCTTGAAAATCTTATGAAGTGGTGATAGCAAAGATTGTCTCTCTCTATACCCCAATTATTATGTGTATTATAAGAGTTGATTAAGGCACTATTACATTTCCTGGGTTGCGGTCCCGGCCTAGAGCAGGAGAAGGAACGGAGGGGTTTTTAGGCAGTAAGACTCTGACATTTGCTCTTGCCCAGGCGATAGAAATTGTTGATGATTTTCCACACTCAAAAAAAGAGTTCAAAATTCAAGTTTATTTCACAGAGCCCGGGAAGCAGTGCTCTCTGATAGTAAAACCTGTTTTTTTCTAACTACGACGTGAACGACGACCAATCCTAGTGTGAAGATAAAGGCGTGTCACGAAGAAAAGCTTATAATTGGGCGGTAGACTAGGTCATCATCACAGAAGCTGATGTCCATCAGCTGATGATTTGCGTTTGCAAGCGCAATAATGAGCCGTGGATCGGCTCCGACCAGCATAAAGAACAGAGTGGTTTTAGTAAAAGTCTGACACGCGCTCTCGCTACTCTTACGGCGAAAGAACTAATTAGATGATTTTACCCCCTCAAAAGAAAAAGGGTCTAGGTCATGACTACGACAAAATTAAATGATGACAGTCCATCACCATTAGGGAGGTTAGATAGACTGATGTTATCGACTGATTGCTGATAAGAATACCCGATAAGGAGACCATTTCGTCATAGCTATTATGCATGATAGGTAATACGCGTCCGGTATATCCAGTTCCTAAATTATTAGACCAAAACATGTCAAAGTCAAAGTCAAGATCATTTATTCCAACTAAACCATAAATAGGTACTTTTGAAACGCAAAATAGTATAGTAGTCTGTCAGTCTGTTCGTCAGTGAAGCTAGGTGCTACGTTTATACCTTAATACCTGCTTGACTTGACTGGCAGAGGTCGTTTCAATTTCAATACAAATATATTATGTAGGTGTAAATTACTCAGAGCAGGTTTTTTGACGCTACTGTAAGCATAATATTAATTCTCCAAAACTATAAAGCTATGCCTTTGATTAGATAGCTTTGCTTATACGGTAAAAAAACTATTTAACACATTAAAAAACTTGGTGATTGTTTTAACACATTCAGGTACTGGAAACAATATGTAATTTAATAGTTAAGGGTTTAGTATTTTATTAATATTGTACATTAGGTACAAATGCTTAAATTTGTATGAAATAAGACATCAGGTTAAATACTTCTCTGCAATTCCTACTTTTCACGAAAGCATCCTAGTGTTTTTTTTTAAATCTAGGTACTTCCTAGTTCATAGATCTCGGTGTAAATAAACTACTATTAGTACGAGATCCCGCTGCGGGATTGGTGTGCTCATCGACTTTTTGTTCAAAATCAATTTTTTATGTTTATTTATAATTGATAGAATATATATTTACTAGGGTTTTTTTTTTTTTTTTGTGAGGGGAAAATCATCAAATGACTTCTCCCGCCCAGGGCCGGGCAGGAGGGAGTGTCAGACTCTTACTGACTAAAAACCCCCCTGTTCCTTCTCCTGCTCTGTGCCGAGGTCGCGGTACCTTATTGCGCTTACCCCGCAGCCCCGGCTGAACATCAGCCCTTTAGGGCCCCGTCTGTGGTGGTCTATTGGCTCTTTGAGGCGCGCGCGGAACGCTACGCGCCGTACGCTCGGGCCTGGTTCTGGTCGGGCGGCGAGCTGCCCTTACTCGCCGACCGCAGGCCCGTACTTACGGTGGCCGGAGATCGTCCCTCGATCCCCGACGCCCGTAGTGTCGCCAGTTGCGGCTGCTGGGGCGTGAGGAGGAGGATTGCTCCCTCACGCGGGCCGCCTCTCTCTTTGCGAGCATGACCGCTTCACAAAAGGAGGAGACGGCGTCCCAGTTCCTCTCACTCCGCACCATGGCCTCGACTAAGGCCGGGCGCGAGAGGTCGCCGCCGCCGATCACTTCCCTGAGGATACGGCGGTGCTCAGCCCAGGCAGGGCATACCGCTACCGTATGCTCCACCGTATCCTCTAGGTGGTCCTCACAATGACGACACTCGGGCGTTTCCTCTCGCTGAATCCGAAACAGGAACCTACCGAAGCTGCCGTGCCCGGTAAGCACCTGCGTCAGACGGAAGGTGAGGACGCCGTGGCGTCTCTCAAGCCACTCCTCAAAGAGGGGTCTTACCGCTGCTATGGTAGCGTGCCCGGCCCTCGGTTGCGACAGTCGTTGTCTCCACTCTGCCATGAGATCTCGCCGGAGCTCATTCCGCCACGCATTTATTTGGCGCGGCAGAGGATCTTCGCCCCGGCGACGCGCGTCTGCGCGCAAACTGTAGACGCGCGCGAGCGCCTTCGCTTCTAGATCCCACGGCGGTGATCCGGCAAGGAGGTTCGCCGCCTCCCCGGAGATCGTGCGATACCCGCGGATTACTCGTATAGCCATGACATATTTACTAGGGTGCCTATCAAAATTTGGCCGCCATTATTTTTAATTGATTTTTGGTAAAAAAAATCGTTTATTTATTTTTTAAATAAAATAAGTAATTAATATGAAGATTCTAAAAAATCACGGTTGCCGTCGCGCACCTGGCCGCACCTCTTTGCAGCCAGGTGTAAACAGGTATGATTTCGATAAATTTATACGTTTATAACCTATTTTCATTAATTATATGTCAAATTGAAGCTAATTTGTTTCTATTAATTATCATATAAAGTTGCTTAATTAAATATGGCCGCAAATAAGGGTTACTGGTTGTTAAAGATAATAAATATTTAAGGTAGAGTGAAAGAGAGTTAGCGCGTAACATCATTTGTCAGACGAGGACAGCGATTGCCGGCTGTGCGACGCTTTTAAGCCATTGCGCATGCGTCGAACGTTAGTGTTCTCAACCACCGGGGAGTAATAGAGACGACTTATAATAAATACTCAAAAAAAATGTATTTTTTTTTCAAAAGGACAAATTTAAAAATTGCAACAAAAAATAATATTGGTTTGATATATTGACGGTCTAGTTAGCAATTTTTCTATCCCCTTATTTTTTAAAGGGTGATTTTTTTAACATTCTGATTTTACACCTGGCTGCAAAGAGGTGCGGCCAGATGCGCGACGGCACCCGTGATTTTTTAGAATCTTCATATTAATTACCGTGATGTAGACGTTATTTTATTTAAAAAATAAATAAACTAAAATTTTTACCAAAAATCAATTTAAAATAATTTAATTAAAAATAATGGCGGCCAAATTTGGTAGGCACCCTAGTAAATATATATTCTATCGATTATAAATAAACATAAAAATTTGGTTTTAAACTAAAAATCGATGAGCACACCAATCCCGCAGCGGGTTCTTAGACTATATGTTTTAGTATTTGCTTAGTAATTTTTGTTCTAGACTGTGTGACTAAATTTAGTTTCAAGGCCAAGAAAATAATATTTTTATACGTAGATCAACAATGTGGCATTTAGTAAATGGCAAAGTTTTAATAACTACCATTCCGATAGCTAGACTTTGTATTTTTAGGGGTCGGGCGATCACAATAAGCTAGTCGTTCCTTGATTACCACACACAGATAGGTCGCCAGCCTTTAAAATGGAATACATTATTTTTTTCGTCGTCCTTATTGTATAAGAAATAATGTAGGCGACAGTGTTATTTTATTTTATTTAGGGCACTTTAACCAAATATTCATGTACGTAGGTAGGTACTTTTACTAAGTACTACTAATATTTTTATAACATTTTTGGACTAATGTATTCTCTTATCTAATTCTTAATTTGCGACTCTTTAACAAAAGTTACGGCCTACGTTAATGAGTTTTAGTCAAAAATTAACCTATTCCACTATAAAACAAAGGTTCAGAACCAAACGTTTAGAACTTGGGCGAAAGCCAAAGAAATTCACGGTGGAGTTGATTACTTCTGTAATTTTGGAAGATGTTGCCAAGACAAAGAGTCAATGTTAAAAGTCAAATTAGTGTATACTATAGCCAGGCACGAAATGCAAATGGTTGTTATTGATTTGACCTGGCCGATGGCATACATACAATTTAGATTAATATCGGCACGCGGACTATTTAGTCGGAATTGCAACTGTAAGCCACGCTCTATACGCCTAATGTGTAATAAAAAAGCCAAATTCACCTCTGTACAGATAAAAACGAATCACCAACATACATATCTCTCTACTCGAATGGTCGCACCTAATTGAATTATCATTGTTAAAATATCAAATTCTCCCGGTGGATTTATACATACATATGTATAAATCCACCGGGAGAGTGGGGGAATAACAGACAAGGACAGAAACATTTTTGCATAGTAGGTATTCTGGTCTATGACAAGCAGATTCTTCTGCCCGAGTCCAACCCTGCTAACAAATGTAAGGTGCTATAAAAATATATGCCACAGCTGCAATGGGAGATAGCGTTACAATTATTGATAACAATATTAAAGGTACATAAATGATTTTAGGCCTAATGTATTTTAAATACTTTTAATTTTTAACTTGATTTATTAGTATAAAACGATCCAGGCTGCCACGCCGCACCGAATTTAGAACAGTCGTTTTCATTAACGAAGCTAAACTTCACAGAACAGAAATTTCTATTCCGTGCAACACATCGCACCAAAAATTTTGAACCACGTTGTGCAGAATAGAACCAATAATACTTTACTATTATAGGCGATTTACAAAAGCATTAGCTAAATAACGTACTTATATGTATTATGTTTATATAAATATACTAGCTACTCTCGCGCGGTTTCACCCGCTGCTCGGTTCCGTTTGATCGTAGCGTGATGTTTTATAGCCTATAGTATTCAGAAATTTTATTTTCTATCAGTGAAAGAATTTTGGCAATCCGATCAGCGGTTCCAATGATTACCCCCTACATACAAACTTACAAATTTTACCTCTTTATAATATTATATTAGTATAGACAACCGTTTTGGCACACACATCATTATAGTAAACAGGTACAGGTAAATCAGGTGGAGGCAAACACAAACTATTAATAAAAGCCGTTAGGTCACTTCTTAATCATATCTCTAGACTTTTCCTTAAGGATAAGATGTTTTAAAACTAGTATTTATTGAAAAATATCCATTGTGATTAGCAGCTTAAGGTTTAAGTTCAATTGGAAAGCTTGAGCTCAGTGATGCAGGTAACATGACCATATTTTTATGCTAAGGACTGTGCCGTACAAAGCAAGAGTCAAGGGAAGTATGAGGAAAAAAATACACTATTTTGTTGTAAACTAGCTGTCATTTGACTGCCTACCCTAATCTACCTACCCTACCTTAACTACCCTGCTCTACACTACCTTACGTAACCTATTTACCCTACCCTACCTATCCTACGTCCTTCTCCTAGTTCTAAGCTATCTCCCTACCAATTTTCAACCAATTCGCTTCAGCCATTCTTGAGTTATAAACAGTGTTATTAACAAGACTTTATTTTATGTATATAGATGGATATATCTTACTTATGATGATAGCTACCATCGTCAATGTTTAACACATTGGACAAATAAAGAACAAAATGGCAAAATACATTAATGAATTGTATGTAGTACTCTTCATCTCATGTAATATGCTTTAGAGGTATGAGGAACAGGGTGGAAAGTTCCTCATCCTCCATTGAAAAGGGAGGATCCTCCGACCAGGCGAGGTGTTCGTGCCTGGTGGGCTACTGCCCGACTGTTGTTGTCGGGATTTTTGTATATGTTCTAATTGCGATGAGAACTCTTAAAGCGCGATGTAGACTCTTATACGTAATTGGTGCTGTTGTTCTTGTTGTGCGATAGATGTCGCTACAATGCATATACTGATGTAACTGTTTGTATCTATCTAGCAAACATTCTTAGACATCCCAGTTACAATCAAAGAATTCCACACAGAGATTTTTCTTACAATAGGCACTCCAAATCTATAGGAGCACAATGAATTTTTAAAATGATAATTAATATGTGCACTTTCATAAATCTTGTGTGTTTTATAAATCTAGCAAGCAAAGGTATTTTTTAAATGGGTCGGCAAACCAGTACGCAGATTACCTGATGGTAAGCAATCAGCGCCGCCCATGGACACTCGTTATATCTTAGTAGTTACTACAGTGCGTTGCCGGCCTCCGTGGTGCCAGTGGGTTGTTAGGGATTTGGGTATTATGGATGGAGAAGTGTCGCTGGTTTTCTATGAGACCATCTTTATCAAAAGCCAGTGTCTATGACGCATCAAGTTATTTCAGCTTTTTACCTTAGCAATGATGTCATCTTCTACAGTAGATAAAGCTGCGAATACATCTTCTGCTTCAATCTGACCAGTCAAAATAATTGTAAGATTCTCTGCACGGTAGAATTTCTTGTGGAAGTTTCTCACCTAGAAAAATACAAAAAAATACTTAATCAAAGTTCAAAACTAAATTCATAGAGATAACGGGTATTTTCAGAAGATGACTTTTGAGGTAGGCCTCAGTTTATTGCTATTTTTTTTTTTGTGTCTTGGTTCTAATGGAAACTTATTACATTTTTGTTAAGTATGTTAGATTAAATAAATTTATAAATTTGTTGCTCTCAGAGTTCAACTCACTTTAGTATTATCAGTTGATGTCCTAAGGTTTTTCATAATTCCACCAGTCTCAGCGGAGTAGCCATTGTTTGGGTACATGGCTCGTAATAACTGCAGTTCACATCTAAAATAATAAACAGTCAATGGTATCCCAACACACAAGTTAAACACAAAATGTTTTAATACTGTCAATTTAAAATTAATATGTTTGTTACATAGAGTAAAGGACTCTGGATTATGTCTTTAGCACAAATTAATTTAATCAGATAGCTTTATACACAGCTATATATCAGTGTATTTTCACTAGATATTCTTTTGAACATTTATTAAGATTTTACCTGCAATATGCTGTGTTTTCTCTTCCTTGCATTTCACAGTACACAACACCAGCATCTTCTCCATCCCCATCAATATGGTGGACTTCGGTAATAAAACCATGGTCCGTAAGAGTAGGCCGAAGTATATGATCTAGGTAAATTGGCAGTAGGGTCAGCATGCCAGCATCACCAGCAGTGTAAACCGTATAGCATGTATGATCAGTGTCTGTCCATGCGTTTGTGCCATGTGCCATACATCTGTTGGCAAGCAGATCCAAGATTCCCTTGTAAGGGTAGCGCTCAGATCCAAGGAAGATGAGATGCTCCAAAGTATGTGGAAGACCGTCATCATCATGAGCTTCGGTGGCTAAACAATAGAAAAACAAATATTATGTCATATTTTTTTTGTCATTCACAAGTCCTTATCTATTATAGCATACTGTTATCACTGTTTGTAGAATTTGTTCTATTTTTCGTGTTAGTTTAGTTGGTATTTTGCAAGTTAATAAACAAAGTATTTTAATATCCCTGTTATGTTGGTGTTCTACCTCCAAGATTACAATAAGATTTTTTAATTGATGAGTAAAGCAATGATTTGTAAAATTTTAAATGTTTACAAATCATATCACCACAATTACAATCAATATGGCAGAGAATACCTTAATGTTTAATAAAATTTTGACCAATAGTATTTTTAATGTTTTGTATACTAACTTCTAACTGTAGGTCTGCTAACTTATGATTTTAAAACACGTCTTAAATTTATAGTAAGTTATTATGGATCAACTAGCCACCGAATAAATTAAAAATGCCATAAGTCCTAGAGTGCAAAAACAAAGTCTACCTACACAATGATTCATCAAATCAACAACAAAACTTTTAAGTATCTAGTCTGTATGGTTCCTAATTGGAATAAAACTTACCCAGACAAAAAAATCCGTTAACCAAAGGCCCTTCAACTCCTGCTATAATCACGGTAATGCCGGTCTTCTCAGACACATATTTGTTCACAGGAACAACATCGGAAGCTTTTGTCGACGACACCAATTTAAAATGAGACATTGTGAATCCACACTACACTAGATCTACTTACTAAAATAATGTTTCTTAAAATACTGTAGAAATATTCTTAAAATTCACCCGATGTCTATTTAATGTACCGATAAGCAATCCAAGCAAGTGGTTGTTTGATGAGAAACGAGCGAATCAGAATGAAATACGAAACCGGTGACTTGGTATACGCTAATGTCAAAATTGACAACGTTTGTCATTCGTTGCAATTGTCAAAATGAATGAATGACTCACTTGCTAGTGATGTGCAATAAATATTGATCTCCTAACTGTTTTTTTTAGTGCAATATATTTTACAAGTTGGTTCCTTAACGCTTTTATAATTATTTCTTCTAATTTTACAGTTTCATTTTATGAAAGAGGATATTATTAAATTAATTGTGTGTGTCGTATGGCAAGTTACGTCTGGAACACTATCCATGACAAATATACAAAGAAATAAATTATTAATCATTTTATGAAGTACTTGACTTTTTTATTTTTATTTATTTATTTATATTTATTAGAACCACCAGTAGTTATTACAACACTTAAATGTATAGTTAACAATTATTAAGTTTCAAGCTAGTTGCATAACATATTAAGGTAGCTACAGCGTACAATTAAGAGAGCGTTATGGACAGTGATAAATAATAAAAATTATATCTAACAAGACTTAACTATACTAAAGATAAGATACATTTTATAACAAAATTCTCTAGTTTAAAACTAATTACAATAAATAAGAAGTAAATAAAAAGGAAGAGCTGGAGTCGACTAATTTAGATCAGCCAACTTCTTTCGGAATTGCGACAAATAGTCAAGATTCACTGCAGTTGTTTAATAAGCGACGGAGACGGGGAATGGGTGATGATTTACCAAACTTTGTGCGCCTGAAAGGGGCTGAGAGAGGTTGAACTGGCTTACGCGGATATCTCGATGGCACACTAAACCTAAAGGAATTAAGGAGCTGTGGACAGTTTATTTGACCTCGAAGTATTATAAATAGAAAGATTACATCTAAGATATCCCTACGCTTTGAGAGAGTCTGCATTCCGAATAAATGCAGCCTGTCATTGTACGAGGACCTTCTATCGCCACAAGCTGTACCGCGACTTAGTGCCATAGAATTTTTTTTTGCACTCTCTCGAGCCTAAGGGTCAGTTCACACCGAGACACGACGCTGCGCGCAAATTTAACATAGAGCGACTCAGAATATACTTTATTCACTACACGAAAAGATACACATTACATTGTGAGAATTCAGATTACGTTGCACCACGCAGCACTGCGCCTCGAGGTGCCTCGCGGCGTAGCGCGACGTATCGTGACGCAGCGGTGCATCGCCGGTACGCGCGGCGTTCAAGAGCAGTGCTCCGTCACGCGGTGCCGCGCGACGCCGCGAGGCGCAGCCTTAGGCCGCTGTGGCGACTTTTCTACTATTTCCGTCCAGACTTCGTTTAGAATTGATGCAGTTTGGTCGAGTGCTCGATTGAAAATATAATGATGGACTGGGTTCATGTTATATTCGGACTTCTTGCAAAAGAGGAAGAGGAAGAAGTTTACAAAAATAAAATTAAAAAGAAGACATCACACAGGAATATTTGTGTGCATAATTTATGGAGAAATAGAAGAATTTCATGGTTAATTTCATACTTTGTCTTTTGACCACATTGCCAATTATCCAGAAAAGTTTTATGATTATTACAAAATGGACTGCCAAAAGTTTCAAAACTTATTAAATGTGTTGCGGCCATATATAGAAAAATGGCGGGCGGGGCCGCACCGCGCAGCGCCCGCGGCTCGTAGATATGTTCCGCTGCGCCTCGCGGCATCTCGCTGCGCAGCGAGGCGTCGTCCTGCTACGATTTTAAGATGCGCCTCGCGACGTTGCGATGCGTCTCGCGACTACGCGCGGTGCAGCGGGAAATCATTGGCTTCTTTGAGTATCGTCGCGTCGCGTCGCGTCTCGGTGTGAATTGACCCTAAGGGAATGTGTGGCGTAGTGTGCTCTCCATACAGGGCTACAATACTCAAGAATACTTCTGGCAAGACTACAATATAGTAAGATTCTTGTTTTTGGCTTTCTAAAAGGTTTGGAAGAAATTATTAACTTATACGTCATATTTTGAATTAAAAGTTATGAACCTTTATTGTTTTAATTTATTTCAGTATAACATTCATAATAGGACCTATGAAATTGCCATTCGGTCGTAAGGCCAGTACATTACAAATATAAAAAAAAATTTTTGGTAGAAAAATACGTGGAATTATTTTTACTGAAATATCAGTTTGTTTAGAAGTAAGTGTTTTATTTTAAACGCATCCAAACATTGTTCGTTGTCATGGATTTAGAAATTCGATCAGACGCTTATTGGTTTGCCCGCTTCTCAGCTGTTGTGGAAGCTGGTGAAACTTAATTTACGGCTAATTTGTTTCGATGCTTAAGTCGAAGATTAAAAAGCTAGCCGTAGCTTTCGACTTAAATTTGATGGTGATTTATTAGACTGTTTGGTGGTTTATCGCCGGTGTAATTTAGCGCTGCTTCCCACAAACGGGACGAGCATTAGGTACTTCAGATTTTTACTATAATGAACTAAACACAGTGATGGCAACGCTCGCAAGTCTTCAACCACCTTTGTTAATCGTTCGGCTTCACCACTTCTGCACGACAACGCGCAACTCATACAGCAAATCAGATAGTCTACAAGCTTTAAGTTAAGATATTTTCAAAAAGTTTTTTTTAGGACGGCAAACGAACAGACATATTATCTGCTGATAAGCAATCAGCGCCGCCCATGGACACCCGCAACACAACGAAAGAATTACGAGTGCGTTGCCGACCTTTTAGGGATTTAGAGATTGGGGAGGGATTGGGCTAGATGAAGTATTGGGCGAAAGAGAAGTTCAGTTAAAAATAATTCAATAACCAAGAGATACCTAATACAAATTGCCTTTAAATAATTAGCTGCCTCCCGTTCAGCTGACTTATTCAGAAATTACATCAACAGGCTACCAATGCGTTGGCAAAGATGTATGTATTGATAACATGGGTGATTATTTTGATTAGTAGAACTAAAAAATATAGAAAAATAAATATTTACAATAATAATCTTGTGTACCTAATGAAACAGTATTTGGTTTTAATACCTATATTATTAAATTTTAACACACATCACTAGCGTTTTTTTCGTATTCATTCGTTCGTTCTTTGTCATATTTTTTTTTTTTTTGGAGTTGTGGCTTCTTTGTCATAGGTACTTTGGTCACCACAGATATTCATCAACATAACTTGTTGTAATTGTTGTGAATAAAGAGATGCAGTTTTTTAATCAATATTGTTGATTGTGTAAGTTTATGAAGTAAAAGAAATTGGCCTCCGGTAACCTCACTCACACGCCGAAACACAACGTTGTGGTTGTTTCACGCCGGTTTTCTGTGAGGCCGTGGTATCACTCCGGCCGAGCCGACCCATTCGTGCCGAAGCATGGCTCTCCCACACTTAGCTCGTCTTAGCCCATGGTCTTAGCTGATAAGACCAATGACGTATTATATATAGACACGTCATGAACCAACATCGCGGCGCTTAAAAACGGCGAAAATACTAGATAACTACTTGTACGAGTAAAGAAAGGGAAAGAAAATATGACATCGTATAGTGGAATGCCTTTGCTAGAGGGAGATAAATATACATCTTCAGTTACATCGGCACGTGACTATACCTTCATGAGCCGGCCGCCATAAGATGGCGGGCGCCGGCGTCGAAAAAATAAAATAAAAATGGGTTGTTTGATGAACTTACGCATGAAATGACACATTTTTGTCTTTAACTTTTGGAGTATAATTTGTACATCGTCTGAACACACACGACGGCATGCTTTCTTTATGTTTCGCACAGGTTTACACACACGATATAAATTAAAAACAAACGTAGCGTCGCGCGGCAGGTTGGTGCGTAACTAAGCGCGATGTTGTCAATTGCCTTCATTTCATGTTGTCATTTTAGAGCGCGGACAACGTATCTATAGTTTTATACATCATTGGATAAGACTAATAATTTGTACACCTGGGGTAGTAGTTTTTTTTATGCTAAGACAACATTTTGTATGAAGTAATAGCAAAAATTACAAAAAAACATGTTTGATTAGTGGTCTTCACCAAAGTTTTAGTCATTTTGAACTTTTAATTATTAAAAAGGATCCGCTATGGCGTCAACTATGATAATAACTTCAATTTGAGTACAGTCGCTCCCGTGAATAATTTTCAAATTGGCTTCAAATAATTTAATCTGTTTAATGGTTGAAACATTAAAACTTTATTGATTATTTTACATAATTAATCACATAGGTACATCTATGGTTCTTAAATTTAAGCACATGGTTACATTACAATTAACGTGGCGTCGAGTCGCGGAGGAATACGCATGTCGCCCGTACTCGACGAGGGTTGGGGCGCTCTCTCGCGCCGCCGCTCGCTCCACCTCGGCCTGCGTTGGCGCGCGGGGTGTGCGGGCGGCGGAGGGGGGGCCGCGCATGCGCGTTACTGTAATAGCTAGCGCTGCGGCGCGTTGCAGCCACAGTGTAGCGAAGCCACAGCCTAACCAAAAAAATCCCGCGCTACATCCTCCCCCTCTAGCCTAACTAGGTGTCCCCACAGTTGGGCTAGTCTAAATACCTACGCGGTCTGCCGCGCTTGCGTTTTTCGCGAATGGGAGGTTCTACTTGACCCGCGAAAGGTGTGAGGTGCGAAACGTGATATTTTCCTACGTTCGTTCCAGTCTGTACGTTCTCCAGACCGTAGGTGGTCGGGCTGATGACCTTCCCTATCTTGTACGGGCCGTTACGACGTGGGATGAGCTTCGCGGTCTGGCCGCGGTCTGTGTCGTTAGGCCCCTGCGTCTTCAACAAGACCAAGTCACCTACCTTATACTCAGGCGGCAGCCTCCTCTTCTGATCAGCATTATCCTTCTGAGTAGCCTGCGCCTTCTCATGAATATACCTAGCTTCATCTAGGGTCGCAGCCATCTTCTTCAAATAAGGCGTAATGCTGGGCACGAAGTTGTCGTGTTCCACGATAGCTCTCATGTCTATCGCGGAGTCGGAAGGGGCTCGCAACTCTCTCCCAAAGGTGAGGTACGCCGATGAATATCCCGTGC